CTCGCGCTCCCACGGCACCATTCGCAGCGTCCCAGGCACCGGCGCTCAGGGGTCCATGTTGGGCGAGCTTCGTGCAGCCTCGGTACTGAGCATGTTCGGCGCGGTGCGACTGGGGTCTGGCATCCCTGCGGCCGACGTCAAGAGCGACCTGCTGCAGGGCGGATCTGAGGCCTCCGCGCCCACGCCGCACAGCAACGCCTTTAGGACAAGGCTGAGGCAGCAGCTCCCACGGGTCGCGCCAGCTAGCTCTCCAGGCACCGCCAGTGGCGGCGGGCCAGCGGGCTCTGCGAGCGCTGCTAACCTTAAGGCTAGCGCGAGGCCTGTCAGATGGGCTTAGCCCTTGGCATATTTGAGCTCCCTGATCGCTGGTGGCCCGCGCGGGCGAGCAGCGTGGCTTCACGCTCGCGCGGGCCGTTGCAGTGCTCAGACTGCAAATCGAGCTCGCCCTGGCCCAGATCCCAGCTTTGCGCCTACATAATCTCACCTCCTGGCCGCGGGCGGGTGCTTGCACCTCTCCCGCCGCGCCGGCCCCATGGCTACACGCACCGCCTGTGCGTGCACGGGAGCATAGTTATTTCCTCGTCGTATACGCCCGTGGCTGCGCCAGCACCCCGTCCCGCGAATCTTCAAAAGTCCTTGTCTCGGCCTGGCTGCCATCGCGTCCGCCCAACCCAACAGCTCCCTCTCTCTCTCTCTCGCTCCACAACCGACGGTACGTTGAGGCCCTGTCTTCTGCCCCTCCAGCACCCACGATGGGACCGGCCCACGGTTGGCGAGCTCGGCTGCGCCTTCCAGAGCTCACGTTGCCCTCGCCGACCCACTTCTTCACTTGTGTGCCCCAGCTTTGGAGCATTCAACGACCCTCTCCAGCATGCGCGAACCACGGGCTGTGAGGCTTCAGGTCTCGCCGTGCAGCCGTGTCCCTGTTCTGTCAGAGCGAGCGGTCATTGAACCATCATATGCCACTTCCACAGCGCAAGAGCGACCGCTAACCGTAGCAGCCGCCGCCGCCATAAGTAGGCCGTCACTCAGCCCGAGATGGAGTTTCTGACTCTCCAAGACGTGCCTCGATATCATCGCTCCGCCATGCCCATCGGTGAACGTAGCCCCACGCGCCATCAGGTGAAGCAGCATGAGACTGCGGAGCGCATGAAGGTAGGCTCCATCGTCCATCATAATCCTCTCTTTTCGTCATTGTCCCTTGAGCCGCACTGCCCACCAATATCTCCTTCATCCCACCACCGTCGGCCCTCCCGACGTCACTCTTTCCAAAGAGCGCCTTATCCGGACTGGGGTCGCCAGGACAGAACTATGCCTCCTCGCCAGGTGTGCCCAGACACCAGGCGCCAGCGACGCACAGCTACGCCTGATGATCGCGAAGGGATGGACGCGTTTTGGAGAGCGGGCGAATGGAGCGAACGGCGCGAACGGCAGGAGCTCCGGCGCCGCCAACGGGCAATGCGCGAATATCAGCCCGAAGCAGACACTCGGCAGCATGCCCTCCTTCGCTGGCCACCGAACGTCAACCTGTGGCAAATGCCGCTGCCCAGATCAGAGATGCTGACAGCTCCCGAGATACATTCACAGACCAACAACAATGCTCAGCTTCCCTCCTTCAAAGAGGTAAAACACTGTACTTTGGTACCGCTAGTTCGTTTGCTCATGGTCTCCAGCTTCTTGATTCTACGAACGGTTCACCTGGCAACCCAAGCAACCAGCTGAAATCAGCTCCCACGACTATGGACTACTATCAACCCCCCTCGGCTCGCGCTTCCCGACAGAGCTCCGCTGAAGGCCCTGTGTTCAACGATCCTTTCAGAGGCGCTCCGCCTCCAAACCTGCCTCTTCGCAATATGCGACCGGCGACGGAAAACTATACGACGCAGCTTGAAGGGAGACCTTCACTTCTGCAAGCACGACCATCGACCAATTACGACTCCCGCAGGACCAGCGTGAGAACCGAATATGAGCCTCGCATTCCTTCCGAGCCCCGTATCCATTCTCTTCCTTCGATATTCACATCACGGAACAGCCCCCCGGAGCCAGCTCCCATCACTACCGCCACTCAGGTCTACCATCCGCAAAATCCCTACGTTCAACCTATTCCCGATATTCGACGCACTAGCGAAGTGCCGTATGGCCACCAGGCGTATTACAACGAGCATTACACATCTCGTCCTCCCTTCGCTTCCGAGTATACTCGGCCTTCAGTACGCCATGACAGCACCGTTTTCGGCATGCCGCCACCGGCGCCTTACACGTATCCGACAGCCTATGGTTACGCTGCTGACCACCAAAATGGGCTGGAAGGTTTTCCGTCAAATCGCAGACGACGCGGCAATCTTCCAAAGGAGGCAACAGCCACTCTCAAAAAATGGTTTGCAGAACACGCAGAATCACCCTATCCCACGGATGAAGAGAAGAATGCATTGGCTGTTTCCACCGGCCTATCATCAGCCCAAATCTCCAACTGGTTCATCAATGCGCGGCGCCGGAATCCTGGAAAGGAGGCCAGGGAGCACGCAAGGCAAGTCAATAACAAGTTGTCAGGACAGCAACAAGTTCAAAGAACAAATGGCACGCAGGAGCAGAGCCTTGGCGTGCAGCAGGCGACAACTTCACCGTTACAGCAACCCAATCATGCGCCGCAGCCGCACCATGAGCAGCATTATCCGCTGCCCCAAATGCAACCTCCCTCGGCATACTATGACCGCGAGATGAGCGACGCGTAAGCGGACCACCAACGGGTTTCGTTTTTCACTCTACCTATTTCGCCTGCTTTAGTTCTGCCTACCGATGGCTTCTTGTGGGTGGTTCGCCACCTCTTTCGACACCTTTGCATTCTTTACGATAGGCGCCAGGCCGCCTATTCATGACATTGACGGCTCTTTTCCTTTCGTTCAATCAGCGTTTCTTGGACTTGCCCCACCGATACCCATGCACCCAAACTGTAAAAGTCAAGGAATTCAAAAAAAAAAAAAAAAGCATCAGGATTGCATTGGCCTGGATGCAGATCCAATGATGGTTGGATAGCTGCAGGGACGGCAAAACGTTCCTTCGTTTACTTCACTTTCACAGTTTCCTATCACAGTTTCCAGTCTTCACATTGAGCGGCTCGCGTCAACATGGGACGGCGTTTTGCAGACACAGCAAAGAACACGGCTTGTGCTGGTGTCAAAATCAACAACGGGGGTATATTTAAAGAAGGGGACATTTCGCTGGTGCAAAGAAGGAGTATTGCAAGCGTTCACTAGTATTCGTGCCACACGAGGGCTATTGGAATTACTTGCCAAACTACCATAATTCATTTTTCCTATGTCGCAGGTCTTCTTCTCTGTCGTCAGATGCAAACAAGCCGGAGCCGTCCAATGGTCAAAGCAAGGGCTTCCCAGAGGCTAACGTAGTACAAGCACGCATAGCACGCTAAGTGGGCGGGTATCATGGGCCGTGAGTGGTCCCAGCACAGTCGCCTCTCGCCATCTCGATCTATACACAGCAAAAGCCGATGAGCTCGACCCGGGTAGCTCGGCAGGCGGTTGCCTCGGTAGAGAAGGGTTCAGCCGAGACATCAGGGACCTGTCAAGTTTTGGGAAAAGCAAGCATGACGCACCGGCCAGCAGGCACGTCGCAGAGATGCACGCTTCTCCTTACCAGAAACAAGGGGGAGGCAAAAGGAAAGAAAAGGAAAAAAAAAAAAAGAGACGGACAGCATGTTCCCTGCTCGGCAGCAGCGCCAGCGTGTAGCGCTATGTCACACGCACGTCAAGGCTGAAGGCGCGACGACGGCGGCGGCGGCAGCGCCAGCGTGGGCGTGGGCGTGGGACGGCGTCTTTTGGACCACGCGAGCATGGTTTGACGTTTGGACTAACGACTTGCCTCTTCGCCATTAGCCCGTGCAAAAAGCAATTCGGCCACTCAGCCGCTCTCGCTCGCGATGCTAGCCTTGATAGGGCTGATGACGGCGGGTCGATGATCGACAGAAAATTGGCTTTGCCGCTTGCGCTTTCGCTTTCGGCGCGTGGTAGCGCGTGCGGACCCTTGCGGACGAGCGGGTCTATTGATGGGCGACGCACAGGGAAGGGACAAGCGGGATCATCGGGCGCGTGCTCTGTATTTCGCCGGGGAAGTGCGGGCGTGCCCGCAGCAGGGATGGGGCTCTTTCGATTTTTCTGTGTCAAAAGAGCCATGTTGGCAGCGCAGCAGGCTAAACTGGGCGGGCGGGCAGGAATCCGCGCCCCCCTGCATGTTTTAAGGATTGCTGCAGGGCAAGCCGAACCCAACCCCCGGCATCAGTGACAGCGGCACGAGATTAAAGCCGATCCACCCAGCGTTCCTTTGCCTGACTCTCCGGGCGAATGGGGAAAAAGATGAAGCGCCCTCGTCCACTTATATTGTTGTCCTGCGGGATCCTTCGACACGCCGTTTCCGAGCAAAAGCCCGGTTCTCCATAGTATAAACTCGCGAAGGACGGGAATCCTTCAGGATTACGGCGGCTGTCAAAGCGGCGGAGAGCTGCTCTCGCCTGACCGCTTGTTTGGGGTGCTCGAGGACAAACAGGATTTGCCTGTAGCGCCGGCAGCTAGCCAGAATGTGCCGCTCCCTCCGGTGCGACTGTGGCGTACTGTTCTCTTTTGCCGAACAATTGTTGCCAATTCGCACGCATGCATACCGGCGTCAATTATTTTTCTGGGCTGCATGGGCGAGCATCCTCTGGCGAAGCGAGCGTCGCCCATATTAAAAGGAGGGATCGTCCGTGGGTGTGCTGATCGAACTGCTCGCTGCTGCATCGTCACGTATAGTTCTCTCTGCATTCGGAAAACCCGAGCCTGCGCCTGGGCCTCGTCGATTCGCACTATTGGAGAGGGCTCGCGGCTCCACACTCAGCACGCCTCACGCCCTATTTTTAATTTTCCATCTAAAGCAGGGACGAAGGAAAGATGCGTGCGCACAGGCTGCTGCTGCTGCTGCCGGCGTGCTCCGCGGGTGGGCTCAGAGCCTCCATGGCCGAGCCCCTGCCGACGGCGGCGGCCCCTGACGCTGCGCAGCAGCTCCACGCGCTGGCTCAGCATGCGATCGACGAGACTCTGGCAGCCCTGGACAACGGCGGTGCGTCGTGGAGCAAGCGCGGCGGCGGGGCCTGCACGCGAGATAACATCTCGATTAGGAAAGAATGGTAGCGAAAAAGAACTAATGGCATGAAACAGAGGCCTTGTGATGCTGACGATATGCAACAGGGGCCGTCTGGGCAGGGCAGAACGCAAGCAATACATCGCCGCCGTGCAATGCCTGCAGAAACTGCCCGCGCGCACACCGCCGTCGCTCGTGCCGGGGGCCAAGTCGCGCTTCGACGACTTCGTCGCCACGCACATCAACCAGACCTTGACCATCCACTACACTGTACGATCCCCACTTTGCACACACGAGACCGACACTCACATGACAGGGCACTTTCCTCGCCTGGCACCGCTGGTTCACGTGGGAGTACGAGCAGGCTCTCCGCAACGAATGCGGCTACACGGGCGCCCAGCCCTACTGGGACTGGGCCGTCACCGCCGCCGCCAACAACACCCTTGAGACGTCTCCGCTGTTCGACGGCTCCGACACGTCGCTGTCCGGCAACGGCGCCTTCGTCCCCAATCAAGGTAAGCACCTCCCCGTCCATCATCTCTTGAACGAAACCTGACACTTCTCAGGCAACGTCGTCCTCGGCGCAACCACCGGGCTGCCGCCCATCTACCTGGCCGCGGGCACGGGCGGCGGCTGCGTGACTGCCGGGCCCTTCGCCGACATGGTCGTCAACCTCGGCCCCGTCGCCCTCGACCTGACCAACGGGACGAGCGTCGGCACGGGGCCCGTCACGCCTGACCAATTCGCTTGGAATCCGCGTTGCCTCAAGCGCGATCTCTCCGACGCCGTCAACCGCCGCTACGCCAACGCGAGCGGCGTTGCGGCCTTGATCTTGGGTAGTGAGGACGTAGAGCGGTTTCAGATGACGATGCAAGGCGTGCCGGGGAGCGGGAGCATCGGCGTGCACGGGGGCGGCCATTACTCAATCGGTGAGTCTTTCTTCTGTGCTTTTCGCTTTTTGAAAAAGAAAAGGGGGGCCGAGGGAGCAGCAGGTGATGAGTGATGATGTTGGTGGTGGTTTGAGGTTACTACTAGAAGGGGGAGGGCAGCGATTCGGCGCCGACCGCTTTGACTAGGCAATGTTCGAGAAACTAACCCACCTCCTCCCCAGGCGGCGATCCCGGACGTGATCTCTTCGTTTCGCCCGGAGATCCTGCTTTCTACGCCCACCACTCGCAGATCGACCGCGTCTGGACCTTGTGGCAGTGGCTGGACCTCGAGAGCAGACAGAACGCCCTCGCGGGCACGGGCACGTTCCTGGACTCGCCGCCGTCGCCGAATACGACCCTGGACACCCTCCTCGATCTGGGCTACGCCGCCGGCGAGCCGACGAGGGTGGGCGATCTGATGAGCAACATTGGCGGCAAGTTCTGCTACCTGTACGCGTGAAAGGTAGATACGTGCGTAGTAGGTAGACGCAGCAGGAGGTGGATGCTGAGTAGTGTGTGGGATGGGAATAACAACTCAAATCATTTCATTTCCGTTGGGGGAGGCGCAGTCGCTCCCCCACAAAATCCCCGGTGAACTGTCGGCGGCCTCGAGCGGGTTTCGTGCAGGGAAAAAAGGCCGACGATTGGCTACGGCCGTACGTGAACGGGCGTGCAGCGGGCGGACGGAAATGTTGAGTCTCGTCGATCGTTGATGTGTGAAAGTGCAGGCTTGCATTGACCGGTGAAACTAAATGCGTAGTCTCGGTGCTACGGCGGCTCTCTCGAAAAGGCTCCTGGCTCAAGCCATCGTTCATCGCAAATATCACTCTATGATGGTGTGCAGATCTCCGTTCCGCTGGTTTGAGTAATGTCGCTCCTTGATGGACGCTTTCCGGTTGGCTGTGGTGTCTCCAAGCAAGGTGGAGTCAAGGGTGGTGTTCACGCCTTCAAGGGTTGGAACTAAGCCATCGGAGGGATGACTTCCTTCCTGGCAAAGAGGTGACTGATGTCTATCAGGGTGGCGTAGCAACAAGGCGGAGTAAAGGGGAGAGATCCCATTGTCAAATGCTACGTTGGGTCTCCTCACAGTAGCATTGACACTCCCTTGACCAGTCTTTGTGTTTGGCATATTTCGGTATCATGATGCTAACAATGTCCGGCGTGAGACAAAAGGGAGTCATTTCATGTAAGTGCTGCTATGCTGCGCCTCTGTGAAACTCTACGTGAGAGACTGGTCCCAGGATGAGAGTCATTCTTGTTGAGGCAGTACCTGATTCAGCCACTATCACATCCAAGGATAACTTCGAGGGCAGCGAAAGTATGCAGTATTTCAAATACTCTTGAGAGCATCATTTGCCGTGGTATGCTTGAAAGACAAGCCTGGGAAACTGTTTTACTTGACGCTAGCAGTGTAGTAGTGACGTAGAGCACGAACGTATTGTCGTGTTGGTAGGAAGCAATCACTTTACACCAAAATGAAGTCGACTGCTAAACATAACCCATGGAATCTCACATGTATTAGAGTGACTAATAATTACCATTACTGCATTAAAAACTACGAGTTAGGTTGGACATGTCCAACAAGAAGTAATAGAACGACGAGCTGGTAGCCTCCCGCATACAAGCGCCCCTCAAACAAGACTTTCAATGCCTTCGTCCGTTCATTATACAACAATGCCGTCCACGCATACCTCAGCCATAGGAAAAGAAGCCTGTATCCAATGTTCTTTTCGGCCCTCTGTCCCGCGAAGCTCGGCGTTTTCCCCTTCCGCGGCTCATGCCAATCCAACACTTCACAATCCCTCCTACTTCTCGGCATCACGGCTGCCTCCTGCGGCCGAGTTACGATCCTTATGGATCCAAATCTCGCTCAGCACCGAATTCTTGAACGACCTCATCAACTCCACCACGCCGCTCACCTCCTGACCTGCCAGCCATCCCTGCCATTCCCAGCACGCTGTGCGCAAAGCTCTTTCCGCCTGCAGCGCCGAGACCATGTTGCTTTCTTCTTGCGCATCCGTCAGATCTTCGAACGCAACGTAGACTTCTCGGCGGTGCGCATCGCCATCGAGGCGAGGACCACGGCGGGCGATGAATTCGAACCATTGCAGCTGCATCAGGAACGCGACGGAATTGTTATTATAGCGGCGGTTGCTACTGCGGCTGGCGGTATTGGTAGTGGTCTTGCCGTCATTGCCGCTTCCAGTGCTGTTACCGTCACATTTACGGGGGAACGCACAGGTAAGGCTTACTTCGAGCGCACTGGCTGCCCGAGAGCAGAGCATGTGGTCCTTTCGGAGAGCGGTGATGAGGTCTCTGGGGGTGGAGAAGATGGTGGTGATGGCAGTGGCGGTGGCGGTGGTAGCTTGGGTGCTCTCTGTGGGGACTTCGCGTCCATCGTTCTGCAGCAGAGACTGAGCGGGTGTGACAGCGGTTTCCGTGGTGAGTGACAGCCGAAGGCCGCGACGTCGCTCCCGCTCCCGCTCGTGGCGCTCGTTGTTCATGATATATGTGTCTGGCTGGTGGCAAGGGGCAAGTAATCTACGCGCAAACGCGATGGTGCCGCCGATCGTGTGTATCATGTACTCAGTAGCGAGGGAGACATCGAAAATAATACGCTTATGTAGGCTGCGCTGAAGCTCGTCCAGTTCGTCTGCGGAGGGAATGCGGTATAGCCAGATGAGCTCTTGAACGGACAGGGGCACACGGACATCCTGTATGGTAGTCAAATTCCGGCCCACGAATGTTTCGGTCTGCTTGTCGCTCGGAGCAGACCTTTCCATTCACCTGCAGGGGAGGGAACTGAGGGCGTACCGAGGATTGTGGCGCGAAGGTGGCGCGTGTGCGATTGTGAAGCGCGGTTGTCATGCGGATGATAGCATCCATTCTCGTGAGCGCCTTCTTGAGTCGCCGGGTGAGGTTCTGGTAGGACACTATCAGTGCTATGACCTGCTGCTCTTCTGAAGTTGCGGTAAATGGGTTCGAGGGCGGAGAGGATTTGTCGGACTCGGTGTCACCGTCGGCGTCGGCATCTGTCATGTCGATGTCCGCGGCACTTTCGGGGTGCTCGGGCGGCGATCGCCGGGCTGTTGGGGACGCGCTCATGGCATTGGCTAGCAATGTGGTGGTGCGCGATGCGAAGATGCTGGGGTTGAGAGCGAGTGGCAAGGGCGGTGTTGCAGGCGCAAAGTGAAGATTGCAGGCTCCCAGGCGCGCGCGAGGCAAGAGCGTCCCGCAGAGACTCAACTATCGGCGCCAGGGAAACAGGTAGTTGGCCGGCCACGGTACATGCCCTTTTTCCAACCACGTCTCCGGCACTTTGCTCTCTGGCAGGCTCCCGGTTTGATATTCCTTGGTGACAGGGTCCACGCGATGCATTCCGCTCGCCACAGCCGCTTAACTACCATGGCTCGCTTCGTTGGCCGTGAACCGAGAGTTGTGAATATCACGATATCGAAACTGGTCGACGCATTTGGCGATCCCACCGGTAGAGCGCAATTTCGCGCAGCGCTGGCGGAGCTGAAAACGCCTGTGGACTCCGAGGACCGGACGGTGAGATCAGGCACCACGAAGTATCTACCACTGGATGAGTAGTCATAGCGCCAATAACTCAGTTACTTTCGTACTATGGCTCTTGTATTCATGTAGACGACGGCTTCCAGAGGGCTGAAGTTGTAGGCCTTATCCAAGGAACCCGTCTGCGCGTTTAGTGTCGATGGTTTGCCGCTGGGCCATAATAGTGCCCAATCACTTCACCGTCGCTTAGTCAGATGAACAACACACTTGCGACCATACACCGGGCGGAGAACAGGAAGGTCACAGATGTTGTTGCAAACGGCTGCAGCACGTTCATACAGCTTATTACCGGATGTGGAGTAGGGTGAGCACGTAGGGAAACTGGATCGGCACGTAATCCGCTTCCGATTGGTTGAACTTTATCTTATCGCCTATTAAGTTCAAGCGCATCTACTTGCTCTCTTCGATTGCCTGGCAGTTTCAATAACCGGAAGGAAACCTCTGTTGCTCAATCCACGAGGCTTTTCTTATTTGCGATCGTACAGAGAGTGGGCGAAACCCGGGTGGTCTGCCTATCTCCTAACACGACAGTAGCGCAGCGTAAAATTCGAAGGAAAAATGGTGCCCGAGGAATTAATGGGGGCGCTCGATGTGACAATGCTATTAGCGCCTCTTTATCATATACTTGGTGTTTCTATGTGTCGCCAGCAGCCCCTCACAAATGTTTACAAGGCTACGCACGTCTCATGCAGAACTTTAGCCTTCTTCTTTGCCAATGGTTCTAGCTCTTCTTAATCTACATGTGGGATCACAACGAAGAGCTACCATTTGTAGAGTTTACAACTGAGTGTAAATTGAAAAGTTGACATTATGTATTAATTGCGACCTCGTGAGACGAAGTAAGAACTGGAAAGAATGAAGTGTTTTTCCTCCTTGGTCTCCATATATCGGTAGACCTACACTTGAACATCCCCCTTCTTGATTAATTGTTATAGTATACTATCTTTAACACCTCTTTGTAAAGCGCCAAGGTTTGCATAGAAAGTAGTAAAAACGAGACAGATCGTTGCTGGTATACAAGCATCCGGGCTTTCCGGTCTCTCGTAGACATGTAATCGGAAGGACGGCGATTGATCGAAGGTTATAGTGTCCTCTGCTGGGGGCTGGAAAAATGGACCTATAGCTGCTAAGGTTGTTCGGGCTGGTCAAGGATTTGGGCGTATATAGGGACGATTGAACAATGCGTTAGGTTGATAACCCTAGAATACGTGCAGCTTTCCTCGGATCATATTGCTGACAATGAGCATTCTTACATCGGACAACACTCGAACCGTGTTGAATAGAGAAGAGTTCTCCACGATACTGCAGCCGATATTTATGGCCTGGGACCTTGTAGGATACTTTTTGAATGCTTTAACTGCTTCCGCTCAATTGCAAAAGAGTGATACGAGAAAATCTTACTAGTCTGCTTCCCATGCGGGCGTCCTTTTAGGATATTCGTGAAGTTCAGCGAAGCTGACTGTCCTTCGATTTCGAATGTGGTGAGGGGGGCCACAAGCTTGCTATCTAGATTAAAGGCTCCTATTGTAAGCCTACAATCACTATACAGTTCGGTGATGGGCGAGAAGGTGCATGCCGTGCTCCATGGAGGGCACGGACCATATGGGCGCTGCGTCTGCCTACTATCCATTCACTTTCACTTTGCACAATAGGCACAAGCCAGCGACTGCAGACAATAGGAGCCCACCCATAAATCGCCTTCGATCTTGAGCAAGCCCCCATTCCTTTTCTTCCCTCGGCGCACCCTCGACTTCTTTGCGGCACCGTCGGATCCTGCCTTTCGCAGCACCACATCGTCGCAACCAACCCCTCGCAAGCCGTTTAGAGTACGCCGACGCATAGCACAACATATCAGCCACCTCTACCAAGTCCGTCGCAATCATGGACGGCCACCCGAACATCTCGATGCCCTCTCCTCCTCCGCCGCCGAACCCCCGCGCATTTCCAGCCCACCCGTTTCCCTTCCCCGTCAACGCCAACCGCATGCAGGACATGCAGAACAACCCGGCCGCCCTGACGAACCAGCACGTCCCCGAGAACCACGCCAACCAGGCTGGTAGCAGCAACACGGCCGCCACCGCCGCCCGCGCCGCCCCGGACAACAACCCCCTCGTCGAGCACGTCCTCACGACCCTCTCCAGCAGCGTCACGGCGGCCAGCCACCTCCTCCAGACGGCGCAGGGCCCCACGCTCGACCGCATCCAAGCCATCATGGCGCCGCTGCAGGGCTGGTACAACATGCGGCTGCTGACGTACATCCACGACCTGGAGCAGCAGCAGCGCGAGCGCAACGACCAGGACGCGGAGCTGGCGCGCGCGGTCCGGCAGCGCGACCTGGCGCTGCGCGAGCTGACGGACCAGCACCACGACCATCAGCTGCAGCTGCAGCGGCAGCGGGCCGGGCAGGCCGAGGAGGAGCTGGCGGAGCGCACGCAGGAGCTCGAGTGGAGCCAGGACGAGCTGTTCCGCATGCGCGACCGCTGGGTCGATGACCACCACCTCATCGGCGAGCTGCGCGCCGCCCTCAACCGCGCCACCGACGAGTCGGACGTGCGCTACCGCGAGAACCTGGCCAACCTCCGCGCCGGATCCATCAGGGAGGCTGCGCTGAAGAAGCGCGTGGCGGAGCTGGAGCAGCAGGTCGAGCGCCTGGGGGGAGGAGGCGGAGAGGACGAGCTGGCTGCGCAGCAGCCCATTGTTGACGAGGAGATGGGTGGAGCCGAGGAGGAGGAGGGAGAGGGAGAGAACGAGCTTGCCTCTGGCCATCGGCAGCAGCAGCACCACGAGGTGCAAGACGACAACGACGACGACGACGAGCGCTCGCTGCGCAGCGTCAAGCGCAGGAAGACGGCTGCGGCCGCACAGATCCCGCGCGTTCGCTCGCTCTTCACCACCCTAAACCACCAGTTCGACAGCCCGGACTTCGCGGCGGCAGCTGGCGGCCGCCTGTTCCTTCTCGACCGCCACTCCGAGAGGGAGCAGGTCGTCGACCAGCTGGCCAGCACCTTCGAGCCGGTGCCCGCCGCCGTCGCTGCTGCTGCCGCCGCCGCCGACGCCGCCACCACCTCGCAGCTCGCCACCACGCTGCAGCAGGCTCGTGACTTCCTGCTGGCGCGCATGCAGCTCAAGGTCGACGTCGGTCACGTCGTCGTCGACCTCGTGCCCGCCGAGGTTCCGGCCGTCCGCGCCCTCGACAACCACCTGGCCGACATCATCTGCGACCAGGAGCGCGCCCGGAGGAGCATGAGGTGGGTCGAGGGGGACGTATTCCCCAACTACTGCTTCCGCGGCGCCATCGTGGCCAGGCGCAAGCCCAACTTCGACCAGGGTGAGGGCAGGGCCTGCAAGGAGTGCAGGGGCAGCGGAAAGCCGTGCATTGTGAGGCGCGGAGGACAGCTTGTCGCACTGCCCAATAAGAACCCGGAGGAGCGGGACTGGAAGGACGCCGAGATGTGGGTGGGAGTTCATGGGGAGGGATGGGGTGGGAGGAGGAAGAAGAGGAAGAACTGAGGGATGGTTGTTGGCCTGGGGAGAGGCGGCGGATGCGGACATCAGACTGTGGAGCTGATGCCGGCGCTTTGGTGTTGGCGAAAAGTTGTAGATGTAGAGTGATAGCACGACATGAAGGGAGCACCCGGCTATTCCGGCGGTGGTAGATGCCGCCATTGTGAACACAGAAATTCATGTCTCGGACACACCATTTCATCTCCTACTAAGCGAGCCTGCGACCAGCAAAAGCAATAGAATGACCATTGAAACTTAACTATGAAGCCACCAAAAGCCTGGTCTGTACCTTTGTGGTCCCAGAAGCTAGTTTCTCACCGTCATACAGAGCTCAAAGCCACAGTGGTGTCCTTGGCCGAGATACCGGCGCTTCGTCAGACCTGCGCCCTCTTGCCGACACCTGGAATGCAGGGGAAAAATTTCGCTTCGAACTTGCTGATGGCATGGTGGGTGACATCTTCCCAAAAGCTCATCTCACCTTCAGTTACAATTGAGATGTCGCACCGGTTATCCACGTCTTGCTGGACAGTGTTCCATGGACAAGCCAACAACATATCTCCCAGACAGCACCTGTACTGCAGGAGGTCTAGCGCTTCTTCTCGGACATACTGGCGGGTGAAATGGTTGCGAAGAACGACAATAGTCCTCCAGTATCTGCCGTCCTCTATGCGACCACACTCGAATCCCCGCCTGCCTAGAATCGTTCGCGTGAAGATCCTGCGGACTTTACTTTTGCTCCTTTCACCATCTTTGTTCAGCCGCTTAAGAACTTCTACAACTGCACTCCAAGCAGCATGGGGAGTAGATGCCGTAGGCCTGTGGGGTGTGGGAAACTGAGAACGGCGGGAGAAATCTTCCATCCAAAGCGAAGCCCCAGCCCATGGCGCTGCTGCATCCCGAAGGAGATGGTGGCGGATGGTAGAGTGAAGAATGGCGAGGAAGTAGCGACATGTAAGAGCCAGGCAAACTAGGTCGGATGTTCCAAGGATATCCGGCTCTATTATTGCCCTTTCCTCTAGGTCGTAACCGTAGTTCTCGTAGAGCCAGTCATGATATTCGGATAGGCTAACCCAAGGCTTGACGATGTAAGACGTAATTTGGTCAATGAGCTCGCGCGGAAGACGGAGAAGTCTGCTTCGGGAAGAGCTACGGTCACAGAGTGTTAGCATCACCTCAACCAATGGGAGAATACCCGTGTAAAAGCCCTACTGCTTGTCTCTGAGAGAATTTAGCTCCATATCCCCGACTGGCTGTGGTTCCGGAAGCCTAGGCACCGTGAGGAGGTCGACGAGTTTTTCGGCTACTGCTTTCTGCCCGACAATATCTGACCAGGCCAATGCCCTCTTGTGGTCGAAGTTTTCGACCAAATGCCACATTTTGTTGTACCGGAGGCAATCTCTGAGATCTGGGTAATGACAACAGGCTCCTGCGCGACCGCGTGGTGCTAGACGTGGAATATTGGCACAGAAAACGCTGACCGATAGACGCGCTAAAATGTCGAAGGATAACAGATTAGTGGTACCGGAAGCGATCCCGCGCTGTGAAAAATGAATTGAAGAGAGGCAGGGTCGTGACGAAAGGCAGCGAAGAGAAATGGTGACGGACATCCTTTCCCAGTTCGGCAGTCTAACGGCTGCATCGCCCCTGCCGATTTTGTACAGCGCTCTATACGTCAGCAACGAGCCCACTGGCAGAATCACAATCGCCGCGTATCAGCATGGGGAAATTCAACGTGTTTATTGGCGCTGGGCGGTTGTGGTGTCCTCGTTCGGTGGATCAGGCACCTGTAAGAGGAGAGAGTGATGAAAAGTGACTTCACCCCATCAGCGCCTTTTCGACGCCTGTGTACAAGGCAGCGACGGCTCGCTATGACGAAATCGCCCTTGCGAGAAACTCTGATGAGCATGGTAATAACCGTTCTCCGCATCTTCGAGAAACTTAACAATGATGTATTTCAAAAGTACCTGAAAGGAACTGTTTGATCACACATGCGTATACGCGAATACCGCTAGATAAGTATTCATATATTTCATGGCTGCTTTCCAACCGCACACCCGAAGTATTGACCATAGACTTATCGCAATTGAATTCTACCGATGTCGCAAGTTGTCTGCTCGGCTAGTGCAGTGACCTTCGACTGTCTACGCCGCAAATCCATCATCTCGCGTACTTTTGGTTCTCCACTTCCACGCCGCAATAACGAAAACTTCGTATTCCAATCCCTTCATTTCCTTCGTGCTCGCTTACTTTGCCGTTCTTTGTATCAGCACCGCATCCTCCGTCCGAATTAGAGATGGACCCCACAACTGTGCATCTGGAAGCCAAATACAGGGGAGTATGCATATAAAACCAACATATACACAAGCGATGATACCTTTGAGTGGTGGATTTTGGGGGGCGGGCATCACTGATAACTCTCCGTCCGCAGACACGAGTGCGGCACACCCATGTTTTGCAACAGTTCGAAGACCCGGCGGCCCGGCACAAGGCTACAAAGTTGCGGCGAAGAAATCTCGACGTATGATTTTGAGAGAGATTGAAACGAGTATTAAAGAGCCAAAGCTGCCTCCACTCCAGAGATCATCAGAACACTGCTTTTCATTCCATCTATACGTTCCTACCACCGCTTACGAAGCTTTTTTTGCGTATCAGAAATCGCCACCCATTCACCATGCACGTCATTCTTGGAATCTTGATGCTTTGCAGCATCAGTGTCTCCGCCCAATTCATAACCGCTCCCACCCCGACACTTGCCAATATCCTGACCGAGCATACCGAGTCTTCCGTCGGCGAGATCCCCCTCCCCACCGTGCTCGCCGACGAAGCCGTCGTCGAAGCCAAGCAAACGCCGCACACTGAATCCTCCGTCGGCGAGATTCCTCTCCCCACGGTGGTGGCCGCCGAGAGAAACATCGTTGAAGCCAACATCGAGGCCAAACAAACTCCGCACACCGAGTCTTCTGTCGGCGAGCTCCCGCTTCCCACGGTTCTCGCCGACGAGGCCGAGCAGGGGGCCGTAGACGCCCACATTGACGCTAAGCAGACGCCACACACGGAGCATTCCGTGGGCGAGCTGCCGGTGCCGACGCTGATCGGCCGGAAGCGTGCGCCGAAGGGTGAGCGGCGGGAGGCGTTCAGGGGGTAGAAGAATCGATCGCACTAGCGCCTTGGAAGGGATTTGTTCGTGGTTTCCCTTTTTCTCTGTTGTTGCCGGAACATTTGATTGCTCTTTTCTGTTCTTCTTTGCCCTTGTTGGAAGATGTTGAGGAGGATTTGTTTCTTTTTTTTTTGTCACTTGTATGGAGGGGTGGGATGTTCGGGTTAGTTCAATCTGTGTTTGTAGGCTTGAATCGTAGGCCCATCTTCGCCCTGTCAGACTTCCCAGCAATTAGTAATCGCTCCAATCGATGTGCTTTTTGTAATTCTGCACGGTTGTTCAAGCCACACCACCGGCCGGCCGATCCTGTTGCCCGTTCAGGCAAGCGTGTCAGCAGCGGGCCGAAAGGGCCGAATGCAGACCTATCGTTGCACAGCAGACGAGCGGACCTTGACAAACTTGTCAGCAATGAAACAGACGACTGATGATTGGTGGCGAAGCCTTGATTGTTTGTATTTGATGCTGTATAGTATGTACAGGAAGATGTAAATTCTAAGTTTATGTACTGTGTGTCGTAAATGTCATGCTGATAAGTGAGCGTCCGTTGGGTCCCTCCATCTTCATGGTTCCAAACGAATGTGTCTATATCTATGCACAAACTCTATGTCCAGATATGTTGTGCCAAAGATACAGAAAGATGTTTACTGGCTTGGCATGCCGGCCTTCAAGTTGTCGTACTTGGAGTCCGGATACGCGAGGTTGTTCTCGGTCGTGTCCGCAAGGCTTCCGTTGGCCGACAAGCTCTTGTAAACCTGCGTAGCAAGCAACACGCAGTAAGCATGCGTCCATCTTTTGATATGAAAGGAAAGTGGTACAGAGAAAGACTTACGTTTCCGATGATGCTTCCCTCGGTGGTGTTCTTGTCTCCAGAGGCCTCCCACCACATGGCACCGCCCATGGTCTTGTTCTGGACGTAGCTGACCTTCTTCAGCGCCATATCAACCGTATCATATGACACCATCACGCGAGCAGACGAATCGTAGCTGTAGGTAGCCCCGGCCTCGCTGTCATATTGTTCTGTTGCGCCGGCGCGAGGAAGGACCTATTTGCAGTTCGAACCCATACCGTCAGCCCTCAAGCATTCATCTTAGATAGCACAGTGGCAGCGGAGAAGTACCCACCTTGTAGTCCCAGATGCCGTTCTCCCAGCTCCCAGATCCAACGCCGCTGTAGCTTGTGCCCGGGCCATCCGTGTTCTCGAACGCGCGGCCGTACAGCGGCATGCCGAGCACCAGCTTGGCGCTGGGGATGCCGTTCTCGGTGTAGTACGTGACGGCCTGCTCGGTGTTGAACGGCGTAGCGGTGGGGTTGGAGGTGCTGTTGTAGAGGTTAGCCTGGTGGCCGGAGGTGGTGTCCCAGCTGCCGGCGTAGTCGTAGGCCATGAGGTTGATGAAGTCGAGGTAGGGCTCCATCTCGGCCAGGCGCAGCTTCTGGTAGTTGGTGGGGCCGGCGGGGGCGGCGATGGTCAGCAGGAACTGCGGGCGCGTGTAGCCCTCGCTGGCGAGGCTGTCGGCGTAGGCGTCGAGCGCCTCGCGCGTCGCCTGCAGCAGCGACACCCAGTTCTGGGCCTCGGTGTCATTGGCCGGGTACTCCCAGTCGATGTCGAGGCCGTCGAGGCCCAGGTCCTTGACCAGCTGCACCGCCGACGACGCGAAGGTGGCGCGGTTGGCGGCCGTCGCGGCGGCGCCCGGGAAGTTGGACGAGTAGGTCCAGCCGCCGATGGAGAGGAGCACCTTGAGCTTGCGGTTCGCCTTCTTCAGGAGGTACAGCTGCTTGATGCAGCCGTACACGTTGGTGCCGACGTCGTTCCACGAGTCGCCTTCGTAGTGCTTCTCCGTGTCTGCCCAGCTGTCTGTCGTGTACACTTCGCCAGTCTCGGGACGGACATTGGCGAAAGAGTAGAGGACGTGGGTCAACTGGTCTGCCGGCAGGTTCTGTGGATGGTAGTTGCGGCCGTAGATGGCCTGGAGAGATGTTAGCTGAGCCTGCCATGTTTTCGAGAAGTACAGACCCAGTTGACGAAGTAAGCAACAGTTCTGTATCCGTTTCCGCCGCCCATTGTGACTGTAGAGTTGCTGCTGATGCTGTTGTTATTGTTGTTGGTAGAGATTGGACAAGCGTCTGCCGGAGCCCAATATATAGACAAAGCGAATAGTGCGGCGGCTGCGGTATACGCCACTGCCGAGATGGAAGTTGACCAACGCATTATCACGAGTGTTACGCAGGATTGCCTGAGCTCAGCGTACCTTCAACATGACCAAAACGGCCGGCGGCCTGAAGTTGTTATACTTACTCTTATCAGGTCGTTGTAGCGAGAAAGGCCACGCCAGGCTTCGGCGTAGAGAAGACATGGCGTCGTGTGGACAGAGAGTCCGGGTCAGTTGGTCGCCCCTATCCAGTTACGACGCCACTTAATACCGCTTTTGGAAGTAACGTGTCTTCCATCTTGCACCGCTGAGCACGACGCCTGGCAGCCTTGCGAGGAATCAACAAGGCGTGTTGAGACCTCCAGTCATTTGGGCGACGCGGCCTGATAAGGACAAAAGACACAGCGGCCGAAAATGTGGAGGCGGGCCATCATCGCGCGACGGGCCGAAGATGACGGATGACGGTCAGATGGGATGTGGCACCTTGAAGCGCACCGCGATGGAGCTGCCATTCTGGGCGACAGTCATGCTGCTTCGACGTTACATTCCTCGCTCTTTCGGCCAACAAGAAACTCCTATGACGCCGGGCCCCTGCAAGCCCCAATCACAACGTCGCGTCGACATGTGCGCCAGGGCCGAACACCACCACCATTGCCGTCTGTTATATCAGCCGACACGGGCCGCGCAGCCTTCGGAGCATCGCCTTCGTCGGCGCATTTACCTCTCTCGCTGGTACAAATACCGAAGTGACTTGCTCGCGTGGCCCGCACGCATCCTTGCATTAGCTGCCGCGATAAACGGGTACGCCCCACATTGTTGCCGGCGGGGCCTGCATTGTCTCTGTTGTTGCGTGAACAAAGTCGCGTGAGTGACAGCCTTGGCCCCTGAAGGCGGCGACGACGCCTAATGAGGGAGACATGTCCGTCTAGGGTTTTGTAAAAGAAAAGTTCGAGGGCGCAAGCCAGAGGGTTGCATTGCGGGGTGCGTCATATCGATAAGGCCCCTGCTCCTGAAGATATGCAACAAGGAATCCTGGTCACACTCGAGACCCTTTTCACATGCTTTGGTAGACTGCGCCTGAAAAGGATACACATCTCAGGCTGAATGTGATCAATATCTATCCATCGTGGGGATTGGCTGCGAAATCATCTGGTTCTACCACGATTAAAGTTGCGGATGATTTTAAAAAGTACCTGCAGATGAGCTCGATCGTGGCGGCCATAGAACGGTTAATATGACATGGTAAAGGTGCTCTGAGGAGCAAATGGCGGAGGTTTGATGGCGTGTGGCTGAGATTGGAAAGGGAAGATTACCAAGCCCAAACGGAGCAGATCGCGGGGATGCTGAAGTGTTGTACGTAGACGAGGCTAAAGTGTACACAACGTGAGCTAGAAAGCTGATTATCACGGATTAGTCAGGCAGAACAGATTAAAGGAGAGTGGACAATGACCGCAAGTGAAAATTGTTGATTTCATTGTTCTCTCTCGTCTCTCGTAGGATGTTCTTCGCTCTCGGGAAACCTTCCCTCCTCTCAGTCGTCTCTAAAGCCTTGAGATCTGTAGCATTACCGCATCGCATTATGCCCATCGCTTCTGCAAATATCCGAATTAGTCAAGTCGCAGCCTCACGAAAACCCTTCTTCCAATCCCTCCCCTTCGGCCAGCCAAGAATAGCTCGCTCAATTGCAGCACGAATCTCGCATCTCGGGGCCTCTAGCACGTTTGAGAAGACGGTCAGCACACCCCATCGATTGGCCCGGAAAGCTTCGAAAATCCGACTGGGGGAAAACTTACTCAGCACCGCTGTAGTACGTGTCCCACTGGAAGATGGCAGCGCCAAGGAACGCGCCAATGAAGATGCAGATGATGATGTAGCCTGCAGGGGCGCAAACAAACAAAGGCGCGTCAGCATCAGAGAGAGGACAAGAATCAATAAACCACCCATCCGAAGGCGCGGAAAACATCCTCGTCGGCGCGAGGGACAGACAGTGCAGCGCGCATCCCGACCCAATATGTTTTCGGTCGGCCCCATCGCACGCGCCGACGTGTAACCACACCGGCAGCAACGCGTGGAACCGGATGCAAGGGCGGGGAAAGAACGCGCGCGCGGAGTTCGGAGAATGCAAAAAAAAAAAAAGAGAAATGAATCCAGAAACAACTCACCGTTGTAGTACATGGCCAGCAGCATGACAAAGTACCCGACTGCGAACTGCACCATGAACAGTGCGCTCCGCACCAGCTGCTGCCACCACTTCAGCGGGCCCACCACCGTCGTCATCCTGCCGCCCTCCACCAAACCCCGGCCCATGACGGCGGCCGTCAAGCCCTTCCCGCTCCTGCCGCTGGAGGCGCTGCTGCCGGACTCTTCGCCGGTAGGCTGGGCTGCTGCTGCTGCTGCGGAGGGCTGGTGGGACGAGGTGCTGTTGACGCGGCGGAAGTAGCGGTCGAGCTCGCGCTGGGCGCGGCGCAGGAATTCGAGCGAGATGACGAGCAGGATGACGCCGATGCAGGAGCCGGCGAAGGCGCCTGAGCTGCGGACGTGCCACGAGCGCGCGATGAAGCACGAGTCGATCGTATACCAGTTCCAGAGCATCTGCATCAACGTGGTCAGGAATGCTACATGTACATTTTTTGAGAAGGGGTCGGGAAGAACACGTACGGAGATCTTGCACGAGCTGCCGCCGCCCATGCCGCCCATGCTCATTTTCGCGGTGCTGGTCGCGGTGGCGGCCGTGGCTGTGGCCGTGGATGCCATGGACATGACCATGGAGCTGGCCGTCGAGGACATGCCGGACATGTCCATGATGGCGGGGTCGAAGGTAGAAGGGACGGTCGAAGGCGAAAAGACGAAAGTCCGGTGAGGCTCAGGCTGAGTTGAAGTGAGCCGTGTTCCTCGCAAACGGGTGTAGTGCGGACGGAAGGTCGGAGGAGCGGGAGCGGAGGGAAAGCGCGCGCCCTGTCACGGAATATCTAGGTCGGAGGAGAAGGCAAGGAGGGCGCGAGTAATGATGCGGGCGAGGACTAGGTCTAAGTTTTTATGACGGCCGCTGCTTTCCTCAGCTCGATATCTCAGGTGCTCGCTAAAAATAATGTGCTCACCGCTGCACGAGGGAAGCGCCGCAAAGGGAGGACCCGTGTCACGGCAGGCGTTATCTGGTCCCATTGCTCGCTGATGCCCCATGCTGCATTCTTGGCCCTTGGTCAAGGCGACGCTTGTCCCGAAGGGAAAACGTGCTCAAACGCTCGCGTTGGCGGAAAGCTTGGCGCGGAGACCGCCTAAGAGACCAAGTTGAAGGCGGGACGGGAAGTCATGGCCAAGGCTCGCTAGCAATTCCTTCAGAGAGTCATGGTACTACCGGAGGATGTAGACTTGTTCGGAAACTATGCGCCTGTTTTCCGGACCGGTCCCAAGCGTGACCCGCCAAATCCTCCGCAGCCTGCGTCATCACTACCCGGCGATCTAATCCCGCATCCCTCCCCTATCGAAACCCAATACCACAACCTGATGTGTATAATGAAATTTCCCGTAAAATAAGAAGTTTGGCTCAGAGAAATTACTCCTGAGAAAATGAATTTTATCATGCTCATGGAATTGTCTATCTCTGTCGAGACAATAGAAATTTACTAAGGTGGATAAGGACTTCTCCCAACGCCTATGCTTGCTATGCTAAAATGAAGACAAAACAAATTCAAGAAGACAAAATCTCCGACACCGAATCATGCAGAGGCCCAGAACCTCCAAGAGCCACCAACCCAAGCAACGTACTCCACCGCCCATCTCATGGGCAAATACACAAGCGGAAGCATCCTCTGCAGCATAGGGTACTCCTGCACAAATAGCGGCTGGGGCTTCTCGATTGCGCTGACGACAACCTCGTCCTGAGCAGCCATGGCGGCAACGGGCGACTGCGGGATCTGGATGGCCAAGGGCTGCGGGCGCACCGGCTTCAAGGCGAAGCAGCCGCCGTTGTCAGACTCGGTCCATGCGCCCTGGAGGTAGCCCTTGGCCATGGCGTCGTGCGCGGCCCGCGCCTTGATGAGATACGGCGTGCTCTCGCCCTCGACGTATGCCAGGCAGTTGTGCCACGGCGTCGGCGTGTGGTAGTTGTCGAGAGACTTCTGTGCGTTGCGCGTCTCGAGGTCCTCGACCGCGATGGCCTTGAGCAGGCGGATGGCAAACTTGGGGCCCGAGTTGTCATGGCTGTCAGACGTGTCACGTTAGTGCGTGTTGACAAAAAGCGGGGCTGTGGGCTACTTACGCATGGATGGAAAGGCGCACGTGGGACGGGAAGAGTAGCTCAACGAGGTTCGAGTACGCGCAGTTGCGCACAATCATCTCGGAAGCGACGCTGGACGAGATCTTCTTCCTCTTAGACATGCTCAGGCCGGCGAAAGCACGGCTCTGTGCCAAGTCGTCTAGCATGAACCGCGACAGACCGCGGTACAGACCGAGGGTAGAGGGGTCTTGGCTGCTGATCAGGCTGCGTAGGATGGTCTTGTCGTTCTGGCCGAGAGCCATCATCAACTTGCGGCAGAGCTCTGCATTCTCGGAGCGCTCCGAGTCGATCGGGTGCGTCAGCTCGTCCTTCTCGACCCACTTCTCCTGGAAAAGGCCCGTGACTTCGTCGTTTCCGAAGAAGATCTCAGTCAAGGAGGTGAACTGGATGTTGCCGTTGCACTGATTGCTGGACTTCATGCGATAATACATCTGTTTCAGGGACTCTCCATAAATGTCCACTTGATCATCCTTGACCTCCACTGTCAAATGTTAGCAACATCATGTGAGGACAGTAGCAATAGACTTACGCAGGTCTGAGAAGACGTGTCCGTCACTGACGATAAGCACAATGGCGCCGGGGCTGTAGACATCGCCCACGCGACGTGCGAACTCGTCAAGTGTCTTCAGAGCCAGATACTCAGCGCGGTCCGGGTCGGTACCGCACGTCTTCTCTGCGCTTGGTGACTTGCAGGGGAAAGCCGGAAGACAGAATCGGACGGGCAGGCGGCGGCTAACAAAGTCCAGCACGCGGGCCTCGAAGTAGCTGCGACCCACATTCCACTTGTCGTGCGGAACAACGTTGCGGAGGTACTGGTCGAATATCTCGGCGATGCGCGAAGCAAGCTGAGCATCATCCTGGTCTGGCGTTGCAGACGAGCGGCTTGTCGGCGGCAGGAGACGAGTTTCGCAGAGCACGAACAACTCGGCCCAAGACACTAGATCCATGGAGGATTCTTCGGAGGTAGGACCGGCGCTTTTGGTGCAAACCAAACCCAGAATGCTGTCCGGCCGTGCCGAATTATGAAGTTCTCGGACGCAGTATGTCGAACTTTCGGATGCCAGGCTCAAGGAGATGTCGGTGGACTTGATGTGTTTTTCGGAGGAAAGAGCAATATTTTGGCGCGGCTGTATCGACGAAAGCTGGTGCCGCAATTGTGACCAGGCAGACTCCAAGTTGGCGGCATTTGTGCCGTGCGTCGAGACCAAAGAGAAGTCGGGACGGCGCCAGTAGAAGCCCTGGACACCGTGGTATATGGAGGAGCCGCTGTTGAGAGAAGACATTATAATGTATGGAAAGCGGGGTATCGGCTAAACCCTTAAAGGTAAAGTGAGAGAGACAAGGTTACTGCTTGCTTGACAGAGAGGTGATTTGTAGTATTAAGAAAAGTGAGGTATGCTTTGAGGAGACGATGAAATGGAAAGGTGGATGTTGACTGAATCGGAGGGCCCAATGCTGATCTTTTATGAGGCAGTCGTTTGCTATCTGCTGTCACGGTTGCAGAGAACTTGGCGGAGCAATCTCGCGGCTGTGTCTTGGATCACTGAGGGAGGCTGGCAGCCACAGCTGAGCAAAGTGAGAATCGCAAAAGTCGGGTCAGCCACGGTGTCAAAAAAAGAGCACAAGGGCTGTTTGTTCAGCCGACAGATGCGTGCTCTGGGGTATCGGCCAGGAGACGACTGCCAAGGCCTTGGTCGCGTCCTCCGAGGACAGGGATGGATGCGCTTATGCGGGTCGGGGAATACACAGATTGGCACGAGTCAGGGCGCCGGGAACCGACGACGTGGTGGCTAAGTTCGCCGGGCTGGGCTGAGAGCCGTCGATTGGATGTGCAGTAGTGGGCAATACGTGCCTTCTCGTTGGGGCCCCAAAAATACCGGAGGCCTAGAAGGAGCAGCCTCGCAGCCTTGGCGGCAATGGCGCAGTCACACCAACCAACCGCGAGCCCGCACGCAACGCCGCATACCATTGCAACGTCTATTCCAGCACAGCCGTGTCAGCTCTGTTCCCCACAATCAGCTAATCCGCGTCTCGATCGGGCGACCACACGTCAGGTAACTCACGGGTGCGATGGTTACACCCGCGAGCGTTGCGCTATCTTCTCAGCCCGCCTGTGGTTGAGTCACTGCGCCGCTTGCGTGTCTGGGCAACAATGCTTGAATCCCTGATCCCCGTCCGCTTGGCCCGAAGCCGTCGGACATATCAGGCTTTCGATGGTCTACCGCCTTCTTGCGTCTTCGCATCCACCATCCCACCAGCAACATGCTATCCACTTCCCTGTTTGTCTGTTTCGTTGTGCCGGCCGGCCTGGCCGTCCTGGCAGCCGTCACCTTCCTCTTGCCTCCCCGCAACTTTCCCAAAAATATCCCGACCATTCCTTTCTGGTACACTCTTCTTCCGCTGTTCCGCGACTGCGACCAAGAGACGCTGTATCGCGAGTATCTCGAGGAGCCCTTGAAGAAGTACGGCGCCGTCAACATCTTCTTCGCTTCGCGCTGGAACGTCTTGGTGCAGCGGCCCGAACTGCTCCAGGAAGTGTTCAAGAACGAGGATCTGTACGCCAAAAGTGGCAACCAAAAAAAGATCCCGTACAGCGTGATCGCCGATTACACTGGCGACAACGTCATTTCGGCCCATGGCGCTGACTGGCGGCTGTATCGATCCGTGGTTGCTCCTGGCCTGCAGCGAGACTTCGACACTGAGCCGGTGGTCCGGAATGCGAATCTGCTGGCCAGCCTCTTCGCTGAGCAGCAAAAGAAGTCTGCTAGGGCTGGCGTGCTTGTGCTCCCGCTTCTGCAGAGGCTATCTCTGGAGAACGTTGCACAAAGCCTCTTGGGAACCCATTTCGGAGTAAGCCTCACTGCAACCTCGTAAAATTATCTCGCTGACGATTTCGGCAGACTCTCGAGAGCCCTCAGGCGCCCATGCATCAGATGCAGATGACGGTGAAACGGGAGATTTTCAAGCCTCTATTCTTGAACTTTCCTTTCCTCGACCGCTTCCCCATCCCGAGCCGGCAGCGGGCACGTCAGCTGGTTGATGAGTTCGCCAGCCAACTCTGCACCAAGGTCTTAGAAAGCCACCAACATGCTCACGACGAGAAGATGGCCAATGCATCTGCTGGTTGCCACCTGGTGCAAGCCTACAAGTCCGAGCTGCTTACCGAGCAACAGTTCCGGCACAATGTCTCTATCATTCTAATCGCTGGGCACGAGAACCCTCAGCTGCTCTTTCAGTCTTTGCTCTTTCTTCTTGGCCAACACGAGAAGGTGCAGCGGCGCATCCGAGAGGAAGTAGCTGCGGTCAGAGAGGGTGGGGCCTCTGCTATTCTGAACATACCCTATCTCATGGCTGTGGTGTATGAGACACTCCGCATGTACCCTCCCATCTCACAGCTCATCAACCGTTGCACCACAGCACCCACGGTCTTAGGCGGAAACATCGCGCTGCCAGCCGGTGCGTACGTTGGATACAACGGGTACTCAACCGGGCACGACAAGGCGTTCTGGGGCGAGGACGCAGACGAGTTCAAGCCGGAGCGGTGGGGCGCGACCATGGAGGAGATCAACACGACGTTCCGGACGGCGAACCGCAAGTGCGGCTTCATCGCATTCCACGGCGGCAAGCGAGCATGTCTTGGCCAGAAGTTCGCGATGTTGGAGGCGCGGCTGACAGTGGCGGTGCTGGTGGAGCGGCTGACTTGGCGGCTGGATCCCACATGGCGGAAACGCATGACTCCGGTAAGTATGCAACAACGTGCTGACTGTGGCTGGGCGCTTCCTTCAGACGTATCGCTGACATTGGCACAGGCGGGCCCACTGAGTCCCATGCTCCTTCGGCTCTTTTTCGAGGAGAGGTGATTGTCCGGATCCGCCGTTTTAGCAGAGCTCGCGTAAATGTTCGCGTAGATATGCGCAAGTTAGAGGGAGTAATGGCAGGCTGTAGCATTTTCCGGCGTTTCGGTAGACCTGTAGACGTAATTCAACTCGGTGCAAGCGAAGTAACTCAATGACGGCAATGCGCCACATGCGCTCCGTGTGCTCTATCTGTCGCGGGTAAAGTGAACCTAAAGATTAGGATGAGATTGCGTGAAGATAGTGCGTGAAGATCGCGGGCCCTTGCGGTAGCCTACCTCTGGGCAGGGGCCCCCCCTGCGAGTGGGGCGGTGAGTAGTGCTGGGGCTTCCTTCCTGATTTGGTACCATTCGCTTGGGGCGGAGCGCGGGGCTGCCGCTGACTCGGGTGCCAAGGGCTGTGGCTGCTGCGATCCTACCTTCTCGTCCCGACGCCCAGCTGGCCTTGCAGCACCGCAATCCTGCGTTCTCTCTGCTATTCTCACTCGGGGCTCGGCCGGCTGTGCTGACCCGGGCGCAGCACAACATGTTTCTACCGGGTATTTTTGGCTACGCCGCTGACCGCTGCTGTTTGCGCCTATTATCAGCGCATCCCGGTCGAGCCCTTATACTACCAACCCAACGCCAAATGCGACTTCTAATATGAACTGACGATGCGCCCTCCGCTCAACCCTCTCATCGCACCACTCGTTCAGGCCTCCCCTCTACTGACGGCCAAAATGGACAACGCCGAGAAGAAGCCAGCCGGTCCTTCGACAACTGTCAATTCCCCCACTTCCACCCTCACTCCGCCCTATTCTGCCTTCTCGCCCGCTACCCGCCGCTTGATTCTTGGCCTCGTCACCGCCGCAGGCTTCCTTGGTCCACTTTGCGGCGCCATCTACCTCCCATCACTTCCGCTTTTCGAAGAGCTCTTCCACACCTCAACAACAGGCATCAATGCATCTGTTACTCTGTACATGGTCGTCTTCGCCATCACCGTAAGTCGCTGCTTTTTTGCTTAGTGCAGACATCTAGACTGACCACCTGCAGCCACTTTTCTGGGCCGCTGCTGCTGACCACTGGGGCCGACGGCCAGTCTATACCGTTTCATTGGCCATCTTCATCGCCTCCAACATCTTGCTTGCTGCTGTCCCGGCAAACATCGCCGCCCTTTTCATTCTCCGGATCCTTCAGGCTCTTGGCTCAAGCGCTGTAGCCTCCGTCGGCGCCGGAACCGTTGCTGACATCACCGAACCGAAGAACCGGGCCTCGGCCATGTCCATCTTTTTGCTTGGCCCGCATATGGGTCCCATTCTTGGTCCGCTCATCGGCGGACAGTTCGCTGCTCCCTCTCGCTGGAGGTGGGCTTTCGGATTTCTCGGTACGTCTGCAATCTATCTATCCTTTCTATACGCTCCATTCTAACCACAACACTCATAGCCATCGCCTGTTTTCCCATCTACGTTGCCATCCAACTCTGGCTTCCCGAGACTCTGAGGACACTGGTTGGTAATGGCGAAAGCCAGTGCCGCTATGGCCTCCTGAAAGTCCAACCCTTCCGGCAGAAGAACGAAGACGGCAAGGTCCCGTCGCAACCCTCGCGTGTGCGTGTCTTCTGGGCACTGCTCGTGTACCCTCCCAACCTTATCATTATCACCAGCACCGCACTGCTCTTTGCCGGACTCTATGCCATCCTCGTCGATTTCACGCGCCTGTGGGTTGATGGCTATGGCTGGTCTGAGGCTGAGGCTGGTTACGCCTACCTTTGCCCTGGTAAGTCTATTTCCCACCTTCCATAGATAAGACCACAACGTATCCCTAACCGAATTATAGGTATCTTCCTGTTCGTTGGCTCCCTTGCTGGTGGCAAGGTATCAGACATGTGGCGCGCGCGCGCCGTCAAGGCCAGCCCGGACGGCAAGGTCCCCCCAGAGAGCCGCATCTTCCTGCAGATCATCGGATACGTCGCGACTGCCATGGGGCTTATCATGTTTGGCTGGCTCTGCCAGGAGCACGTGCACCCGGCTGCCGTCCTGTTTGCTTCTGCTGTCGGTAAGTTCAATACCCCCTCCTTCGCTCCAACTGGAACCTGTTTTAACATTCGTGTGCCAACCAGCCGCTTTCGGCATGTCCTGGGTCCTCGTCACCAGCACCTCCTACCTCACCGAGTCGTCGCCTCCGCACGCCGCGCGCATGGTCGCCCTCGCCGGTCTTCTGCGCAATATCGGTGCCGCCATCGCCGCCGCCGTCATCCACCCGCTCATCCAAGCCATGGGCTACGGCTGGTGCTACACCGGCCTCGCCTTCCTCGTCCTCGCCTGCGTCGCCGGCGTCTTCTACCTGCGCAAGACGGGCAGCAAGTACCGCGCCGGCCTGCAGGAGCGCATGAAGAATGCCACGGCGGCCAAGAAGAAGGAAGAGAAGAGTGCTGCGGGCACCAAGCACGGCTGCCCCGATTGTAGATGTGGTGTTCCTGTTCATAATTGCCCGGATTGCAGGTGTGGGACGCAGCCGCAGCTTCAGCCTCAGCCTCAGCAGCCGAAAGTGACTGTGTGATTAGCTAATGGTAATGGTTTGGATTGTCCTAATTGTAAGAGGAGGTAACTTCGATGTACAAAGATCTAAAGACGGTACGAGTTTACGAGCATTAGATTCACATGGGCGGATAAATCTTTTTGTTGCATTGCAATCGGCGTACTGAGAGCTTTTGCAAAGCGAAAGCGCTTGAGAGATTAGAGTAGTAAACTTAGATGTCTAATATAATAGTCATCAGAGCCTGCTTACCTGTCCATTCCACATTTTCGCGAAGCCTTTCTGAAAGAATCAATTCCAGGACGCTAGAGGAAGATTGTCAAACATATTGTGCACAATGATGCCACTATTCGAAATATCTTGATTGTCTCGGAAAGTTTGCCCAAGCATCACTCGGAGGAATGCCGACAAATAGCGCGCCTGGTTATGAGTTCCATGGGAATGGGGCCTCCATACATGCCCCATATTCCATGGTGCGCTCTGAAAAAAATCCATAGCGCAGCACCGAGTTTCGGATCAAGTTTGTTGCTTTGCCCGGTCAGCCGTACACACGAGAAGGCTACCATATCGTCGAAATGATGTTGAGTGAGAAGACAAATGACAAAGAGCTTACAGGATTGCTGTAAAAAAACAAAAGGGGGCAATTCCAACCGGTTACTTCGATATCAGAGCTGGTCAGTATCACGGGTATGGTAAATGACCACAACTCAGCTTGTTTTGGCAGCAGAGAATTCGGGGATTGCCCGTGGATACCTTAAACGAATACTGCTGTTCGGCAAAGGGGAATGCAGTGTGTGTGCGTGTGACTGCCTCACAGACTATGATAGCGGGAGTGCTAGCTCAAATTTGTGTTTACTTGAGCAACTGGTGACCTTACGCAGGCGCTGCTTGTCGTAGCTTCCTCCGCTGCACCCTTGAAGGGAAAGGCAAGATGCCCGCCCTCCCAAAGCCTCTTATCTACCCTCACAATCCATTTTTCGATTAACAGATGAAGCCAAAGATTTCCACCACCATTCTACACATTTTTTTTTCTTTCCCCCATTTCCACAATCTGACATTCGTCCGCTACCGGTCTCTCTTTATGGAGTTTATCTCGCCTCGCCAGGCTTCCTTGCTGAACATTTCAACGTTCAACTCAACCGTACATCCATCATGCACCTTCAAGAATCCTCTTTCCACCGCCTTCTCCAACCACCCGTTCTCCGATGACGAACTCGACTTGCCAAGGTCAAAGGACCTGAACAGAAGTTTCCGCCGAGGCGCCAGTCCGCCTCCCAGCACCAACCAGACCGTCAGGTCTGCAACCAAGAGGTCATTCTTGTGTTGGTTCCCCAGCCTTTTCTTGGGCGTGTCGAGGACTGCCTTCTCTATTTGCTTCCGAAGGACTCTGTCGACGACCGCAGATGCCGTCCAGGTATCAACGGCCTGGGCATACCATGGTCCGAAGTTGAGTGGGCGTGAATTGTCGGGTATCTTCATCTGGTCTTCGAAAGTAATTTTCAGATTCACTCTGGCATTTTGAGAGCGTGGAGGCGTAACTCCGTAGAGCATGCGATGCTCGTCTTCCTCCAAGCTACCACCATCCATAAGATCCGCTCCACCGGGGATCGGGGGTCTGTCGGATACTCGCGATAGCTCCTGTCTTTCGACTCCATCGGATGCAGTAATCTGATCCGAACCATGTTGCACTTCATGATAGCTTCCTGAAGGAGGCATCTCACTTGGGTGTGCACCTGACATTGTGCCATGTCCCATGCCGTTCTGCATCTCTCTGAGACTCCGGTGGAGTTTAGCTTTCGCTGCTCGCGGTAGACTCGTACCGGGATCTTCCCGGATGGAAGACAGGCTGCAGATCAAACCAAGCCCTTTGCAGCGCATGCACCCGAGATAAGCGCCCCATTCCAAAGGCTCACAATCCTTTTTATCTTTTTTGCAGTTCGTGCAACCAGATCTATGGATCTTCTCGATGAAGGTAGCCAGCTTGTTGGGCTCTATGCGGAGTGTAACAATCTTGGACGCTTCAGGCATGGCTGAGACCGTCTTGTGAGCTTCGTTTGATGATCTGATGCTCTCGTGATCATACTCATCATCGCCACCCTTGTCGCTTCCCAAGTCTACGATAGAGGCCGTTTCAAAAGGATCCCCTCTTCGTAAAGCTGGACCGTAACTTCTCAAAAAGCTTTTGAGATGTTCCTTGTGCTGTAGGTGTTTGATTGCAGGCAAGAAGTTAACGACATTCATATTGATCCTCGAATGCGAAGGTCTTTCCAGGTAAGCGTTATCTTTGTCACGGTCCAAGAGAAGAAACACCAAGCGACGACCGGTCGTTTCTAGGTGGACGGAGACTTTGTTCAGTCTGCCTTCCTTGTCGCGTTCCCAGGTGTCAGGAATCTTGTCCGGGTTGACGATTCCTACTTCGAATCTGAATACATGCGGTAACTTATGCGCTAGAAAGAAGTTGTATGCTTGTTGGTGGGGATCGGCGGGGGCGGGTTCGGGTATCACAATCGGATCGGCCCGGGAGCCAGGAAGGCCGTCCTGGATGCGTTCGATCTTGGGCACACCCGGCTGATCGTGGGACAGACCCACAATGACTCTTGCCTCATCTGTTATCCTGGGGCGTTTGTTCTCCTCTTGTACGTCCGGATCGCCCTCAATCGGCCGCTTTGTGCGTGGATGGATCGGTAGCGAGGTAGGGACGCCGCGGCGCAATGCGCTAAGTTGGGCAGGTGCCGGCGCAGTAGCTGCCCTCCTAGAGTACAAGCCTGCCTCTATTCCGTCGGTGTTCTTCAGAAGATGTTCGTGCTCTGCTGATTGTACAGCAACATCAGGTACAGGTGATGCACCGCTTTGCTCGCTGATGGGGGTTGCAGGTAACCGCGCTGGTGGATTGCTTTTGGGGATGAAGCACAAGTAGTACTTTCTGTTTTCGTCGGCTAGAGGGAATAGGGATTCAAATTGTACTTGGAGGTCGAAGGTTGTTGGTGGAACATCTGTATGACCTGTGCACTTCTTGTGGTAATGGATGTGAAAATCGAACTCATCCACAGGCTTATGATAACCCGTTCTGATGATCTTTTCCAGCATCTGCATATTATCAGTATGATAACCGGCGGCAAGAGTAAGGAGAAGTCGTACAGTAAATGGTGGTTCGTCCCAGTGGCGTTCATTGGACGATGACCAGAACATGTCTTCCGGGAATTGTAGCTTGTCGTGCTGCTCACTAGGAGACACAGTGTCAATCACGAGAAATCTCATAGCTTCTCGCAAGCTCTCTGCTCAGCGCAATGGAAGACGAAGGCAATGAGCCAGGATAAGAACAACGGTGGAGTGAATCGCAACAGTGAGGCAAAGCGTGTCGGTGGATGGAACTGCTCAACAGGGAAAGCCTTCAAGAGGCTCTCAAGTAACGCGAATGGTGGGCGCGCCGAGGAGGGCGCGAAAACGAAGGTGTGGCGAGGAAGGCGCGAGCGGGTGTGGGTGGGCAAACGTTGCCGCACGGGCCCACAGCTGCGGTATTACGAGCTGGTTCGATGCGCCTGCAATAGCGGATTGCTGGAGCAGCAGTGGAGGGGGTTTGCAGGGGCTATATATCCATTCGATGAGTGATTCATGGATTGGCCAAATGCAGGTAGCCGAACCGCATGACTGGAAGACGCAAGATAAACTGTAGCAGACCGTGCAGCAGATGCCATGGCGGACCGTGGGGCATCTGGTGTGGCCATCCGCCAGACTCTCGAAAACAGGTACGATAGAGACAAGACTATGTGTGTCTAGACCAATCGCATAGGGTGGCTTCGGCCAATCATTTCCATTTACTGTGACTGTGCCGCAGCCATACAGCGATGCATAGGCCAACAGCTGCAGACGATGTCTGAACAAGAAAAAGAGATTCAGTACAACTCAGACTGTTCAAACACAGACCCACAGCGAATATGGTATGGGAGGAGTTGAGGCGGTATAGTAGTCGTAATGTATGGCACAAGCCGCTCCCTGCCGCGTGGCAAGCGCGCGACGAGAGCTGGCTGTCGCTCACCAATGTCGCAGCGCTCTAAATGACCACGCCAGTGGAATACTTCTGAGGGTGTCGTCGATAGTCGCGGGCCTGTATGTCTGTCTGTCAGCATTAGACGTTATGCGTTTGTGTAAAGAATAAAATTGCAACTAGGATGGCACGAACTCTGCGGCAGGCAGCAGCGCCCGAAACTGAGACAGACAACTGCAGCCCGCTTGAGTTGGCATCGGTCCGAGCGGAGCATCCGCAACCCCTCGCCCACTCATCTTGCTAAACATATTGCTGTAAGTTTGGGTACTAATTCATGGGACAAGATGAGGCTCGATCAGAGACTGTTTCAATAGCGATTGGAAATCAGCAGAGTTACCTGAAACGTCGACTTTCGCGAGAAACCCGAAGAAACAGTTGGGTACCAGCAAGAAAGACTGTGTCCAAGCTCTAGTATGTCGGCCCTAACGATCACAGGCAGGGGAAGCTGGTACGTGAAGCTGTCAGCCATAAAGCGCACTACAGGTGTAGAAATGATCGTTGACAGCTTGTATACAGAACACCCGCATTGGTGCACGGCCATCGACTGACCCCTGCGAGTCATCACTGTTAGGCGCGGCGATCTTGAATTCGAACATTCGAACCCTGCGCGACGGACCAGTAGGAAGCGGTCGAAAGGGCGATGTTTCCATGTGCCCACGTCGAATCGGATGGAATCGCCAATTGGCAGCCAGCGCATGCGAGTCAACGAGCACGCTCGTGGGGATCAGCGATGGCCTTTTCGGGTCAGCGAGAGAGAAGGGTCGGGCGCAGAGCGGGCGCTTCCATGATCTCGTGCAACTCCTTGGACGGGGCCGATTCGCGAAACAAGGACGGGGCCCGGACGGGCAACCCTATAAGAGGCCGTCCGGCAGCGTGGCATGATGCGGAGATGAAAAGAGCGCAGCCGCGAGAGGCTGGCACGCCCGCATGACGTCGTCATCGCGCAGATAGGCGACCATCACCCTCACCGCAGACATGTCCTGCCTCCTTCACCGGCCTGGTGCCCGGGCACAGTCACATGCAGGGCATGAATTATCTCTGGCAACGGCTCGCGTCGCAAGAGCCATTGAAACGACGATGCCGGGTTGGCGGCCGGCCCTGTGACGGCTACCTGGAAGCCGGGGAAATAGCAGCAGAAGACTCTGGAACCCAACCGCGAAACGGCAAAGATGCGTTGGGCAGACAGCGGGCGCCTGCGGGAGGGCTAGGCTGATCCACGGGCACGAATCTGCCGTTGACGCCGCAGGGCTGTCGCTGCCCGTCGCAGGCAAACAGACGCCCAAAGCGGCGGTGCGCCGTGAAGAGCTCAACGTCGGGCAAGGCGCCGGCTCGGCTAGACGAGGCGATGCAATAGCATGAGGGCTGCTAGCCTGGAGAGCGTGGTGCGGGCCGGGCGCGTGCAGATGCAGGCGTGAAGCTGGCAGCGAGCCCGTGCCAGCCACAGCAAAGATGACGTTTTCTGCGCGATGCGGGCACGGCGCAGCAAGCCGTCGTGCAAGGCCACGCCCAAACCCCAAAACCAAGCTCACCTGCCAACAGCCCCCGCCGCCCAAACCTGCACCTCTGCTCCTACTCCGGGGCTCGCCCTTAAGCTAAGGGTCGTCCTCATCGCCCGCAGCCCGCACTGCCCACCTCCACATCTTCGCCGTCTTCTCCACACTTGACGCCCAGCCGCCTGGCCCGCGGCTGACCATCGCTTGACCCGCCCGCCGATCCCCCTCACCGAACCAACCACCATGGGGTCCCGCCGTGCATATCCCACCGCCGACCTCTACGACGAACGAGAACGCGATTTCTATGGCGGCGGTCGACGTAGCCAGAGAGCCTACGAAGAGCTTGATGCTGATATTGGACGTCCGCGCTCCGAGTACGGCTCGCGTCGCCCCGGCCCGCAGCCTGACTTCCTCCGCGAGGACTATGGCCGCACCTCCGCCGGCCCGCTGGTCGTGTCCGACCGTCGCACCGTGAGAGAGGATGACTGGAGCCCGCCTCCGATGAAGCCGCGCAAGGACATCGAGCGCGACGAGCTCATAATCCGCGACAGGAAATCGGAGCGACCTCCGCCCAGCCGCTCCAGCCAGGCAGACCGTGACGACATGCTCTACCGCCGCGGTGATCCTCCCCCACCTAAATCTCGTGCTGTCGAGCGTGAAGAGATTGTGTTCAGGCATGAGGATCGCTCCCCGCCCAGGCCGAAGCCGCGCGAGCGCGAGCGTGAAGAGATCATATTCAGGCACGAAGAGCGTTCGCCTCCACCGGCGAGGCCGCGGCCGCGTGAGGTAGAGCGAGAGGAGATCGTCTTCCGTCGCGGTGAGGGTGCACGTTCCAGGCCGCCTCCCAGCGAAGTAGATCGTGAGGAAATCAGGATAAGGCGAAATGAAGGTCCCCCGTCTCATCGGCCTCGCGACGTTGAGAGAGAGGAGGTCAGCATCCGGAGGACCGAATCCGAAGGGCCACCCCGTCACAGGTCGCACTCCCACAAGGGCGACCTGATAGCGCGCGAAAAGGAAGAGTTCGTGATCAGGAGACGACCGCCTCCTCCTCCCTCACCCCCGCCGCAGGAGACGAAGCAAGAAATCATCATCCGGCGGACGGAAAGGTCTCCAAGTCCCGAGCTGCCCCCTTCTCCTCCTCCCCCTCCCCCGCCGCCGGAGCCAATTGTTCGACCACCGATCGTTCAGGAAATCATAACACATCACCGCCACATCGATCACGGTAAGCAATTGTCAGATACTCCCTATTACTGCACTTGACTAAAAGTATGCAGGTGTTGAACGGGCACGCTCGCCTACTCCTCCCCCTCCGCCGCCGTCCCCGCCCAAGGACGAGACTCTTGAAATCTCCATTCGCAACCGACGGTAAGACCACATGATCCCACTATAGCTGCAGTGCTAACTTCCGCCCAGCGGAGAGAACGGAAGATTTGAGGAAGAAAACATCACCTTCGAGCGCGACGTGCGAGACCGTAAGGCGCCAGCCGATGACTTTCAGGTCAGCCGACGCCGCTCCGTCAGCTTGCCTCGCAGAAAGCATGCAGATGACTGGGATATTGACGGCGAAGCCGATTACTACAACCGCAAAGCCATGGAGCGCGCCTACGTGGGTGAAGCCCACAACGGTGCGACTAAGGATTGGGCCATCGTCGATGTTCCCCCGGGTACAAACCGGGTTCGCATGGAAGGCGTTGGTGGCGGCGCTCAAGAAGTCACTTGGCAACGTTACAATGGCGTTCGCCGGTCCAAGTTCCTGGCCGACGAGCGTGAGTACGCAACCGACTGGGGTGCGCCGGCGCCGGCGCCGCCACCACTACCAGCACCACCGAAGCCGAAGCCTGCGGACATGTGGACGGAGATCACCAAGGACTTGGTACTGAAAGAGGCGATTGATGCGATGGGTTACGACTACGAGGAGACTGATTATTTCTTCTACGTGATGGAGTACTTGCGCTACGTACGTCAGGTCGGCACATTTAGGGTTTGGGCTCTCTGCTAACGTCATTACAGGAGGATGTCCTTCAACTGGTCGAGATATCGGACGATATTCGCCGTGAGCGCAGGCAACGCATTCGAGAGATTGAATACGAGCGCAAGAAGCTTGAGGCTCCGCCGCCGAAGAAGGAATACGACTACTACGAGCGCGAAATCATCTACGAGCGAGAGCGGGAGCGCGATGACCGCCGCGGTCGGTACCGGTAAAGACGCGACGCCAACACTGCCAATACCGCGATGACCGTTCACCTGTACTTGTTCGATATCCCCGGCCTTCCAATGGCCGATGCTTGGGCAAGTCGACATACGTCGACCGACCTCTCTAGACTTGGAGCCCACCAACGGCTTCCCACCCGTTGTGGCGCAAATCACAATTGCGACCCGGCTCTCACATCCAATTTGGCTGTCCCATTAGACCTGCTTCATGTGCCGCGCAGCGCGGATCCTTTTGCTCCTGTTCTCACGGCAGTGATCCTTTCTACGCCTTAGTTGGCAGATCTCAGTTGAGAACACGAAAAGTCATTACTCTTGCGGTCGAGACGGCACAAGATATCACACCACACGATAACGACCTTAACGACCTTTCTTAACGAAGTACACGGGAAATTTCTGGCTGGACGAATCTTCTTTGCAAGCGGATCGGAAAGAAGGAATGGGCGAGCTAAACGGCAACACTTTTCGGGAAATGCGTGCTGGCAGGTGATGTGATGGTTGTCTTTTCTTTCTTAATGACTAACTTTCTGAAGACTTTTTTGTTTTCTTCTTTCGAGCTCTTCTATAAAGTTTCTGCATCGGGCGGATAGCAGTGATAAGAGGGGCTCAAGTAAGGTTGAGATATCTTTTTGTTCTTTTTCCCCGTTTGAGGATTATGGCTTTTATACTAGTTCCAGTTCTACCATAGCCAGCAGGACAAGTCTATACAGTTCATCTTTCTCATTGAGGAAGTATTCTTGAATGCTCAGTGTGGTACCAACTACTTGTAATTGCGTTTAGTGTATTTGACGTCGTCTTTTCACTGGTTAATATTAGGGATGATCCTACCAAACTTACGAATTTGCCTGTGAGATCTCATTTGTGAAAGGAAATCAATTGAGCTGCTTGGAGATTGTTTACCAACTTTTCAGCCTGAGTCATTTCCTTTCTTTGTCCTTGTTCTTTGCCATCAGCAAAATTCCCGGGCGCCAAGGCTGGTAAGGGTGGTTTGGTAACACAGAAGTTTGGCACAATTAGCACAATCAGCACTTCCGGCACCCAGCAACTTGAGTTGCAGTCAGCACATTTGGCACCTCTACCACCGCTAATACTACCAACACCACCAGCGCTATTAGTAACAGTCTCATTAATGCCCCTTTTTACCTGTTCAAAGTATCTTTAACGCGTAGAACCCTCTCTTTATACGGAAACGCTATTGATTTTTTTTTGAATTATTCCCAGCTCCAGGATTATCTTGATCTCCCTCAACGACGACGCCACACCGATCGAGGGGGTGCAAACTGCTCGTTCGTTATCTAATTCCAGCATATTCAAGCTTCGTCGAAACGAACACTTCGCGGTTCGAATGACTCCTTAGCGTGTTGTAGTGTTATTTCTTACAGCTATAGCCTTAAATGCATACTATCTCCTACATAGGCCTCATGAAAAATGTTTCTACTTGTTGAAGTTCCACAAGAAGCAAAGAGTCTCGAAGGTATAAAGAAAGAATTTCGTAGGATGAGCTTATGGCATCCGTTAGAATTCTTCTGTGCCTGTTTGTAGTTATATCTATCATCTGATACTAGAGATTGTCCATTTAGCCACCAGCTACCGCGAAATATTAGATCAACTTCCGCGCATCTGTGGAAAGTTCATCGTACCACATCCACAATTAGAGCTAACTTCGGTAAATGTCTCTGCCAAGATTTCCGGGCGGTTGGCCCATTTCTTAAAGAATATGATTGAAGATCATTGTCGGAGCATGATGAAAGTTTACAGTAACTGTTCTTGGTATGGTTTGTGAGGTTCGTTTCACCCAAAACCCGCACAGATCAATGTAACTCGCAGATCTTTCATAAAGTGAGTTTACATTTTGAGTTCGTTCGCGATCCTCTCATGATATTCGAGTGCTGGAGTTGGCCCCTTCCTGGCCTAAAGCCCCCAATATCTATATAATTCATTTAAATCAGCTGCCCCACTGCCCCCGCCGGCTCAGTTGGAAGAGACTCCTGGCGACTTGAGAACCCCCTGGGATTCTTCGTAATCTGTCCGGTTCGAGCGCGGCTAGGCACGTATTCCCTCCTTTCCCTTTGCCTACTTTTTAAGCCTTTAAACTTCTCATGTAACAAATTCCTCACTCACTACAGAGACTTCATCTACGAAGGCGTCCGCACCATACACACACTACCTTCGTCCGTCGCCCCTTCGTCGACAAGAAGTCTTACGCTACCGGCGGTTTTGGATCGACGCACCTTGCTTGCTCTTTCCGTGAGACACAAGCCTCCTGATATTTGTGGCGCCAATTGAATTCACTCACATTAGCCCCGCGGGATATCATGGCGACGTCAAAACGTGATATGAACGCTATCACAAGCGGCGGCTTTTCCAATATGTATGGCAATCATATCCTCTTCTTCTCCCAAAATGTAAGGCTTAGCATATGCAATAAGACAGTGCGACCGGCTGTTCAGTCATACTCCACGTGCAGAGTTCCATTTGTGAATGGCAAGGGAGCCAAGGCATACACTGGCGGAACTGTGCCACCTTGCCGCCTCAATGCACGGCGATGCATGCGACGACCTCAGACGAAGTTCACCAAACGTATACACCACAAATGAATCCATGAACAGCATCTTAATCTCTCAATTCCTCTACGAATTCCCTAGAACTAGAGAGACCCAGGTATGCCTTCTAAAAGGGGCCACTCCACCCCCATAATTCCTTCTTTCCAGCCCTTGGGCCTATGCCTGCTCTCGCTGATGTCTAAGGAAACGATGTTGCAATAGTCGTAAGGGAGAGAACACTGTTCCACTGTTGATATTTATCATAGATTTGAGGGAGGGGGAAGAGTAGGGACTCTCGATGTCTTCTTTGAGTGAGGCAAAAGTGAGGAAAGGGAAAAAGAATGAGACATCCAATTCCCATCCCTATGATCGGCAGTACCTTTCCATTCCCGCCAAAAATGTAAGAAAAAGAGACTTCCCCCATTTCCAGCATCACGGAATCGTCTATTCCTGGCTATCAGTGATCGGCGAGCGGCCGGCTTTCTTCCTGGTGATATGTGCAAGTCGTTTCCAGAAGGGAGGATCATGCGGCAGTAGAAGACACGGAAGCGAGCTCATCCCGCATCTCAGTGACTACGGCCTTCACTCTCTCCTCCTGACTGATCTTCTCCGCACGTGCCAGCGCCTTCTCAAAGTCAAAGACTTCCTGAGCTGCTGCGCGGAAGTCCTCTCCGAGAGAAAGTAGTGTTCCAGCACCGACAAGCGCACGGTACAGAGCCTCAGGCTCCTCCACGGAATTGATGATGTTGGTCAAATCGTCGAGGAGCGTGAGGGCGCGGTCAGCGTTGTGGCTGGGTGATGTCAGAAGAACCGCAAAGTTGATATATAAGGTCGTTATGGCCACGATCAAGTTACGGCTGCTGAGGTGCGAGCGGATGAATGGTTGAATGAGAGGATGAAGCACCTCGAACGTGCCATCCATAATGGTCCGGCCCTCCTCAGTCTGGAACATGTTCGCAAAGACACGGACGCCAAGCATTACATTGTTGGTTGGTGAATCGGGAGCGAATACGCCAGCGTCCCGAAGTAAGTGGACGATTGTCGAATCTCCGGAACTCGTATGCGTAGCAGTAGTTGGCGATGCTGCTGCAAGAAGACGCAGGAGATCAAGACCAGGGAGCCGTTTGTCTGACGGCCATGTCGTTGCGATCTTCACAACAACATCAATTCCCGCTGTGGATGCGGTCTTCGCGGTTGATGCCTGTTGTAGCTGCCTGCAGATAGAGGAGAGGGTAGTCAGGTCGCTCGAATTAAGCGAGAGATCCTTAGAGCCCTGGTCAAGAAGTTGTTGGTTCAGCTCCTTGATCTTCTTCTCGATGATAGCTAGATTGCCTGAATCAATCTTGAGGTATTGGGTCTGCGGCAGAACCTTTGGCTTAGAGGCGGCTGGAGCACTGCTGGGCGCGGCCGAGCCTACTTCGCCTGGGCGATACCTGGACTCGGTTCCCCATGGATCGGAGCCTGGTGGTTGAGTGGCACCTGAAGACTGTCCCAAAGTGGCACCCTGGGTGTTTGTGACGATAAAGTTTGTAACCTGATCCAGGTAAGTAATAGGAAGCTTGTTATCCTCAATGAACTTCCGCGCCGTCTCGTACGGATTGTCGGATAGGTTGTACGGAAGCTTCAGCGGAGGCTTGCCGTCCTCGATATCGACATCGAAAACATAATCGTAATCTTTCCCATTGAAGGTGATCTTCTTTCCGCTACTTCCAACAGCATCAACGACCGTGCCAACGTTGACCCATTGAGAAGCTGCCGAGGACCACGTGTATGCCGAAACGTTTCCATTGGCCTCTCGTATCATCTGGACCTGGCCCTCCTTCGTGCCCGACTTGGATGTCAAGAACTCGGGGCCTGGAAGCTGCTCCTTGTTGATGTTCCCGACTTGTTGCTGTGGGATAGCAGAGCCCTTGACTGCCTCTTCAAATTCCTTGATAGTACTGGCCTCGGCCTGACGTTCCTGGGCGCGACTGAAAACACGGACGACGCGGTCGCTGGCACCGGTAGCAATGTCTCCGCTCTGCTGACATACCGCCACCGACCACACCGAGATTGCAGGGTGTGTGATGGTCTGCACGCATTCGGTGCCCTTCCATATCCTCACGGTGCGGTCCTCGGAAGAGCTGACAATCTCACCGGTCGGTAGTGTCGCAATGGCGTAAATGAAGTTCTCGTGACCGAACAGCTCAGCAACCTGCTGTCCCTCGATGGTCCATAACCGGATGACTCCGTCGTTTCCGGCGGAGGCGAACTGGGCGCCGGAGGGATGACCTTCAGGCAGCCTGCATAAAGCTCGAACTACGTCAGGGCCGCCCTGTATCGATCGGAGGAGTTTGCCCTCGGTCGTGAAGAATCGGATCTGCTTATCGGCGCAACCTGATGTCAGAGGCGGGGGTCAGTCGATAGCCGCGTTACACAAATCGCCGTTCCAACACCACCTCGTCAGGAATTTACATACCGGTGATGACGAGCTTGCGATCGTAGGCTAAGACGGCCCAGACGCTGCCCGTGTGGCCGCGTAGCACTGTTGAGGCCTCCCAGTTGCCAATCTGCCATATGCGCGCCTCGGTGTCCCAGCTGCCGCTTACGACTGTGCGACCATCCTCAGCCACGTCCAACGCGCACACGTTGCTCTGGTGGCCCAGCAGGAGAGCTTCGGCGTTGTCTTGCGGCGCGCGGGAGGGCTGGCGAACCTCAATGATGGTATCCTTGCCTCCAGCTACTATCAGGCCATCCGGGTAGCTGGACGAAGGGGGGACGTAGGCAACGGTGTTGACGAAAGCCGTGCCGTGTGAGGCAAGGGTGCAATCGTACGTAGGCGGAGAGGGGGAGACGCGCCTCCAGACCCTCACGGTGGCATCTCTGGAGGCGGACAGCACGAAGCTCGGATCCGGAAAGGCGACGCTGCGGACCTGGGGGGCGCTGGTTTAGCATTGAGAAGCATCCACTGCACTGGACTGCCACAGAGGGGAGGGGCTCACGTCGTCCTCGTGGCCCTGCAGCTGGGCGGACAGCTTGAAGTCGCCCATGGGTGCCGCGGAAGCTAGACCAATGAGATGGAGCGCTCTGGGCGGGCGGGAGAAACGGTCGAGCCCAAGGCGGAGACAGCTGCAGCGCAGGATCGGAGGCTGGACGCGGTGTCAGCTGGATGGGAAAGTTCGATCTGGCGTGTAGCTATGGACATGGCATCGTTGTGACGTTCTGACGTCGGGCTTGGCCCGTGTTCGGGCCATCACGTGTGGCAGCAGGACCCCGCCGGCCACGTCTTCCTGGGGGCGACAAGGCCCAGGGTGGCAGGAGTCGGCGGGGGCCGGCGCCGACTGCCGCTGCGCCCACCCCAACGCGCACCCCTCAGTCATGTCCACCACGCGCTCGTGCAGTTCTCACCTCTGGCCCGCACGAGCGCTTCGGCTCCGAGCAGAGCAAGATCTGGGCCCTAGGCGGCTGTGCGGGCTCCCGCCGCAGTCTTGACCGGGATGCTTTCGCGCAAGGCTGGCCGTTACCAAGACCGGCGCCTGTGTAGTGGCGGGCAGGTTTCCAGCCGCAGGGCGGTACGCGCGGAGACGCTGCACAGGCGCGGAGGTATCCAGGTGGTGGCTTGCGCCAGCGACTGGGCCGGAGCCAGCCCTGCGGCACCTGACAGACGCCTGGCCCACAGGCGAAGGTAGGTGCCGTTCTGTTCCCGCCATCACACAGCATACGGGTGATGGTCGCGTTACAGGCTTACTGCCTGCATCGCCTGACCGCGCAACCCCAAGCTCGGCCTATGTCACGCCGACTAATTCATTGCGCAAGCTGCCAGAGCTTAGAGTGTGTTTGCAAATAAGAAGCGCGAAGCTCTGCTGCGCCGGCCTGTTGGTTCACCGGCTGCATCATCATCACAAAGTCCAAGCTATATAGTCTACTCAGCTCCTCTCCAGCTCCAGCTCCACCACCACCTCCTGTATTCCGCGTCGCCAAGAGTGCCACTGCGCCGTTATTCGATCTCCAGTGTTTTTGCCTGATTGAACCGCTCAAGCCACCCTTCGCCCTTTGGCACACAGACGGTGCCACTTAGCCTCCTCCAGCTCCCTGCGGCCCTGTCGATCCTACCGCCCCATCTGGAACTACAGCTGTTGCCCACATGGTCGGCATAGATATAACACGGGCGCCCGCGCAGGCCCATCTCTACAACCTGCACATCCCCCGGGACTTTCCAACACACTCCTACTACCATTCTTCCCCAATGCCGTACATCCAGCCTCCAGCGCTCAAGCTAGACACCAAGATGGACGCGCCGAACGCAGAGCTCCTCAGCGCATTTGCCTCGTATGCTGCCCTCTCCCAATTGTTTCTGGACGCGAGCACTAACGCGGCTGCAGACTCCTCTCCTCGGGCAAATACTCCGACCTCACGGTGCAGTGCGGCGAGAGAAGCTGGGCGGTGCACAAGGCCGTCATCTGCTCGCGGTCAGGCTTCTTCGACGGCGCGTGCAGCCACCCGTTCAAGGAGTCGGCCACAGGGGTCATCGACCTTAGCGAGGACGACGCCGAGGCCGTTGAGCACATGATCAACTGTATGCATTGCCCCCAGGAACCAAGGGCGCAGCTAACGGCGACGCTAGATTTCTACCATCTGGACTACCTGTCCAAGTCGCCCAGGTCGCCCAGGTCGCGGCGAACAACGCAGCCCTCGTCTCCGGCGGCGTGCGTGCGGGCCCAGGTCAGCGCCAGAGCGGCGGTGCGAGGACCGGGGAAGCTGGACCTGGCCCTGGTCGACGATCCGCTGCTAGCGCAGGCGCACGCGCAATCCGTGCCCAGCGCGATCAGCGCGACCGAGATCCCGTCGAACGCTCCCGCGTCACCGCTCACCCCGCCCCACTCAAATGACCGCATCGACTACTTTTCCTCCATCGACGCGAAGCTGCCCCTGTCGCCCGTCGATGCCCAGGGTCCCGACGACGATCACTTCGACTACGCCTCGTACGAGAGTGAGAGCGAAGATGAGGCCAGCACAGACGATGCGCCCTCGCACCTAGTCACCCACGCCAAAGTCTACGCAATCGCTGAAAAGTAAGCTCATTCTCTGTCCTTGTGATAAACCGTCGCCCCTTGCCCAATTGCGTTCCCTCAGGCCCTGCGTCTGACAGCACGCATTCCGGCGTCATGAAACGCTCACCCCCGCCATTCGCTGCTAGCTGCAGTCATCTTTTTTACCCTACTCGGAAACTCCCAAACCCACAGTCAATCACATCGCCCTCCAACATTCCTTTAAACTTTCGAGCCAACGAGCGCCCTGCAACCCACAAAAAAGAAACGCCCTTGTTTGCTTCTGACGTTCCATGGCTAACTTGAGACCCCCGCCTGTAGATACGGCATAACCGGCCTTAAATCCCTCGCCCGCCGCAAGTACGCAAGCCAGCTGTTCGACGACAACCATTGGTCCTTGCGGACCGCCGACTTCGCCGAGTCGATCATCGAGGCCTACGAGAGCACGGTCGACACGGACCGTGGCCTCCGCGACCTCGTCATCCAAGCCTTCCGTGAGCACCCCGAGCTTGCCCGCAGCAGGGATATCGAGCTCGTCGTGCGCGACACCCCCGGCGCCGCCTGGGAGCTGTTCAGGCTCGGCTGGGGCCTGCCAATCTGTTAGACCTTTCGTCTGCCGTTCCGTTTCCCCCCGACGCGCCGCCCCCCCACCATTCATCGTCATCGATCATCATTTTTTTTGTTGAGGGGCGGCCCGGCGGCCAAGGAATCTGCAGATGCTCGAACACGGCAGCGAACTGCAAAAACCGTCCTGCATGCCCTCGGATGCGTGGAAGCGGGAAGCTCCCGGCATATGCAACATGCAGGGCGAGACAACGCAGGTGGTGGTGGTGGTGGCGAGGCGCAAGTGTGTGCTGTGCACACGTCGCTTGCGCGGTCACTTCCACAGGCGTTGATGGATTGTCATTTTGTGCGAGGCGACACAGCGGTGCCGCGGCGTTTTATGTTTCTTCTCTCTTCTTTGCAGCAGAAGTGGCGCTTTCTCAAACAGCCAGATGCTCGTTACGACTTGTAGAGACAGCGAGAGATTGTGTGTTATTATTCATTTTTTTCGTCGTGGAGAAGAAGGGGAAAAAAGGGGGAGAACGGCGTTCGACGCAAAAGACTTTGCGAACGGTGGGCGGCTTTTGGTGAGCCTTTGATTAGCACTGTACAATACCAAATGCGAGAATATCACTATGATTCACTATCTGTCACCAATGCTCCGCTTTTGCTTTCGGTATATCCCCCTTTTGGTGGCCTGAGTATCGTCTCGACGTGTTCAGCTCCGCTCAGCCTCACCATTTCGTTCGCTGTCGATCCTGAGTCGGTGTTGATCGTCTAGGTACGCTGCACTGCCCCTCGTGTCGGCCACGAACCACGACAGCAGTGGTGACGCATTCTCGCCCGTGGCACGCTTATCAACGCCAGGACCCATTGGCGTCGCACAAATCGCCAGACGCCAATCGTCCAGCCCCACAGCATGCTGCACCCCTTAACCCCGCAGGCGCGGTACAGCTGCAGGGCAAGGCGGTCTTGGGGGCTGGCGCGAAAACCAAAATTCGAGGAGCACAAAACAAAAAAGAGTAGAGCGCGCGACGCGTCGACAAGGGGCGCAAGTCATGCATTATTGACAGGAACACCCCCGCAGACATCTAACACGCATCGTTCGATCAAAAAGAAAATACGAGGAAGAAGCGGTGGGGTTTGTGTGTATGAGTTATGTGGCTTGGTCGCACTACATTGGCTACACCCGGAAAATCGCGAAAAGGGGATCGTGATCGCGAAGAAACCATAGGCGATGGTGAACGGCAGGAAAGAAGATCAATAGTGGCGAAGGGAGAGCTGGACGTGGGAGGGATCGGGACGGGATCTCCCACATTCTAGTCCTACGTGATACGAGAAGAAAGGGGAGGGGGAATTGCGGGATGGATCAAGAGGCTTAGGGACTGGAGAAGGAAAGAGGCTTTGACCGTCTCTCTTACACGTGAGATCCATATTCGCTATAGAGTTCTAGGCTGAGTCTTTGCCCCCCACGGTCTGGAGCAGAGCAGCTGAAAGGGTATTCCGCAGGTGTCATTGGATAGGCTGAGGTGCCGGGATTTCCTGTTTTTGTTTTTCGGGGCTGCCGACCACATGTGATTCGACCATTGGAACTTTATGGCTGTCAATTATTACCAGAGATTGGATATAGGCAATAGCAAGAGCCAACGCCAGATAATAGTAGTGGTGGCTTTTTCGTTTCTTTTTCTCCCACGCCGGGGCCCAGCAGGAGCTGATGAGAGCAATTGTGTTCGGCAGTTGAATGGCGGGTGGGGCCGCCAAGGCGAGTAGCGGTTGCCAGCTGCAGCTGAACAGGGGAATTTCTCCCCCTTCCCGGGATTTTTCGCTTCGCTCTGTTTTCGTCAGGTTTGGTAGAAGGCGTTCACGATTCGCCTGTGGGGCCAGGAGCAAGGGGGCAAGTAGGTTTTGGGAACTGGAACGCCGTCGATTTGGCTTCGGTCTGACGGAGCCTACACCGGCTGACAGCGATGACTACGAACCGCGCGCTCAAGCGTGCGGGCAAAATCGAGAAAAAGGAAAAGTCACAAAAAGTTTGGTAGTAGTGGCGTTTTTTTTTTTTTTTTGACAGAGGGATCGGTGAAGAAAGCGTGGTGCGGGTTTGGCAGCGCCCACGCGATTCATGGTTGGTCTCCGCCTTGTTTTTTTGGTTTACTCGCCGTTTCGTCTCCGATAAAGCACGTTCTGAGTCGAAGCCTGTTAGAATCAGCGGGGCGGGAGCGAAAGCGTGAATGGTGAACAGCAGGGTGTGCCTTGAGTAAGAGCGGGACGGGGAAGGGGAAAGGACGAACGACATGACGGCGCGGAGAGCAAAAGATGGGACCGATGGGAACGGCTGCCAAGCTAGAAGGGGGTTAGAAGTGGGTTGGCCAACTGCCAGGCCGCGGGAAGGGTTCCGGCGAGCTAACCGACGGGGCGGGCGGCGGCAGTGGGACACGCAAGTCGCAAAGTTTGGCTCTCTAGGGGGACACAGGGAAACTTAGTGAGTTTGGGACTAGAAGCACGCCCTCACCGGTCATTTTCGCCAGAGGCATGGGGGATTTTCACAGCAGCTTCCTACTTGGCTTGCCTGAGCAGCACGACGACCGCGTGGACGTCAAGGCGCCACTGGCAGGAGCAGGAGCAGCTGTCGGTCATCACGAGCTGCCTTAGCTTCCTTTGAGGCTAAAACCTTGTGCAAAACCATATCTCTCGTGCTGATGATCAAGCCTCCTACGTACCAACCCCCTCTTTGCTCTGCGATCGAGAGGTGGGCAAATCCCTCCGTCTTACTGACTGCCCCTCTTTACCCCGCCAAAGAGTCGCTGCGCAACGTCGCGCTGCCCTAATCGCCAGGGCCCAGCGAAGCGCCCACGCTAGCACGCGCATTCACATCTCATGCTCGCCCACGATGTTGCAAACGGCGGGCCACCAGCCGCGCGTAGCACAGCTGGCCTTTTCCCTGTTTTGCTTTCCAGTGCAGCGCGCCTAACCATGTGCGCTGGCCCGCCGAGGCGGCGCGCCGAGATAGACTTCTGGTCGTCTACACGGAGCTCTGACGTGGAGTACTGTCGCAGAGCACGGCGCGGCGCGTGCGTGGGCCCCGGGAGGGAGCGCACAGTCCGAATTTGCCGACCAGATTTGCAGGATCTCCGAACGGGCCGTCCGGCGAGTCGGGCGGCTGCTGGCCCCGCCGTCGGTGAGTCGGCGGGCGGCTAAAAGGCTCGCAGCGCGCTTGGCACGTCGTCGTCGTCGCGACGCGCAAGTGTGAGAGTAAGACTAGTAATGTTGGATTCTTGGGTGTGCTGTGACGAGACGCTGGGACGCCATTGGGAGCAGATGGGCGATTATGCCAGACGCGCCCAAAGAGGCAATGATGTGGTGGTTTGAGAGGTTGCGACGGGGAGTTCGGCCGGGGCGCCCTTGACACCAGGCTCGCACCAGGCCTCGGCCGAGGTTTGGGGGCGGGCGCCCTGCTGCCGGGTCGTCATGCGGCCCAACGCTGGCTCTGATATGGCGGAAGAACTCAAGGGGCAGAAGTGAGGAGTGATGGGACGGCGATGCGCCCGTGGTGTGATGCGCTTGGCCGCAGTTAGTGGTCACGATCATCTGGGGTGAGCCAGCTGTCGGCGCGCATGGTTTGCGCATGGCTGCGGCGGTGCAGCAAAGTGCCCTGAGAAATGTGGTGGCCACCCTCTCTTAGCGCCCTTTCCGGCCTGGGCACCTTCGCACGACGCTCAAGCATCACCTCCCGTCAGCACTTTCATTCTGCGCTACCCGCCTCGCTTGATCTTGCATTACCCAAGAAGTGTCCGCACGCTTTTGACCACCTCTGCGCCTGGATGCTACAACCACAGGTCTCAGTACTGCTGCAAACGGCGAATACAGCTTACCCGGGTTTGCCTGAGTCTAGAATCCTACAGTATCTGGCGGTTGGCTTGCTTCTCGGGCCCACGATAACAGAGCCTGGTCTAGACATGACCCCTCAGCTCGTCGCTGTGTTTCACGACCAAGGCGTTTGGCACGCTTCGCAGCAGCACCCCGGCTTTTCCGAGTCAGGAAATATGTCCGGTGTGGGGTTTAGCATTTTGTGAACTTTATGTGCCTCTTACTTTCAGCCCCGGTCACTTCCATCTACGAATCCATGGACTAAAGAGTTGATTTCCTCGGTGAGAAGCAGCTGCTCCATTTACAATATTCTCAAATCTCAACATCGCCTTCAGCGACGTACTCGCTGTCCCCCAGCCTCTGGCGGGCTGCCTTTCCCGTCTCATCACTCACAAGTCAAGGCACATCACTACGCAAGCACCAAACGAACTGTACCCTCCCAACTCATCAATGCCCTCTGGTCAATGCAAGCCGTTGCGTTGATTTCTGGGTACCGTTGACCACTGAGAGCGGATATTCTGTTTCTTTCCGGAACTCCGGCATCGACAGGACAACTTCCTTTGCCCTATGCAGAAGAATTCTGCTTCAGGACCCAATTGAAGATGAAGAGCCCCGCTTTCGAGGATGGAATAGAGTGCGTCTGGTGCAGAAACTCAGCACAGACGTCACGGGATAGATTACCCCAGGTGGTCCCACATTCAGCCCCACGGCGCTTAGGCAACAGTGACATCCCTAGTTCCCGCTTTTGCAACTGCCATCTCACTGCCGAACCTTATTGTAGCAAATCGTCCGGCTGATGCTGAATCTACCAATCGGAGGGGAACTGCGGCCACGCGGCAGTTGATGTAAGTGCCGTTCCTGTTAATTACTACAGGGATCCTTAGCCCTTTTGTGGGGGAAGGTGGGGAAACGGTACGTCTCAAGTGCCTGAATGCCCCGCATTGAAAGATACGTACAAAAATACGTGTGTATTGAGCAATACGTGCGATGGAACCTCAAAAGACATTGTTTTGTGGCTGTAGCGAGCTCTATCTCTTGCGCAACTTGCTTCATTGATTCGCCATGGCTTTTACGCGCCCTCTTTCTCTGCCTCCAGGAGTCACTGAGCAGTCTTTCCGCAATTTCATCGAAAGGATCGCCAGGACGGTTCCGGATGTCACGATAGTAGAGTCAAAGGACCAATTTCCGGATGGCGGATACCTCGAGCAACCCTCGAGCCATGATCCGTTCTACGTACAAGAAAAGGACCACTTCATTGCTTCAGCGTTCGTCTGCCCGAGATCCGTAGACGAAGTGCAGGACGTCGTGCGCGCAGCGGGAGACTTTGGGATTCCCCTATGGCCAATATCTCTTGGGAGAAACCTAGGCTACGGAGGTGCTGCTCCGCGTGTCAGAGGCAGCATCGTGCTCAATCTTGGGAAGCACATGAATAAGATCTTGGAAGTCAACGTCGAAGGGGCATACGCTCTCGTGGAGCCGGGCGTCACTTTTGAAGCTCTGCATAACTACTTAGTCGAGCACAATTTGAGAGACAAATTGTGGGTCGATGTGCCAGATCTGGGCGGTGGATCTGTTTTGGGCAATACTCTTGAAAGAGGAGTGGGTTACACCCCGTACGGAGGTACTTGGCTCCGTAGTCCTGTTAGGCATTACTACAGTTGCACTGACTGTCTCTTGCAGACCATTTCATGATGCACAGTGGCTTGGAAATCGTTCTAGCCAATGGCGAATTGCTCCGTACAGGCATGGGCGCACTTCCTGCGCCGAAGTCAGAGACGGCAAACGCCACCAAGTTACACGAAGAGCCAGGGAACAAATGTTGGCAGCTGTTTCCATACGGATTTGGTCCGTACAATGATGGGCTGTTCTCACAAAGTAATCTGGGCATCGTGACCAAACTTGGGTTAGGAGTATGTAACTTGTCATCACCTCTTCTGAAACCGAGTGTTAACCGCTCACTTCAAGCTCATGCCTGCTCCCGGAGGGTATCAGTCATATCTCATCACCATTCCAGGCGACGAGGATCTGCACAAGGCCGTGGAGATTATCCGACCCCTTCGCCTGGTAAGTATAGAAATGGAATATCCTGATGGAAACCACCATATCCTGACCATACCAGAACAACGTGATCCAAAACGTTCCAACTTTGCGATATGTCCTCCTCGACGCTGGCATGATGGGCCACAAATCCGACTACACGTCCTCAAAGGAGCCCATTGACGATGCCACCACGGACGCCATCGGCAAGAAACTCAACCTCGGTCGCTGGAACTTCTACGGCGCCTTATACGTAAGCAGCCATCCAGCCCTCCGAAGCATCCCACGCCACTGACAAAGAGACCGAAACCACCACAGGGGCCCGAAGAAATCCGCAGCGCAATGTGGAAGCTCATCAAGACGGCCTTCTCGGCCATCGCGGGCGCGCAGTTCTTCTTCCCGGAGGACGTGGCGGACCCGCGGGCGGTGCTGCACAACCGGGCCAACGTGCTGCAGGGGATCCCGAGCTACGAGGAGCTGCGGTGGGTCGACTGGGTGCCCAACGGCGCGCACGTCGCCTTCTCGCCCATCAGCCGCATCTCGGGCGACGACGCGCTGCGCCAGTACCGGCTGGCCAAGCGCCGCTGCCGCGAGGCCGGCTTCGACTACATGGGTACCTTCACCGTCGGCATGCGCGAGATGCACCACATCGTCGAGGTCGTCTTCGACCGCTCCGACGCCGGCCAGCGCCGCCGCGCTGAGAAGCTGATCCGTGATTTGATCGCTGAGTGCGCGGCGCTGGGGTGGGGCGAGTATAGGACCCATCTGGCGTTTATGGATCAGATTGCGGAGACGTACGGGTGGAATGATAACGCGCAGATGCGGTTCAACGAGACGGTGAAAAATGCGTTGGATCCGAAAGGCATCTTGGCGCCGGGGAAGAGCGGGGTGTGGCCGAAGCGGTTTCTGGACCTTAAGGCGAAGCTGTGATGCTGTGAGAGGTTGTGGCTTTGCTCCTGGGGTTCTGCGTAACTGTCAGTGTTCCCCTTGCGGACGCAATAGCAAGCATCATGCAGACCTAAATCACCCGAGGTATCACTGGTAAGAAGCCTTGGCAGCTTCAGAGAATACTGGAAAAGAATTCGATTAAATGATGCATGAAAGATACTGGTATCGAAGGTTCCGTTCGATAATTAAAGTACTCAGTTCATACCGACACGCGGCTGTACATCAGCATGCAGATAAGAATCCCCGCTTGAGTCTTCCTTTCCAAAGTCCCGCTTTGGTAATGCCTTGTACAAGTCAAAGCAAACAATTTAAACCGCCCGCCTCCTCAGTCTAGTCCGAGACCTCTCAACTCCATTTAGACCTACCATATGGTTTGGAAGCGCTACAAAAATCATGGATCCCATGTCTTCGATATCACTCGCTTGCAATATTTTCCAGCTCGGCTGAGTATCCTTGGGGAGTCTTCAGCACGGTTACACAATACCTCAGGGCAGGTTTCGTCCTATATTCCAGATGAACAGGCGAGGATAAGCTTTTGGTAGGACCCTTCTCGTTTTCATGAATCAAAACTGTAACATCGACAAAGTCTGGTTCATGGAGATGGGGTGGATGGATCCCGAATATGCGACAGCCAGAGCAGTGCGTTCATATACCGAGAGTGAGCAAGCTCAGTTCAGAAAAATGTATTTCCATACCAAGGGCCACGAAGAAGGCTGTCTGGATAGATTTTCTGTTGAAGATACACCACGAGTGGAAGCGCAGGCCTGAACGACGCAAATCCACAGCCGACAGCGGCGTAGTGCCACTCAGCAGCAACGCGTTGAAGGCCGACACGGCGACGTTGCAGCACTTCCAGATCGGCGACACGAACGCTGCGCGCTTGCGCCGTCTCTACATTACCGACTTCTGGCTTTGATACTCCACGTTCAAAGACAATCTCATACTCGGTTAGTACCAGACCAGCCATAGGGAATTGGGCGTGTGGGAAGAAGTTTGCGACAAATGCCGGTCGAAGCTTCTTGAGACCCTTGTCACTCTTCTGAAATCTGAGGAGTAGGCCCCCCTGAAGGTGGTAAAGTCCCCTCTCGCGGCCGATGGCTAGCGTGGATTTGTTTTTTTCTTTTCTCATGTCATGGGTAGGTGAAGCTATCGTCCGGACGAAAATGTCGAATTTTTAATTCTACACACACATCCAGACGATAGCTTTGGTTACCCACATTTGTTAATTTTTCTAAGGCAGAGCTGGGCTCTCGATCACTGGGAAGCTCCGGGCTAGCCATCGGCTGCAGCACCACTCTGTATAATGAGCTTGGAGTATTGATGATTAACGAGCACAGAGGGCTCTGGCAAACTACTCTCAAGCATGGCAGGATTAAGTCTATCCAACGGAATGGTAGGCAGCAGTGCATGCACATCAACATGACCTTTTCTCGTGAATCATCATCCATCCCAATCAAACGGAGGCATATGGCAGCCACGCACCTTCCTTTCACTCCGAGTCCAACTACTCCCACCAAAGCGGAGGGATGCAAGTGTCACCCTGCACAAACCTGCGATGCCCCCCCTTCCCCTCCAACACTCCAGCCCGCTCATCCTCCCCCTCCTCCCACCCATCCACCCACTTCGCCTCGTCCCACCCCTGCCCCACCCTCCACCTCTTCTCCCTCCACACCCTCCTCTTCGTTTTCTTCTCCTTCCACCCCATCCGTCCCGGCTCCTCCTCCTCCCCCTCTTCATCCTCCTCCCCCAACCGCTGAAACCTCACCAACCCCTCAACCCTCACCGCATGGCCATACTCATCATCACCATCATCATCCTCCTCCTCCTCCTCCCCGCCGGACCTCCGCGCGCGCGCCTTTTTGCCACCTCCACCAAACACCACGGCGACCGGCCGGATGACGGCCTCCCACTCCCTCCGCCGCCACCACCCGCGCTCGACCAGCTCGACCGCCACCTGCCGCAGGCACGGCGCCCGTGTCGCGACGAGGGTCCAGAAGGCGGTCCAGGTGACGCGGTCGTGCGGGGGCGCGAGGCCGAAGGGTGGCGGGGTGAGGTCGGGAGCGGAGGCGGAAGCAGAGGCGAAATAAGGAGAGATGAAAGAAGCGTAGGTGGCAGAAGAAGTAAAAGAATCAGAAGAAGAATGAGAAGCGGGGTAGTGGCGCTCGTTGAGCGGGACGGGCCAGACCAGGTGGAGCGAGCGCAACGAGGCGAGGCGTGGGGGAGGGAGGGCGAGGAGGAAGTCGGTGAGGGTGTAGATGTGGTTGGTGGAGAAGGTGGGGTGGGAGTAGAGGGTGGGGATGGCGTCGGCGTAGCTGTTGGTTTTTTTTTGTCAGTGGTAGGTAGAAGGAAGTTTTGAGAGGAAGCCTACATTCTTCTGCAGGTGAGCAGCAGGGGGAGGAAGTTGGGTCCGATGCCCCACGTGGGCGGGAGTCTCGGGACCGTGGAGATGTAGGTGGAGCGGAGTCGGTTGGAGTCGCAGAAATCGCAGCGGTTTCTGGGGCGGCGCACGCCTTTGGTGTGTCTGAGGAAATGGTTGAGGATGTACGGGTCTTCTTCCTCGTCTTCGGTCTTGTGTTCTTCGTCTCCTGTGTACCAGTAATAGTCGTCATCTTCCGTGGTGTTCGGCGCACGGGGGCAGACAACGCTGCGTATCTTGTTCTCGAAAATGAAGAGGTGGATGTTCATGTCGCCGAGAACCTCTTTGTAGATTTTTTCTCGGAGCTCTAATGGTAGCTTGTTGAGAAGGAGACATTGCTCTTGATCGTTCGTGGGTTTTCGAGTCTTTCCACTCCGCCGGCCCCAATAGGCTTCAACCAGCGTGGTGGGAGGGGTTACGGGAAGCGGGGGTGTGAGAGGGCGTCGAAGCTCATGGTCTGGTAGTATGGCCCTGAAAGACTGGTCCAGAGAAGTGCGCAGAAGTGCTACGATATTGTCCTGCGACGTGCTTATGTCCTGGGCCATTGACCACACAATGTTAAATCGAAGGCGGGAAAAAACAAATTTAACGAATTGACCAAATCAAGGGTAGATTGATTTACCTTCGATAAAGACCGAGGCGAACGACGACGAGTTACGAACTTTAAGTTTTGCTGCTGCCTGATTAGGCGAGATGCTGCAGTGGATCTCGCGCACGATTTCCGCTTCTGCTCCCCGTTCTTCTTCTCGGCATTTTAGGCAACCACACTGGACAAGCAAAATAGCCGCTGATATCGGAGGCGATGTGTGAATAAAGAGACCGACCAACTTATAGGGGGATGAAGAGAAAAAGGAAAGTGATCATGGCGTTCTTAGAATGGAAACGGAGACGATGAGTCGAGCATTATTGAAGATGCGGAAAGCTAGATTGTTGCTCGTGTGAATTATTTAAAAGCCACGACCAGGGCATAGGAGCCTCAGATCAAATCACCCTGTAGCGCAGCTCTTGCTCTTCAACCCGCACGTAGAAAAAAAAAAAGGAGTCAACCTTGGATATCAAATGGAAGGAAACAGCCACCATTTACTCATTCGACTTCACGACCTCCAACTGGCTCGCCTCCACATCCTTCTCAAACGCCGACTCCGACGTCTTCGCCGGTCCAGCCTCCGCCGCATCACCCTCCAAGCCGACGTGGCTCTCGCGGTACGCATCCAGCTCCTTACCCTTGCATAAGTTCAAGTAAATGGGGAAGCTCCACGCGACGACGAAGAAAGCGAGCGGCACGACCATGGCGTGGCGGGTGCCGGTGCGGTCGGCGACGTTGCCCAGGATGGCCGGGACGACGGCGCCGCCGCAGATGGACGAGACGAGGAACGAGGCGCCGCGCTTGGTGTGGCGGCCGAGGCCGCGCAGCGACAGGGTGAAGATGGTGGGGAAGATGCACGACTCGAAGAAGAGCACGAGCATCAGCATGGCCAGGCCGGCCCAGTTGGCGCGCACGCCGTCGCCCGAGTCGGCCGCGATGGCTGCCGTGATGAAGACCATGATGAGCGTCTGGTACGCCAGCAGGATGTAGCGCGGCTTCGTCACGTACATGAGCCCCGCCGCGGAGAAGCGGCCGACGGCGAACAGGGCCTGCGCGACGGCGTAGAAGTTGGCGCCCTGGTGCTGCGCCTTCACCAGGTCGATGTCGGGCCGCGCCTGCGTGTAGTAGTTGATGAAGTAGCCCGCGATGCCCACCTGCGCGCCCACGTACGAGAACTGCGCCGCCACGCCCCAGAACAGCGTGTACTGCTTGCTCAGCGGCTTGTCCACGAAGCCCGTCTCCGTCGTCGTCATCTCGGCCTGGTCCGCCATGTCGGCGTCGGTGATTTCCGGGATGGGCGCGAAGTAGAAGACGATGGCGAGCAGGCCGACGAAGCACGCGATGCCCAGGTAGACGTACTGCACCGACTCGAGGGACTTGCCGTCCTCGCCCACATTCTTGAAGATGACGTACGACGCTAGCACTGGCGCCACGACGGAGCCGACGGCCTGGAAGGACTGGGACAGCTCGAGACGGAATTCGGACCACTTGGGCGGACCGCACACGGCGATGTAAGGGTTGGCCGACGTCTCGAGCGTCGAGAGACCGCTGCCCACGATGAACATGGCGCCGCAGAATCCGCCGAAGGAGCGCTTGACAGCAGCGGGCCAGAACATCAAGGCTCCGACACCTGGGTTGGCGTTAGCGGGGCCTGCGAAGCACCTAGTAGCCGTTGTCAGACAACTTACAGTAGATAGCCAAGCCCAGCATGAAAGTGTAACGATAGCCGAATCTCCTGACGAACCAACCGGAATAGGTGAGGGGACCGATAAAGTACGCGCTGAGGACTCGTCAGCATAATCCAAAGGATGGAGAGCCAGAGCACAACATACCCAAAATAAGCACCTTGAAGGCCTGAGGATTCTCCCTGGGTGATCTCGAGGGCGACCTGGAAACGCGAGTTCAAGACATCGAGTAAGCCGTAGGCAAAACCCTGTCAAAAGCGTTAGTGTTGATCCATATAGTTTCAGAAGCTGATCATACCCAAAGAAAGAAGAGCACCGTAACAAGAGTGACGGGAATGATAGATTGGCGAGTGGTGATCTGAGAAGCACCGGTGACGACCTTGTCGCTGACGCTCTTCTTCCGGCGGTCTTCAGCGATGGCCTCGGCCGCCGAAGGGCGTCTCGCCTGCTGCGCGTGCACGTCATCAAGCGTCGGCTCAACGCCGCCCTTGATGCCGAAGTTGAGGCCCATTGTGAAGGAGCAGAAGAATCAAAGGTGGAGACGTGGCGTGGAGAATGAGTGGAGAAAACAGAGATGGGGAATCTCTCCAGTGGGTGAAGAGGGCCCGGCAATCTCCTGCAGACTGAAGGTGTGGTGGGGACGAAGCAAGGTATTTGTACGCCGTCGTGCACGGCGGCTATTGACGACGCAGCGCTGCCAACGGCCGCAAAAACGTCGGCGATAGCCCCCACAAGTGCGGAGGAAAGCTGGGGAAGGCGCCTCCAGAGGCCGACGGGACAGGCCATATCGTGATCCAGGCTCTCGCTAGCATGAGTCTCCGCGCCCGCGCTAGAAGCATTCCAGAGCTTCCGCCGAGATTGCTAGAGCAGAGCCGGCATGGTGTCGTGGTTAGCTGATGACGCGGAGCGCGTTAAGCCGACTGAAGAGGGTGCAAGCATCGTTCAAGCTTCACACACCCTTGGCGGACGGCTGGTCAGCCCGCAGCCTCTCCCAGCGCCAATCCGCGCAAGCCGAGCCAGCCACCGCGCCGCATGCCGTAGCTGAATCGAGCAAACGATGCCGTTGAGCCATCTGGAGCGTTTGGGCGCAAATAAGTTGACCTGGCGCGAGGAAGAGTCAGTGAATCAAGTGAGCGCGGGGGTGCGGGGATGAACGAGTCAAGGAAACGCCCCCCACGACCTCACAATGGCCGAAACCACTTCTCAGCCCTACTGCCGAGCGCAGCACCAACACAGTACCTATTGGAAATGAGCCGCAACGGTCGATCGGCCCGTGTAGCTTTTGGCCTTTCGCCAATGGGAAGAATGGGGAGAAAACATGCATAAACTAGCTAGTCATTAGGGACCCGTGGATTCGGCGGCGTTAAGGCCCGACAAGTCTCCAATAGGCTCCAGTGAAATACGACAAGGCGATTGGACTAAGCAAGCTAGGGGAAAAAGCAAACATTATTAAACCATTAGGAAGAAGCACCAAGGACGAGTGTAGGAAAAGGCTTTAGATCTAGAATACACGATGAAGAATGTAAGGTAGGACAAACATCGCGCATGGATCGGCCGTTAAGTCAAGAGAAATGAAAAAAGGAAAGAGGGAAGGAAAAGGCGGAAACGATGAAAAACGAAGAATTGGAATGAAGCAAGGGGCATGCCAAGGACTTGAAGCAAGCAGGCTGAGACGCACACATTAAATAGTAAAAAATAGATGAACAACCGAGAACCTCACTCCTTGCTTAAATCGATACTTCTTCCTGTGGGTATCTGCGAGAACGCCAGACCGGGCCACGACATAGGTCTTCGGAGAATCAACCCCCCCAGGTGCAGTATACACATGGATCGTGTGAACAAATAGGACACCTTATGCTGTTCGCGTACAGGTTGGCGTTTCCGCACTGGCAGCACGTCCAAACGTCATTGTAGGGCAACGAGTTGACCGGTACCACGCCCTCTGAACCCCGCTTCTTCGAACGGCAAGACAGCATTGGGTTGTATAGGAGGTCGGGCGCCGGCGCGGTAAGGGTTGAGCAGCCATTGGGATCAATCGACCCGGAAAGGTCAAGTCTCTTCGAAGAGTTACTGCCAGTACGCTTTTCCGCCTCGGAGATGTTTGCGGTCCTCTGGTATCCATACATCGTAATACCGCAAGTGCCGCATGGAAGATGTCCGCAGAGTGGGCAGGCGGGGCAAGTTTCGTCTAGGTTCTCCCCGCCACACTGGCAACAGGTCCAAATCTTGCCCATGGTTGTGATATATGGAACCGCGGTTATCGATGTGTGGGAAGTAGTGGCTGAGTCGAAACTATCTCGAGCAAAGGTGATGAAGTTGAGCTGCGTGGTAGCTGTTTGAAGTATGAGAGATGGGGAGAGATGGGTCTACAGGACGGATATTCTGAAAAATCACCGAGTTTAATATAGAGAAAGGGAGAGAAAGTGAAGCGGGCAGCATTGATCAACGGGGCGTTCTACGCATGTGCGCGTTGTCCCCGTTGCTCAATCTTTTTGCCCCACCGTCAGAGTGACCCGTCAGGAAGGGCAGAGTCCCGCCTCTCGTAGCTTAGGGACTGATAGAGTAGTACGACCTTGTCAGAGTGGCTGAGTGGCCGGGCACTCCCATCAGGAAGGACTCTCGGTCATGCCGATAATACGATCGCCCTTTTACGATGGCTCGGATAAGGCGAGACCAAACCATATTGCCTGATTCAGCGCGGTGAAGAAGTAAAAGTTTGTTGGGCGGTCCCGAGAACACGATCTACAGAAGTTCCCGTGATGCATGCGCCATGCGAAGCAGGGAAAACCGTTAGCATGTGACGGCAGCACTGTGCCATACGATATGAGGTTAGAATGCTGGCGCGAATCTCGGGGCGATCAAACAGGTATCAGACGCATTCGCGAATACAAGCGGGACGCTCCAGGGGGACGGCCGCCACACTCGCAAGTGGCTCGCGAAAGCAAGGGTATGATTCGACCTTGGCCTCGGGAAGATCGGTGTCTTGTGATGGGAAAATACTCCGACAATAGGCACAGCCGGGGAGGTGTGGACGACATGGCAGAGCGACCGACTGGGCGATGCAGCTCCGGGCGTAGTGGTAAGTGGGAGGCAGTGTCCATGTGAGATGGCTTTCGGGTCAGCGGAAGATGATGGCCAAGCTCTGGGGCGACTGCTAGAGGGCGAGACGGGACGCTGTTGAGCGAGGAGAGGTTGCGAGAACGCCGGGTGCTGCCGACCTCGCGTTACACAAGATCCACGAGGCGATGGGAAACGGCCACGGCTGCCTAAAGAAAACCCACGCCAGTAGGCGTCCCTCAACGTCGGTCCTCTCACATACTGCTACGTCAGCGGAATGCCGCCGGCCCATGGTGAGCGATGCGCCTTGCACTGCACGGAAGATGGCCGGAATGAGAGCTTGAGCCTCAGGCGTGAGGTGTGTGACCAGCTACAAATTGCTGGCAGGGCGAAAGCGGCGCAGCTAGCTGCCGCCCGAGAGGTGAGGCGTGCGTTTGGAGTTCAAGGTGGGATGGACGATTGAAGTCACACGCGGGAAGAAAAAATAGACGGGTGCAAGGGCGGGGGGCAGATCCCGGGCGGGATAGATGCCGGACGCGGTCGAGGGTTGATGGTTCCCGTAGCGCCTACCCGAGCCCGCTGATCCGTGACGTAGACAATACCTACCCCGCCCCAGCCAGTGAGGCGACAAGGCTCCCCGCCCAGACGTCACCGCCACAGCTAATAACTCCTCAACACCATGTGCGACATCACCGAGATCTGCAGCCTTGAGCAGAAATCTGCCCTGGGGGGCCACGCGTCAGCCACATGCCATTGCTCTCTGACCCGCCATCGGCACCTCCGATCGACATGGCAAGGCTGACGCCACTCGTGCGGGCCGTTCCGGGGCCGCCCATGACGCCAGCCTTGTGACTGTCTATACAGTCGGTTGCTCACAAGTTCGGTGCCTGTCGCGCGTTGTGCACGCTCGGCAGGGCTTCATCCGGCTGCCTCCAGCGCCGTGCTGCGCCGACGCGAAAACCATCTGATTGCAAAATGACTGGGCAATTTTGCTGGATATTCCCATCCTACTGCCAGGCGATGGGAAGTGAGTAGAGATTCATCTCAATTCGTATGTCTCACCCAATCCGCCCATCTCTCCGAAACACTTGTCTCAAACTTCTGTTTGCAGTCAACCCTTGCTCTCTCAAAGGCCGACCTGCCTATGTAGCTTTCCCAGCAGTCTGGTTCCTTAACTGTTTTCCCCACGTTTGAATTCCTCCGATATGGCGCAAAATGTCGACCTCGTATCTATCCTTCGCGATGCCCCCGCACTTCAGCAGGCCGAGGCCAAAACAGGTCAACAGCCCGGTTGGGAGAGAACGCGCCGAAGAATGTCTGTTGCCGACCAAAAACGCGCCGTCGATGAGCAAGCGACCGCTCCGGGTGTGTCCATGGCCTCCTTCGCTCATTTGGACGAGAAGAAGATCCTCCGCAAGATGGACATCCACATCGTCCCCATCCTCGCCCTTCTCTACCTCATGTCCTTCCTCGAGCGCTCAAACATCGCAAATGCTGAGGTAGAGGGTATGAGGGATGACCTCAACATGAGCGGCGGCCAGTATAACTGGACCCTGACAATCTTCTTCTTTTCCTACTGCGTCTTCGACCTGCCTAGTAATATTGTACTCAAGAAGCTGCGCCCCAGCATCTGGCTACCGTCTACAATGATTGCGTGGGGAACCGTAATGACACTCATGGGCCTGGTTCAGAGCTACAAAGGCCTCCTTGCTGCTAGGTTCTTCCTCGGGCTTACTGAGGCCGGGTACCTGTCCTTGCATGCTTCCTCCCTGATGCCGACTGCTGATCAGGAGAATAGTCTATACCCCGGAGCGACATTCTACATCACCATGTGGTACTGCCGCGATGAAGCTCTTTGGCGGCAGTCCCTCTTCTTCAGCGCCGCGAGCATCGCCGGCGCCTTCTCCGGCCTCCTCGCCTTCGCCATTGCGAAGATGAACGGCGTCGCCGGCCTCGAAGGCTGGCGCTGGATCTTCATCCTCGAAGGCATCGGCACCGTCGTCATCGCTGTTTTCGCCTTCTTTATCCTCTGGGACTACCCCGAAACCGCCTCATTCCTCACCGCCGAAGAGCGCGCCTTCGTCGCCCACCGCCTCAAATTCCAGGCCCACATAGTCGACGACGCCGGGCGAATGATCCCGCAGAACGACGAGTTCAGCTGGTTGTACGTGCGCGCCGCCATCCTCGACTGGCAGATATGGGTCAACATCATCGTCTACTGGGGCATCACCTGCCCGCTCTACGGCATCTCCCTCTTCCTGCCGTCCATCATCATCGAGGGCATGCACGTCTCGGCCTCGACCGCGCAGCTCCTGACCATCCCCATCTACATCACGGCCGCCGCGTGCTCCATCCTCTTCGCCTTCCTCAGCGACCGCCGCGGCCAGCGCTCGCCCTTCATCCTCTTCTTCTTCTTCGTCATGGCCATCGGCTTCATCACCTGCATCTCGTCCAGCCGCCCCGGCGTCGTCTACGCCGGCGTCTACATCGCCGCCTGCGCCATCTACCCGGCCTTCCCCGCCAACGTCACCTGGCTCAGCAACAACCTCGCCGGCACCTCCAAGCGCGCCGCCGGCATGGCCATCCAGATCGGCGTCGGCGCCTTGGCCGGTGGTAAGTGTTCTTTCCCCCTTCCTTCCCTCCAACATTCCCCCTCTCTTCCCTCTTCCCAAGGAAAAAAAAAAAAGCTGATGGACGAGAAAAAATCCACAGCAATGGCATCCAACTTCTACCGCGAGCGCGACAAGCCGCGCTACATCCTCGGCCACGCCCTGGAGCTGGCCTTCATCATGGCCGGCGCCACCGCCGCCGCCGTGCTCATGCTCAGCTACTCGGTCCTCAACCGCCGCCGCGCCGCAAGCGTCACCCGCGGCGCCCACTTCGACTACTCGCCCGCCCAGCTGAGCGAGCTGGGCGACAAGGCCGTGACGTTTCGGTACTTTCTGTGAGGCCGAGGAGAGAGAGAGAGAGATTGGTCAGGCACGTGGGGTCCATTGCATGTGGAGGGAGGGAAATATGCGGGTCGAACGGCGTCGAGGGTGGGGAGGGGGTTGTAGAAGAGGAGGGTATGGCAGAGAGCAGTGTAAGTTTCTTTGGAGATGGTTGATGCTGTTGTCGAAGTAGTTGTAATGTGTGAAAGAGATGGAAGATACTCAATTAGAGAGGAAGACTTTTACCGCCCTAAGCTTTTCTCAGTACTAACGCAGCACCCTACTTCCGAGGGTAGTTCACAATTACATCTAGACGTTCTCGTGTAGTTTAGAAGCTTACATTCTCATCCTAATATACACTACAAAGGCGCATTGCATCTTGAGCGGGAAATGGGAGGGCGGAGCATTGTGTAACTGATTGAAGAGGCACATAAGCATACAGGGGGGTATCGCAGCCGACGGCTAGCGTGAATTTATTTTTCGCTCATACTATGGGTAGTGGAAGCTATCGTCTGGACGTGAATGTATAATTGTTAATTCCAATTCCACATTTACATCCGGATGATAGCTTCAGCTGCCCATAAATATTCTTTTTCATTAAGAAAAAAGGCATATCTGAGGAATATTCACGCTTCGTTCTAGGGCCCTGCTATTCTTCGCGCTAGCCATCAGCTGCAGTAACACCCTGTAGACCACTGGTATTTTCAAATTCTTTATTCTTCCTGCTCATTCCCGTGATATCTACTGAAACGACTGGCTGCAGTTAGGCTAGAAAAGCTCATTGAAAGCAAAACACTTGGACTCTTCTCCCAGTCAATGCACTCAGCTTGAGCAGGGATGTAAGAAAAGTTCATCTGAGAAATCTGCCGCCCAGCATTAATGCAGTTCCCAGTGGTTGCTATCAAACGAGCGACTGTAGCTGGAGTAAGAAAAAAGCCAAATGAAAATAAAGAAAACAAGTCCCTCAGTCAAGCAACTTTCTGAGTAAAGCCGATCCTTTCCATTGCCGCCATCACCCATGCTATTAGTCTTGCCTTCTGATGATCACTTTTGATGAATCGAGAATCGTCAATCCATGAAGTTTGGTATTTTTAAGCATGGTGGTATGAATGGGTCGTTGAGCGATGAAATGTTTCCAAATTGGTGCGAAGTCTGAGATGTTGGCATTGACGTAAAGCTCGCTATTCGTATAAATCAGCGAGCCCTGTCAGGGAGCGAACATCTTGAAGGACTCAGTCAAGGAGACTCGGCTCAGAATAAGACGTGTGGCTGTCAGAAGAGGGCACATAGTTGTGCACCCATTGCTGGCGACGAGGGGCATGACCAGTCGAGGCTTGAATAGTGCCACATGCGGTAGAAGAAGACCTACCACCAGCGGGAGCCAGTGCAGCGGAAGGACTGCTACGATAGCTCTCGTCCAAGACCGAACGTTCCATATCCTCTTCCAGCATAGTAATGCGGCGCTGTTTTAACTCCTCTTGCTTCCGCTCGTAGTCTTGATTCGCCTTGTGCATCATGTTAGCATCGTGGACTTTCACATTCCGCGTGTAAGCTTGCCAGGCGAGGGGGTCAGATCCAGTACTGCTGGATTTGCGATGAACGCTTGAAGGCGGTGGAGCCTGTACAGAACCAGCCTGGCGGAACGGCTGCGTGGAGACTTCAGGTTCATGTGGCTGGGGCTTGGAGTGGACAGCAGCGTTGTTCCTCATTGCGACTTGACCAGACTTTGCCGTAGGCCTCGCTCCCGGAAGAAGAACAGCTCCATCAACGTGAACGCAAACTGTGCAGCGGCAGTCGTCAGCGCAGGATGCGGCACAGCGATGTCCGCAGTCCAGGACTCTTAGACAGGTCTGGTTGCATCTGACTGTTTCATGTGGAAACGGGTGGCAGTGTAGAACGCAGTGGTGACCACAGGGAAGCTGGCCTTTGCACATCTCTTCGCAGCCGCCTTGTACCGTGTCCCAATCATCCAGATCTCCAATGAAAGTCTTACGTCCATGCTTAGCACATGTGAGAGGGAGGTAGTAGCCGATCCGCATGGGTTCATCCTTGAGAGTCTTCTTTCCAGCCAAAATGGTGATGACCTCTGACCAGATCTTGCTTTCGGTGGCAAGAATTTGGCCATTGCCGAACATGTAGAAACCTCGTTTAGCGCGGGAAAGAGCAACGCAAACTCTGTTTACGTTATTCAGGAATCCAATCCGTCCATCAATGTTGTTGCGCACAAGTGAGAGGAGGACAACTTCATTCTCCTCGCCCTGGTACGAGTCAACCGTGACCACCCTGAAATCACGGCCCGTGCCTTGCAAGTCTTGATGTCTTCTGAGCTTTTTGAGAATCAGTTTGCGCTGACCGTTGTAGAAAGTCAGGACCGTGATGTTGCTGTAAGGTACGCCATTCATGAAGAGGTAGATATAAAACTTGACGATCATCTCGGCCTCCATGTCATTACATGATGACATCTGGGAATCAACGGATTCCGGCCATTCATGGGTGAAGAAGAAGGTACTGACTTCACCCATACCAGGAACAGGCGGGCGGACACCTGGTTCTTTTACCGATGGGTGGTCCTTGATAAGATCTCCGTAGATAGGCCTGATAAGGCGACGGATCTGCGGAATCATGCGCCTCTGCCGACGAAGAGTGTCGTATTCCACCTCATTCCGAACAAGACGCTCGAATAGCGACATGTTGAGGAAGAAAGGCTCATTTTCATGGTCGTGAACATGGCAATGAGGTCGAAGCTGCTGGTGATCGCCAACAAGGATGAGCTGCTCTAGGGAGGGAACACAGGCCGCCGTCACTGGGGCTTCCAAGGTCTCGGCGGCTTCCTCAATTAGGACTACTCTGGGCCTCAGAGATGACACCAGTGCGCGATACTTGCTTAGTCCAGTGGTTGTCATGCCGATAATCTTTTGCTTTTTGAGAACCATATGATCAAATTCCCATCGACCGACAGCACGCTGCACAACAGCATCTTGATAGTCTCTCGCGTACTGACGGAATACCTTCAGGATCGTCTCTTTGGCCTGCCGTTTCAGATAGTTGTATACGGCACCGCGCAGTCTGTCCTTGATCTTGTACATGTTGTCTGTCTTCGAGAGTATACGTCGAATCTCATCGTCAGTAACGGTCGTAGATTGCTTGCCGATGCCGACGACGTTTTCTGATAAGCTTATCGTGCCGCCGCGTAAAGTCTCGAAATCTTCATCATCATTGACCAAGTTCTCGGCTTCGATCTCTTTCAGCTGCTCGAATTCAAGGTCCACCTCTTCGTACTCAAATGCGAAATCATCTGGAGGGATACCCCGGTCGACGAACTCATGATATTTGCCAACCCAATCAGCTATGCGGTCCTCAGAATCGGCTTCCTGTTGAGCACCATGGCTTTCCCAGCGTGTATCACCCTGCTCGAGTGAATCGAACTGTTTCTGGGTGATGGTTCCAAGTGAATGGAGAACGGTGTGGGACAGGAATCCAGAATTAACTTGAAGTGGCAACAAGACCGTATGCATGAGCCTCTCCAACTTCTTAAGCCGCGCGTTGGCAGGTGTCATAGAGCCACCTGCGATAGGCGGTGGTCTATCAACCTTCTTGAGCTCGAAGAGCGTACGCTTCTTAATTTCCTCGTCGCGCGAGCGCCCTCCTAGCCGTGCGAAGTTGGGCTCGAACTCTGCAACGTGGCGGAGAAGTTGGTCCAAAGCGTGGTTAGTCTGGCATGCGACAATGATAGGCGCATCAAAGCCGGGCTCCATATTGCTAAGCAATGCTTTGAGAGCGACAACGGAGACGTGAGTCTTTCCAGTACCCGGAGGCCCTTGGATTATAGCACACCTCTTGGTGATCATACGCTGTAAAGAACAGACTTGAGTCTTATCCAGCTCCGTCTTGAGATTTTCCGGCCATGGTTCAAGGACATTCATCATCTGGTTCTCCTTTCCTTCGAAGATAGAGGTAAAATCCAGATACGGCTGCCTTTTAATATAGTCGGGAGCATCCACGGTCGTCTTAAGGTTGATAATGTGCTCCGACAGAGGAAACGACTCCCTCATTAGCTTCTGCAATGCCCGAAGTGTATGACGATTGCCTTCGAAGTAGCTGGATCTTTCTTCAACCATGATCCAGCTTTGACCAGGATCGATCTGTATTTCCTCGGGACGTGGGAAGAAGATGTCGATCTCAGGCGGGTCCTGAACAAGGTTTGCCAACGGCCTAGCAGCGACGATTGCCATAGTGCACTGAGACCGGAAGTTATCGTCCTCTGGAGTCAAGGCGATGAGTGACCCAGTAAGTAGCCGCTTAGACTGTTCCCAATGGATTCGCTTGCCCGTGCGAGCAAGAGAGAACTGAAGCCGAGCAGCGAGACCACGGTGGCAGAAGGTAAATCCGACGATATGGACGTTGCTGTACAAGCCGACGGTATTACCGTACTCCTCTTCTTTGGCCCATGATTTGGCGCGAATACGGCCGAGGGCCTCGCGTAGAGGCCTAATCGTATCCTCTCTCAAAAGCTCGTAGTGGCTCTCGAGATACTCCTCCTTCGACGCCCAGGCACCGTTAACATTGTTAACCGGGACTGAAACCGTATCTTGGAAGACATCTTGTGTGTCTAGAATCTCATCGGTCGTCGGTACTTCGGGTCGAGACAGCCATGACTCGCTGTTAACGGGGAGATTCGAATCCGATACGTATTTCCGAATGACATAGGGCAGTGCAAGCGATGGTTCGGCGAGTGAGGGTTGTGCAAGTGAAATGTTTGCTCTCAGATCTCCAGTGATGTTCATGTTGCTGAAGCGTTCTTGAATGTGCGGGTTCAGCTCAGCTTCTTCCTCAGCATCTTCTGTGGCGAAGCTGGCTGTGGCAACGTTGGCTGTGGCGTCGTGAGCTAAGCGCGTGGGCTGAGCATCCGTTGCGGGACATGGCGCGTCTCTGGATGGTATCGTTGACACAACGCTGGTTGCTGTGCCCGCTTGGTTGTCCGAATCTGGTGCCGGTTCCGAAAAGAACCTCCTGAACTTTCGTTCCTTCTTCGCCATGGCGACGATTGGAAGAGGTGAGGGGGGCAACGATTGGAACAGGTGAGGGTGCGGCTAGTATGATGCATGTCAGTAAGGACACTGAGACTTCGTGGGGCAGACAGTCGTAGATGCGGGTGCAAAGTCGTAGGTGAAGGATGAGGTTTGGTAGCTGTGTAAAAAGACATACCTGGTTCTTCTTATGCGATAGAGTAGGGACGGTCCGAGTTACTCGTGTCTGGGTGGCAGCGAGCAGTCGAGGTTGTTGTGGAGTTGGTTGCTGGCAGGCGGATGGCGAAAGGTCAAACGGGCAGCGTGACGCGGCGCGACGGGCGCGACCAACTTGGAAGGCGCGTCAGGCACCGTGGCAACCGGTGCTCTTGGAGCTCACCAATATCCTTCGCAGATGGTGATGCGCCTCACTCGATGATGTGAGTGAACAGCGTTCTTTGAATAAAAGGTATGAGAGGCAGAGATCCGGAGGAAACAAACGGATACGAGCACCGCCAGCAGTAATGCAATATAATCTAGACAGAAAGCACCCCTTGCCGTTAAAGGCAGCCTCGGAAGGAAACCACCTTAGCAAGGAAGGAGCAGATGAGCGGAGCGAAGACAAAAGTGCAAGCAAATTACACGGGAGGTGCTAAGATCTTGATCAGCACATGAGCTTGATTGCTGCCTCAGACCCTGCTCAATCAGCTGCTGTCGTGAGACAGTTTTGCTTGCTTCCCGAATCGGCATCAACGCGGGAGGCTGCGGTAGCTGCGACGCGGCCTTCCAGCTGGAAACTACGATCCCGCGCACTGGCGCTGGGTTTGCCAACTGGCGAGCAAGCCTGCTATGATTTCATCGTGAATAGCATCCAGAGCCATGTTTTCCATCATCGGAGTGTCTCTAACCGTTCCCGCTGGCACTGCCATGACTTGGAGACAGAGATGTAGTTGGGTGGAGGATCGACAGCGACGGGCTCCTGGACCAGGACGAGGCTTGAGAGCGAGGGTTCACCGCCTTCGCCGCGGATCTGCCGAAACGCGTGCAACGTCGACCTCGTGCTTGTGCTGCTCGACTGACAACCATCCGCCAAAGCGCTATCGCGGGCCCGCTTCTGCCAGAGTGCCTTCAGGTGACGCGTGAGCTCCCGGCTTTTCACGTACTGTTGCGCTTGTTCGGGCGCAGCCACCCAGCTTCCGCCCCGCGAGCAAACGCATCATCCCCGCAGCCTCCCGCGACCCGTTCTCCGCAAATACAGTGCGTAAAGCGTGCCAAACATGGTGAGCTTTGAGGACGACGACGAGAATGGTGCTTGCCCTCCGTCCGCCCCTGTAGCGTCATGCTGTCGCTAACTTTGCCGCAGAGTCTAGCTCCGAGAACGAGGTCGACGAGACCATGGACGATATTGACGAGGGCGACGCCGACGCCGACGCGGATGCTGATGCCGATGCGGATGCGGATGCCGACGCAGATGGCGACGACGATGCAGAGGGGGACAATGACGACGACGACGGGGACAACGACGAGGAAGACGAGGACCAGGATGACACCCCGGATTCCCCCTCGCGCTCGCAACGGCCGAACGCGCAAGACGGTTCGCAAATGCAGAACGGCACTGGCCAGGGTGCAGCTCCGTCGCGACAAGACCAACCTATGCGTCTTGCTTCCGCATCTCCACATCGTTCCGTCACGCCGAACGGCACCCTTCCCCTGCGACCTACCGTGCGCCCAGAAGCGCTCACGGCCAGCTCTTACGACATCGTCCCCACCATTGCAGCCCCTCACAGTACATCTATCAACACCATTACCGCGACACCAGACATGCGCTGGGTCTTCAGCGGAGGTGCGGACGGATACATAAGAAAGTTCAACTGGGTGGACACAGCCAATGCCAAACTGATGCTGACTGTGGCGCAACGACATCCCTTTGTGGACAGCGTCACGAAAGCTGGCGTCTTGCTAAGTTACTGGGAAAACGAGGAAACTTCAGGTTTGTAAAACCATGACCGGCGCATGCTAGAAGCTAACAAACCAAAAGACAGGACCCCTCCTTCCACAAATGATGACAGCGTATCTCTCTCGCCTGTGTATTCTTTAGCTGTACACCACCAGGCCCTTTGGCTGCTTTCAGGGACCGAGTCCGGCGCAATCAACCTTCAAACGGTCCGGCATCAGGAGGGCCATCGCATCACTTCTCTTCGAAAACACACCTCTGCGGTTTCGGTCCTGAGTCTTGCGCAAGACGAGAAGTCTGTGCTGTCTGGCAGTTGGGATAAGACCATTAACGACTGGGATCTCAATGTGGGCCAGGTTCGCCGGCGATTTGAGATGAGTGGAGGACAGATTTCCGCAATTGAGCCGCGCCCCTTGTCAACATTGCCTGTGCCTGAAGAAGCAGGGCCGCCGCTCTATTCCAACGGAACGTTCAGCTCCAACAACGACGCAAGGCCGCTCACCAATGGCGTCATAACAAATGGCGTGCCCGCAGCAGGCCAGGATGAAGATGCCCCTGGTGCTGAAAACGACTCTTTATTTGGAGACAATGATAACGATTCGTTGTTTGGTGGCAACGGTGACACGAGCGCAAATCCGTCGGGTGCTGCATTTGGTGACGATGAAGATGACGAGTTCTCAAGAGCCATCGCAAATGAGATTCGGCACGCTGAAGAGCAAGATGCGCAGGGTGACATTGACATGACGGATGTCGGTGGCCCTGTCCAGCCCCTCGATATGTTGCAAGACAACGAGAATGGTGCTCAAGCAACTGCGCCTGCCGAGCAAAATACGAATGCTCCAGGCATCTCAACATCACAGACTGATGTCACAATGAACGGCCTGCCGCACGCTGAAGAGGGCGCCGATGCTGGGGCTTCTATCTCGAATACCTTCTCCTCGCAAGACGATTCAACCCCGTCTTCCGACACAACCTTCCTAGATGCGTCCTTTCATGGCACATTGCGCGTTTGGGACCGAAGACAGCCGAATCCCATCGCACGGATTGTCCCCACTCGCGGTACTCCACCGTGGTGCATGAACGCTTGCTGGTCACCAGATGGTAATTACATATACGCTGGACGCCGCAATGGCACTGTCGATGAATACAGCCTGCACAAGGGCTTAAGGGAACCTTCTCGCACTTTCAAGTTCCCCTCTGTCAGTGGTGCAGTTAGCACCGTCAGGGCCATGCCGAACGGAAAGCATCTCGTCTGGTATGTTCACGTACTCACTTTAGACAGGAATAGTTGCACTGACATGCTTGTACAGCGCTTCGTACGATATTCTCCGTTTGTACGACCTCAGGGAACAAGAAGGCACCAAGCATGCCGCCGTTCCGTACACCATTGTACCCGGTCACAGAACCGGAGTCATTTCGCAACTCTACCTTGACCCCACTTGCACATTTATGATCTCAACGGGAGGCAATAGAGGGTGGGAAGGCAGCTCGACGGAAGTTTTGTTGGGATATGAAGTTCACTTCCTTTAAGGAGTTGTGCCGGTCAAGTATTTGTGGTGCAAGGTAAAGCCGTCGGAACGGACATGGGCATTTTGGGAACGGAAAGGATATACCCAGGATTTGATATTCGCGGGCGTTGGATGCGGCATCTGCAAAGAGGATTCGTATCGAAGAAATTCATTAAAATACCTACTTTGGTCGGCTACGTCGTATGTTTATTGAAGCTGTATTATCACATGGAGACCTTACTGCTTGACGTCCAGGTATGCGGACTCGTCGTGACTGCCTCATCCAACTCGTTCGCTTCCACTTCTGGTATAGCGCCAAATGGGCAGCAAACGAATTTGCTCCGTCTATCTAAGCTGAACCTCTGGACAGCCTATCAGCGCAACCGCCATCCGAGGAGCACTGAGTACGAAACTTGCACGATGGCTTCGACACGCGCCGCAGGCATGGCATCCTTCATGAACTCCGACAAATTCTCTGACATCACGATCGAATGGGGCAAGGGGCACCAGTTCAAGGCCCACAAAGTCATTCTTGCTGCAAAGTCTGGGTGGTTCCACACTGCGTTCACAAGCGGCTTCAAGGTATTATAAAAAAAAAGATAGCACCTTGCACGAAAGCCAGAACTAGAATCTCATGTCCTTACGCTCATTCAAATCATTTGAGTTGACTCTAACCTTGTTATAGGAAGCCAATGCAAGCTCTATCAAGCTACTTGGCGACAACCCAAGCCACTTGGGAGATATGCTCCGGTTTCTTTACACAGACAATGTCTTACCACCGCTCGGAAACAGCTGCAGCGTGAGAGTCTCTCACTGCTTGGGTCTCTATGAGCTTTCCAACAAGTATGACATTCCGTCTTTGGCCCAGTTCACGGCCAAGTTGATACACGGATTCATCGAGAGATCTTCAACAGGCACTTGTGACATCTTATGTATTCGGGTCGCGCGGATGCTGTACTGCGATTTGTCGCATGATGGCCATTCGCTGAGGAAGAAGTTTCTGGAGCGCCTCTCGAAGGACATGGACCCGCGCTTGGACTTGATGGAGTTTGCCCGAGAGAATCTTGAATTCGCAGGTGAGACTCATGGGTGATGTTGCTCGCTGTCAAGCCCAGATGCTAACCTGTCTAGCTGATTACCTCTATCATGAACGGGAAATGAAGCGAAAGATGGCTCGAGACACCTGACCAGAGGCAGCGTCGGCCTGTTCAACATCTATGAGCAACTAGGCTGAAAGGGCTGAGGGGCACGAGTGACAGAACAATCATGAAAGAGACAAGAGAAAGGAAAGAAATAAGCTTTGAGTGAAGTCACCGGACAGACCTGAAATTATTTCTTCAAGTATCCTATCGTCATTGCTACAGTGAAGATTAGCGCATGCCACCGAGACCTCCACCTACCAAGGGCCCACTTCATACTTTTCTTCGGCCTCCCTTCGCTGACCTTACCTCTCAACCAACCATTACTTCACCATGGCGAACTGCAAGAGCAAGAAACCGCCGTTCATCAACCAGGTCGCAGGTCACTTTGCCGATAACGAGCTCTACTCCGACATTGTCCTCCGCTTCAGTGGAGTCGAGATGCCTGCGCACCGCATCGTCCTCGCCAGCCAGTCGGGCTGGTTCGCGCAGCAACTGCTGGAAAGCAATCGTCCGCAGCAAGTACGTCTGGTCGCAGCTCAAGCTGGCGCTTATCCCAACGCCTCTCCGCATCACGATGCCGTCTCCGTTCCTCCACAGCACCGCTGACCAAAAATCCGCGCAGGGCGACGGCACTGCGCTCACGCTCGACCTCGGCGACGACCACGACCACCCGGCGCTGCTGGGCGCGATGGTCAAGTACATGTACACGCGCGTCTACCCGAACCTCATCAACCCGTCGGACCCGGACGAGCCGCAAGCCTACACCTGCCTGCGCCACCTGCGCCTCTACGTGCTCGCCACCGACTACCGCGTGCCCGCCGTGCAGGCCGCCGCCGCCAAGCGCGTCAAGGACTACGTCGAGGAGCTGTTCGCGCGCCAGACCGACCTGCTGACCGACTTCGTACCGTTCCTCTTCGGAGAGGGCCTCGCACCGAAGCCGCTGGTCAAGGACGAACACGGATTGCGCGCGTTCGTCGCCGAGAAGGCGGCGCTGCATCACCTGGAGAGGGTCCCTGCGTGCGAGATGGACAAGTATGTCAGGGAGTATCCGCTGTTTGCAGGTGGGTTCGACGCTCTTCTTTCGCTCTGTGGATAGATGGCGCTGATGCTGCTGTAGTTGAGTACCTCACTGCTTGCTGGAATCAGCGCGGCAAGCAGATCGAGGAGAAGAGCCTGCACGGCATGTACTGCCCCACTTGTGACTACAGTATGGAGGTTTCAGTCAACTACAGGGAGCGCAGTACTCGCAAGCACCCGAGAGCTTCCGTCGAGCGCAGCGATCACAGCAACACTTCCCACAAGACGGAGCGGTCGGACGAGGAGAACCCGATCAAGGCGTGCCCGAACTGCCAAGGGCCTTTGGAGAAGCTCCCCCTTGTTTGAGCAGGGTCTTGGGAAAACGGATTTGACACTTGGTGGTGTTTTACGGGACAGTGGTTGGGAGACATGGTTCCTGTCTCAAACTGGGGCTCGAGTGCTGATATAGTTGAGTGCGTCAAGTCTGGATACCCCGGTAACAGTTCCAAGCAGCTTTACACATAATCAGCCCGGTGAAGCTTTCTGTGCAACATTATATGGCAAAATCCATGGATTGAACTCTTTCGAGCATGCAGTTCACAATATATATATATATATATATACAGCAGCAGCATCGAAACACGGTGCTGCTCCGCTGCGTATCGGATTTGTGTATTGGTCCATCATTGAACCTCTTCAGCTTCCAAGATATGGCTACCCTATATGAGAAGCTATCTGCGGCAACAGAAGCGATCCAGGAGAAGTTTTTTGAGCGTGATTTGGAATCTCCCATGCTAATCAGGAGGTTTGGTAAAGAAATGACAAATGTGATCCATCGATCACTTTTAAAGAGCCCACAAAGCGTGTTGTGGATGATGTCAATACAGGCCTGCCAGTGTTTACGGAGTTACGTGGCTGTGCGTGCATCACGTCTACTTCCAGATTATTTGGCGATTTCCGGATCTGCCCCCATGGCTGCAGAGAGTCTCCGCTTCAAGGCTTCCCATCTTGCTGTCCCTCTCATATCACCTTGTATTTCGTATTCGCAAAGAGATGTAAACACACGCCCAATCAGGATACCTCCCGACAGCCGCACGCGAGGGTGTTTGCAAGGCCTCCAGCTCCGATCCCGCTACAGGCGCAGATCGAGCATCATCGGTGACGGAGAGCCAATGTAACTCAAACCGTTTTAATTCGACGCAAACCTCCGCCTTTCGGAGGCTTTTTTAGCTTGAACGGCTATACATAGAAATTCCGACGTGACATCGTCGTTTTCCCCGCCACCCCGTATGTGTGTGTCGCCGCGGCGCGTTTAAACTTACCGCCACCCGCCGCGGCTGCCGCTCCGACCGATTGGGACCCGCTCCGACGAAGTTTTGTGGGTTGGGCTAGGTTGAATGTGGATAGTGAGGTGGCGCCGGCGTCGGCTGATCAACGCCACCCCTGAGCGCAAGTTCAACGTGGTGCTGACTGGCGTTGTGATAGTCTACCTTGAAAGAGATCAAAAAGAAAAAAAATTGATAATCTGAGAGCAGGGTTGGGAATCAGAACTGACAGGAGGTATTGGTGCTGCTGCACAACAATCAATGATTTGCGCCGCATCGTAGGGGATCGAAGGTGTACAACTCGTGCACCGTCCATGCTCGGGCGATGAATCGCTGCTCGTGAGCGGAGAATGCCACTGTGAGGACTCTCGGTCGTAGCTTTTGCCTGGTTCTGTTGCGGATAAGGCAATTGCGCCGCAGCGAGCCCCAACAAGCGAAGCAGGTGCCTGATGCACGTGCGCTTGTAGCAATGCTTTGCATGAACACTATGAGCTGCGGGCGGCCAGAGAAGCAGACTCGCACCGCCTAGAGAGTAGTCGCGTTGGTTGTCCAACATATCCATCAACAAGTGTGCTGAAAAGCTCGAGGATGATAGAAAAGCAGATGGAGAGTTGGCCGGGTACAATAATGGATATTTGTTATTCTGCAACGCAGTGGTCTCAGGATGCCCATTCACTTAATAGTGCTACTATATCTCTCCCAACGTGGGCCGATAAAAGCTTTGAGCGTTCTAGAATGCAAGTCGGGTGGATCCTACAAGTTCCATCGCTGCCAAGCTTGGTCCAGGAGGCGGTGACGGGGATTAAGGGAACAATAAGGTTTTGAGTTTGATGATGAAGGGTGCAGCCCGCAGCGGATCCCAGGGATGCTTTTATGCTTGAAACATGATCAGATCATCAAAAAGTACGCAAGAGCGAATGTCACTGAACTGTGAGAGATGCAAGAAGTTTTGTTGGATCGAGGAACGGATCACTCGATCCCCATTAATCGATTATATCATGAGCGTGATTGATCATGAGCTAAATGATACCCGATGTGATGCTATTTACAAGAATGGTTTTTCGTAGACGCGATGCAATGCTCAAAATATCAAATGCCGTAAAGAGTCGTTTACTGGCCCTGCTGGGAGTAGGAGCAGCTGATGGGGGTCTCAGTGTACTGGGCACTGAAGGCGAAGGCGATGCAGTCCTCGGAGAACTGCTGCTGCCAGATGCCGTAGCTGCCATCGGTGCTGGGGCAGGCGTAGAAGCCGTCGGTGCCATCGAAGGTGAGGTGGCCGCTCTCGTTGACGGCGAAGCCGGTACGCTCGGCGTTCTTGGGGGTGGGCTCAGCACCGGTGGTGTAGCCGATCTTGCCACGGCCCATGCCGGAGCGGTCGACGTAGACTGGAGCAGGAGGTCAGTGTTTGCTGAGTGAAGGCCAGATGGTGTGGAACTTACGCTGCTGGGGAGTAGCGCTGGCGGCGTAGAGGAAGGCAGCACCGTCCTGGATGTAGAAGGTGGCGAAGTTGGTCTCGGAGTCGCAAGAAGCGTCCTGGGTGCGGCCGAGCCAGAGGCTGTTCAGGCCAGCAGAGACGCCAGAGTTCTGGATGGCAGAGCCAGAGTGGATGGCAATACCGCCGAAGTAGGTGTCGGCAGCAGCGGAGGCAGCGCCAGCGGCGGCGAGGATAGCGACGGCAGTCTTGGTGAACATTTTGGCGGTTGTTGGAAGGTTGATGAACGAAAGTGTTCGAAGGTTGTGAAGAGGCTGTAGTGGTGTAGGAGTTGAGAGCTGGTTGTTGGATGCTGATTATCGACAGTTCGTCCTTGGGTATTTATGTGCATCTAGAAAGAAGCAACCCCTCACGTCTCCTATCCTTATGACGCTCAATACGAGGTGTTCTTGGCGCCATCGTCATAGCTTTGTGGTAGTGTCGGCAGAACACAGTCGCGCGTTCGTATTAAGCATCGAGTTAAGTGCGGGTTTAGGTAACGCCGCAGGCGCGGACGGAGCACTGCAAGGGGCCAGCGTCGTATAGGGCGGAGATGCGTGGTCTGGCGTGCAGCGCCGTCAACTGGCGACACCCTGGGACCCCAGAGTGATCGGTCGAAACAGAGGCGGTCTGCTCCACACTTGCGGCTCGAGTGACACCACGCACAGACGTTCCCGGCTAAAAATGGTTTCTAGTTGAGGTGCTGTCCATCGCTGCTGGCTGCCGGTCAGGGGCCGTGAAGAGAGCATGGGCAACGGCCGGTGCGTGGTGCGCGCCTAACGGCCTTCACACGGCCTAACTGTGACGGCCTGGCCGGCCTACTATTATTGCGGGCGTTACAAATCGAACGGGCGGTTGTATGCGCGCGTGTGTCGCTGGCTTGGGCGGTTCCACGGCGCAGATGCAGGGCGCGGGCGGTACAGACGTGTGTGGCGTCTCGGGGGAAGCTCGCCAGGTCACAACGGCAGTGGAGCCAGGCGGCGGAGCGAAACAGTCGCGCCGTAGGGCTTGGCCGTGCGCGCGATCGGCGCATGAATCGCCGCCCGCGGCCAACGTGCAGCTTCACACGCCTGCCCGTCCCTTGACCCTCCGACAACACCGCCCTGCTACCGAGCCCGCTGCAACCCTACCGCCCGACTGCACCGCTGCCGAGCTGCTCGCCTTGCCCCTACCCCATTCAGCTGCTTCCTTCCGCCCCGACGCAGCAATGGATCGCGCCCTCGACGACGTCATTTCCGACCGCCAGGTGAGACGCGCTGCTACGCCCACCACAGCTGTGCTGCAACCATGCTAACATGCTGTCTGCAGAGAGGCGGCGGAGGCACACGCGGACGCAGAGGCCGCCGCACTGAAGACTACCCGCGAGACGGCGTAAGAAAGGTATGTCGCCCAGTCCGTGCTGTATAGCCTGACCCGCGCTCTGACTATACCATCCCCGCCTAGGTTCTACACCTCCTCCCTCCTCATAGCCATGGCGCTCCGTGACCGCTCCGAGCCGGCATATTGCTCTTACCTGCACCGCTTTTTTCGCTATCGGAGATGCAACCGCTGTTCGCCGACGAGTCTTGTTTCAGGCTGCCATGGTACCCTGTGAGACCTCCGCTAATCTGCAATTCCTCTCTGCGATAATAGTCGAGCCAGAGAGATGATTCCAGGAACCTCGATCGGTATGGAGCCCCAATGGCGCCAAGATATATCAAAGCTTTGCTGATGTGGCGCAGTGACTGGGTCCACGACCGCTACGAAGACGACGACGGTGGGTATCGCGAACCGAATTCGCCGTAGCATAGCTAATACAGCGCAGCCCGCCGCCCCTCCCGCAACCGCGGCCTCCGCTCCGAGCGTCCTTCACGCCGCAGCCCTGAGTACGAGAAGTACGTCATCCCCTTAGACCGCACGGCTGAGGCTGTCTGCTCACCACATACAACAACAGGGAAGCCGGCTACGAGATCCGCGTCGAGAACTTGCACTACGATCTAACCGAAGAAGATATACGAGTACGTATATCTCGCAAAGGACAGGTGAAGGGCCTGGCTGATGTGCTATAGGAGCTATTTGAGCGCATTGGCCCCGTCAAGACCGCCAAACTTCTGTTCGACCGCAATGACCGCAGTCAGGGCATTGCGCGTGTAATCTACCACAGCCTTGCAGACGCACGGGTCGCCTGCCGTGAATTCGATGGTGCCAACGCACATGGCCAGCCCATCCGCCTGACACTCTTGCCGCCCGGTCCGTCTCGGCGCAACCCGTTCGATTCTGTTGAGCGCCCTTCGCGCAGCCTGTTCGACCGTATTGAGGGGAGCAGGAACCGAAGCTTGAGCCCTGACAGGCCCCGTCACAGCGATGTTAGCAAGCCTGCGCCTGCTGGTATCGACCGCTATGTGCCTGGCGAAGACGACGGCCGCAGACGTTCGCCTCCTCGCCGTCGCGGCGGTGGAGGAAGGGAAGGCGGTCGCAGGCCTGGCGAGAGGAGACAGCAGCAGCCTCGCGGCGGCAAGAAGGGCGATGAACAGGGCAGGCAGACGGCTGGAGGAAGGCCTAGGAAGACTGTTGAGGAGCTTGATGCGGAGATGGCAGACTACTTTGGTGGCGGCGGTGACGATCAGGCCGCAGGCGGACAAGCTTCCAATGGAGCCAGCCAGGCTGCTGCTGCCCCTGCTAACCCCGCGCCAGTCAATGACGATGACATCGACATGGTTGAGTAAGGGTTTCAGGAGCAGGGATTTCGATGACCACCTCAATGATTCGGCTACATTACCTTCGAAAGATTGGAAACACAGGGAATCTCCTCTCGACAGAGCAATAAAAGATTTTAGTACGAGGGGGCGTTAATGGATGGACAATCATCGGGAATTGTTACATGAGAAAACAACATGACAAAAGGCTTCTTGCATTCGTGTTGATAGGAAGCCGATCTGGGTAGCACAATCAAAGAAGGTGTTGAATATGCTCAGTTTCGCCCTCTTGCACGTATGACTTCCCTTGGGGTAACGCCGAGCTTTAGGGGAACTCTGGACATTCCAGCTTTCGGTAATCGCCACGGGATATTGACTCACGACTTCACTAGGCAGTTTGACGCCACGTGTTTCCGCTTAGTGAACTAATAAATACATTTCCCAACCCTATGCTGTAGGCAGGTCAATTCTTGAAATAATGCATCGAGCTAGAATGTGAATGACCCGTGTGATAGCAGTCGATCAACCTCTAGCTTTCATGATACTCGACTGCATGTCTCCCATGTACATTCTCCCAGCCTTATCATGTTCTTCAACTCTCGTAATGCCGCAAATTGCCTCATGATTCTCCCATCACTTCCCCCTCCCTTGCTTTTCTTTTCTACCCCTGCTTCCTCCTTTCAGTCCGGCACGCTCATCCTTCGCCCTCACTCTCTTCCCTTAACTCATCGTCGTCATCCCCATCACTAGGCACCAAACTAGCTCTCCTCTGCCCACCACCAGCGCTACCTCCCCCGCTCAGCTGCACCCGCGCCAGGGCTGCCAGGACATCCTCATCGTCAATGTCCACCTCGCTCATGTCCTCCAGCTGCGCCTGCCACTCGTCCTCGTCGTCCTCATCCAGCAGGTCGTCGTCATCCTCCAGCAAGTACTCCTCCGCATCCAGAAAGTTGAGGCCGGTGTGGTCGTCGTCGATGCCGTCGTTGTTGTGGTCTGCTGCAGAGGATTGCTGAGAAGGGTGTGCGGCGAGGTACGCTTGCAAAGCCCAGGCCCAGCCGAGACTCATGGCGATCCAGACGCGGCGGTTGCGCGCGGTGGTTTCTTCGGGGATGTTGGCGGTCGGTTGGGCGGTCTGAGCGTCGAAGTCGTAGTCATTGGTGGCAGATGTGGACCAGGGGGGTCCGGAAGGGTAGAGAATTGTGAGGAGCTTGATGAGGAGAAGACAGGCGGGTGTGATGGTGAGGAAGGTGTGGGAAGATGCAGACTGCGTCTGGTTATTGGGGTCGCTTGTCGTGGTGTTCACTTGAGGAACGGCGGCGCTCAGAGCGCGGTTGCGGATAGCGGTCGTGAGGACCCGGACAGTGATGCTGTAGAGGCCTGTTTCCTCATCCACTGTTCCTTCCTCGTCTTTTTGAGCTTTCTCTGCTTCATCTGTCGCTCCTGTACCACCTGGAGCCGTTGTAGACTCCTGGAAATTGCTCAAAACCATCCTCCCGCACCACCCCAGCTTCGCCGCGTCCTCCGTCAGCTGCCGCTTGCTCCTCTCCTTTCCCTCCCTGCCAACACCATCGCTATGCCACCGGTAGCATCGCAGCGGACCACCCCTTGTTGCCAGATCGATCAGGTCTGCTGCTGTCCAGCTTCCCATATCCGTCCGACGTTCTGTGTGTGCATGCACCCTCAGAAACCTCTTCGCCCCAATCGTGATGTGGCTTGAAGACCTCTTTTCCTCTACCCCCTCTCTCTCATTCTTGCCCCTCTTCTCCTGCTCCACCGCACGCAGCACCTCCGCACTCCCTTCGCCATCCTCCACACCAACACCACCGCCGCTGCTACTACTGCCACTGCTCCCGAACGTCCCGCAGCTACCGCTGCTTCCCCCGCTCCCATCACTCACGTGACCACGTCCCCTCTTCATCGTCGTCCAGTTGCCGCTGCTTGCGCTGCTCTTGCTCGAGCTTCGGACAATCCTGCTTGCTCCCCTCCTATGCGAGGACGTTGCTGGTCGCTCAGTAGCGGGAGGAGTAGCGCACACCCACGCCTCCAACGCCCCGGCGTACACGCGCTCGAAGCCGCGCGCCAGCTGCACAACGTGCGCCCAATGCGCGGCCGTGATGGCGCGCGCCTCGGCGGGCGGGAGGGAGGTGAAAAGTGGTGGCGCGGTGCTGTCGGCGGAGTCGTCGTCATCGTCGTCGTCATCGCCTTCGTCATCATCGACGTCTGAGGAGGAGGGTGATGGGGATGCGGACGAAGAGGCGGTAGTAGACGCAGTTGAAGTGGCGGAAGAGGTGGTGGATGGGGAAGAAAGGGCAGAAGGGCGGGTCGTTAGAGTGGTGAGGCCGAGGCCGAAGCTGTCGCTGTGGCGTCGGCGGCTGTGGTGGTGGTCATGGTGATGATGGCCATGTTGTTGCTGCTGGCCGTGTTGATGGTGCTGCTGTTGTTGTCGTTGCGCATGGCCGGCTTCGCGCGCTTCTTCCGGCACGTGGAGCTGGGCCGCGACGAGGAATCTGTCGGCTTCGTGCCAGTGGTGCTTGGGAAGAGCTTGGCCCATGGCAGGCGCGCTGTGCTGGGTGCTGTTTGCGCGAACGTGCGCGTGTGTGGTCGCGCTCGCGCGTAGAAGTTGTGCTTGGCTCGCGGTGTCGGCGGATTGGCGTTGAGAGCCGGCGCTGGTGGTTCGAGCACCCTCTATTAGCACCCTGCTGGACGGGAATGTCTGATGAGTTGAGGTGCTATAGTTGCGACGCGCTTGACCGTCTGAAGCGCAAGTGTGTCGCGTGTAACGTGAGAAGGGGAGGAGGGAGGAGTGGAGGAATGCGGGAGAGAGCGACGAGTCGAGGGATCGATGTTGATGGCGGGGCTGCGGGTTTTCCTGAAGAAATTAAAAGATAACAAGCAGTGTCACCCGGGCAAAGTTGAAGCAGGTGAGGTAGGACAAGTTTTAGCACGTGATGACAGGGTCCAGGGTTGAATTCCAGGGTCTAGTAGGGAACAATTGCCAGGAGCGTCTCCGATGGCGGCAGCCGTCAATTTGAGCGTGGATCCCCTGCTCTGGAGACAGAATAAGCACGCTTGACATCGATGCATTGACAGGGAAAGTAAACGGGATAGTAGCGTTTGAGTGACAGCCGCACGGTCTGCAACATGTATGCAGGGGTATCATTATGCCTATTTTCTCTATTACTTTACAGCTCTAGAGCTACCTCCAGAGACCGTAGGGGCCGGTTGTGAACTTCCACAACTTGATTGTGCCGTCCTCGCTGCCCGTTGCATACAGCTTTCCATCGGGCGAAAACATGGTCGTCCAGACCGGACCATGGTGGCCCTTGCCAATTTCTGCATAAAGGTCAGCGGCCATATGCCCGGGAAGAGTTTAGAGGATATGCACTTACCAAGTTCCTCGCCAGTGCTGAGGTCGAAGACATGCACCCACGTGTCGCCGCTGCTGCCGGCGACGAACTTCTCCTGTGCGCTGTGGAGCGCCACACTCGCCAAGTCATATTTTGTTGTTACGCTCTTGACCAGCGTCGCAGGCTGCCTTCCGTCAAAGAAGTACGCCGTCTTGCCTGCGGCAACACTCAGGATGCCGCCTCCCTGGCTACCATCGGAGCCGATGTTATCCAGCTCACAGCTTCCGAAAGTTCCGTCAACAGCGTACTCGCCAATTGTTGACTGTGTCCGCAGGTCCCACCACCTTATCTTCTTATCTTCCGACGCCGTGATGATGATGTTGGGGTCATTTGCCCAGACGATGGATTTGATCGAGCCCTGATGCACCCCGGAGCCGATCTCGAAGCTTGCCGACGACGCGCCGTTGGCCTCGGTCGGCGACGAGGTTGCGCTGGTGCTCCTGGAAAGGTCGAAGATGCGGAGCTTCTTGCCAACGGTGCCGGTGGCGAGTATTTGCGGGTGGGGCTGGTTCGGGAAGGCGACGGCGCGGACGATGTGCTCGTGCTCGAGCGTGTGCAGGGCTTCACCAGTTTGCGTGTCCCACACCTTGGCCGAGAAGTCTGCGGAGCCGGTGGCAGCAAGGGTTGCGTCCGACGAGAGGCGCGCCGACCAAACGGCGCCCTTGTGACCCAGAAAAGTGCCTATCCAGTCGCCAGTCACGCCGTTGCGCAGCATGGGGTTGTTGTCCTTGCAGGCGGAAATAAGGAAGTAGTCATCGTCAATGACGGACGAGAAGCTGATGTGGGTGATGGGCCGCGAGTGGCCATGGCACGTCAAGGGGACGACTTTTACGGTCTCTGGATGGTGTTGCGGTCAGCATATAGCTCCCACGCGTCTCTGGGGTATTCTCCTCCGCTGCACCGACGAACGCACCGGTAGCCATTGCGGGCGGAGGGGGCGAGAGCAGGCGTCTGCGAGGCGCGCGTTGTTGTTTGGGGATGCGCTTCTCAGCCGGTCGGCGGATTAGAGGTGCTGTAGTTCAAGAGCAGGCACGAAAGAGGGTGAAACGTGGGCGCGAGAAGCCGAAAGCACCGTCGGGCTCTTGCAGATCCGGACCCTGGAACCTAGTGGGGCTTTTTCGGAAGGCGTTTATTGTACAAATAGATGGTCTGGGGGATTGGAAAGAAATAAAGGAGACTCGTGGGAGCTCGTCACGTCGTGAGAAATAGTGGCAGCGGGCGCCGGGATCTCTATCCTCGTCGCGGGGTGTAGCGGCGGGGAGCGAGGTGATTGAAGAAGCGCCCGCGTTAGGGTTGGGCGGCTTTGTTATTTGCGGGAGGCACGCCATTCGTCTGCCTGCAGCCCAGCCGCGTTCCTGGAAAAACCGTTTAGCCGAACTGTCCTGAAACCGCACCTCTCACCTCGCCCTCGAGCCCTGCCGCCGTCACACTCTCCACACCATCTCGTCCGCATGCTCACCAGTATCACCTTAGGAAATGCTTGGCTCGCACAGGATCCCGTCTGTTGCTTGCTTGTTGGGGAGACTTCTTCACCCGTCTTACATTAGTGACTAAGCTGCCCTTCCATTTGATTTTTCGTGCAAAGCAACAGAGGAAGAAGATGCAAATCCTGGTAATTCAGCATATACAGAGGGTGTTGCAGCCGATGGCTAGCGCGAAGAATAGCAAGGCTCTAGAACAGCGTAATTATGCCCCAGTTCTGCCTTAGAAAAATAACATATGTGGGTAGTTGAAGCTATCGTCCGGACGTGTATGTCGAATTAAAAATTATACAAACACGTCCGGACGATAGCTTCAACTACCCATGATATGAGCCAAAAAAAATAATCCACGCTACTGGTCATCGGCTGCGGAGGGGACTGTACGACGTGCGATTCTAAATTAAACTTGTGTTTATCTGTATGAGTTAGTCGTGGGCAATGCGCCAAGCGTTTGCACCTGCTTGATCCAAGGGACCGCTGCTGCCAGAACCGGCTCTCGTTTATATCCGCGCCGCTTGCCCCAAGTTACCTGGTCGCTCCCTCCGTTCTATACCACGTCTGGTCACCACTTCCACATCGACAAAGTTCCTTAGGAGGACTCGCCATGGCGTCTATAAGCATCCCACCCTCTCGCCCAATCTGCTGCCGCAGCAACGCCAACATCGGACACGCAGCCGGCATGGACACCACGCACGAGCAGTTCCTCAAGATACAGATCGATCCCGCTTTCTACAGAAGTGGCGAGCACTCCGACATCACTGTCCGCTATGGTAACGGCAGCGATACACGCGAGCGGATGCTCCACAAAATCGTCCTTTGCTCCCAGTCCGAGTTCTTCAGGCTCATGCTAGCTGCCCCGATGAAGGTGAGTCTTGTCTGTTCCAGCAACGAGTGTGGGAAACAAAACTCAAGCTGGCGTCTCCATAATCCAGGAATCGCATGAGAACATGGTTGAGCTTCATGAGGACCCGGATCTTATCGACTCGGCCATCGACTTCATCTATCTCGGCTCGCTCACGCTGCCCGACCTCGCCTCTCCCGCGCATGTTGCCATTCGTATTCTCCGCACCTACGAAATCGCCAACCAGTACATGATCGGTGCGCTCCAGGACGCTGCCGCGACGCGTTTCTCAAATCTAATCAAGCTCAACCCTTCTCTGAGCGCCAACGTGACCGTCTTGCGCGCAGCGTACGAAGACTTGACCCGCGACACTCACAACCTGCAGAAGCTGATTGCCCGGGCGTACAACATCTGGGCTCCGGCCATTTCTCACGAGATGAAATCTTTCCTTCTCGAGAACAAGGACGCCATCAGTGAGTATCGTACCATCAGTTTGCTCAAAAAGCGCTAATTTCCTCTGAGCCGATTACTTCTTTGAGATGGCTCGTGAGCGCTTGGAGCTTGGTTCCTGCCGTGTCTGTTGGCACTGCAACTACCAGGTCAACGTCTGCGTCACACCGGCTGACCCGACAGTCGAGAACCGCTACGACACGCCCGTCTACAACGCCCACTTCCTCAAGCATTGCCCGTCTTGCGGAAATCCTTTGCAGCCAAGGAGCTTAGGTCCTGTCTTGGACGATTGATTGACTTCATGAGAACGGGCTTGTCTAAAACTTAAGGAATCATTGTAATTGGCCACAGAAAGAGAAAAGGCAAATGGTTATCGGGTCCAACAGGGATATCACATGTGAATATTCACGGTACACTGAATTGTCAAGAAATGTCTTCATTCTATTTTCCTTTTATTTTTGGCAGCGCTGTCGAGCTTCAAACACAAGGAAATATGACCTCATGAAATGGAAGGCTTACCTGCAACCATCCCTGACCGCCGTGTCTACCAATCGATGGGGAAGCGAGCCGGATTCCAGGTTCCGTCAGCATCACGCTGGTAGGGGCCCTCCTCGGAATGGAGGCCCACAACATCATTCATATCTCCCGATGGGAGCCAGAATGACTGAGAAATGTCAAAGGCGTGGTCACCGCCGAGGCGGAGCACGCCGGGCAGGGTGTACACCCACGCCTTCATTGAGACATACATCTCCGGGTAGCGATCCCAATAGCGCATATTGTCGCGCTTAGTGGGACCAAACTGGGTCTGCAGCCTGACAGCCGTCTCGATGGCCTCGTCGGCAGCATCCAGCTGCGCCTTTAGCGCACTCATACAGGTCTCCGCCTCGGCGATGTCCGAGCGAGCCCGGTCCCACTCACCGCGGCGGATGAACCCACGCGCGCTGCGGATCAGGCCGTCCACATCGGCGGAGATGTCGCGCACCGGGTCCGTCTCCTCTACCATGAAGAGGTCGTGCGCTGCACGGGCGGCGGCCGAGGTGGCCTGGTTTAGCTCCGGGCGCTCGCGGGTCTCGATATGGATCCTATGCCAGATGGTACCGAGGGAGCGGTAAAGGTCCTCGAGCTTGCCGACCTTGTCAGTAAACTCGTTGAGGTACTTGGAGAGGCTCTCGTTGGGAACGAGAGAGACGTCGGTGAAGGTGTTCGACGTGGCGGTAGATTGCATGTTGATCGTTGCGTGGAAAGGGTAAAGGAGATTTTACCTTTGCTGTGGCTTGAGATGTGTGAAAGTGTTGGAAGAGAGTCGAAAAGTTCGAGCTTGAGTCGATGTTTCGAAAGGTTGCGGTTTTACCGTCGCTTTACATCGATATCGAGGGATTTTATATATTGACTGACAGCATGCTGTCTAAATACAATGGAATGGTTGCTATATAGATGTAGAGTTTCAAGCGGTGAATAGTGAAGGAACAATATGCATTGTTGTGGTTCGAACAAAGGCCGTGATTCTCGTTCGCCAGTTATACACCGGCCTCCTTGTTCAACACCTTCAAATTTGGCTCGAGCATTACTATAGTCTCCGTTGTATACACCATGTAGATATTCTTTTGAATGTTGTGATGAGAGAGGGAGGGGTGTAGAGGCGAAACATATCTTATCCGCAGACGTTAAGGCTTTCTGCGTGCGTTTTTATTTTAAAAAAAATTAGGGTATGGTTCAAGTGATTCCTAGTCGCTGTGGCTGCATTCGAGTTTTAGAGTGGGCTTTTATACCTGAAAGCTTCTCATCTAGTACTTTCCGGAAGTTTGCTTGCTTATCCGCGGATCCACTTCAATCAAAACATGTCGTAGACATGCAGACAAAGAAGTAGAAACTAGAAAGGCGTGGAATTCGGGTCATAAGTGGTCACTGCACATATCGGAAAACATATAAATTTGTTGCATCGGCATTCCAGCAAAACAGCATCAAACACTTTGCGAAATAATTACTCGATGCGCAAAGTGATTATCTGAATCCCACTGTCAAGACCGAGTTTACTTGAATAAAGCTACACTCAACATGCATGAGCCACAGAAGTTTCCCTCAATCTTAGGTGCGGGTGGTGTGAACGTGGCTTTGGAGGGGATTAAAAAAAAAGGACATTGAAGGATCTAGGCAATATCCCGTTACACCCGGTGAAGATACGAGATTATGCCCACCAACAGGAGAGCACCACCAGCCTGTTAGGTCTAGCCAAGGCTCGCTAAGTTATTTCTGCCCCCAATTCCTTCCCGAAGCGGTGAACGAATACAGGGTTCTCGCCGGCCGGACAAGCCCGACGTGATGCAGGAACGAGCGTTTACTGGACGATTGCCGAGCACACCCACGCGGCCGGAATCCGCAATGGGCCCCATCATGCGAATCCGCAAATCTGTAGATGATAAGCGACGCCGGATACGACGCCAGGCATCACTGCGGCAATTAAATATGTATATATAAAAAGACTGCAGCTGTCAATTGTTGAGAATTTGATTCCCCGCGCCTTCATTTCTCTCGTCTACGGAAAATAATCGAAGTCCATATTCTTAACAGTATGCTCGGCCTCAAGTCGAAGGTTGCCAGCATCTTGCTGGGCCTGATATTCTGCTCCGAAACCGCACACGCCCTGTGCTACAACATGAATAGGCAACAGGTGCGTACCGAGAATCGTCTACTGGATCCGCTTGCATTAAATGGGAAAATGAGAGGCCGATGGGGTTAGCTTGAAGAACGCCAAAACCAACTGACACTATGCTATGTAGGACAGCTCTCTTCATGAATGTCGGAACATGCCTGAGTACCATCCGCACCTGTCATGCTGCTCCGAAGACTCTGTTTGTCTTGACAACGGCTTGTGTCTGAGCGCGTCAAACAACTCGCTCGAACTCCTATCCTACCAAGGATGCACTTGGAATTTCGGTGCCGGTGAGGCCTGTCCAGGTGCAGAGTACTGCCGGCTCAAAAGTAAGTTTCATGTATCCCGCTTCCACAATGGACAAGGAACTGACAAAAACTTCCTTCTTCTCAAGATACAACTGGCTACCCATATCCCAAGGGTACCAAATACAACATCATACCTTGCTCAAATGGCAAGTACTGCTGCTCAGTTGACGTTGTTTCTACCGACTGTTGCGCCGTTGAGGAGGACACTTTCGAAGTCAGCTTCGGGCGCGTGCGCGACTCGACGACGACCATGTATTCTACATGGACATATACGACGACTTCAACCGAGACTGTCTGCCCGACTACGACGGAGACGCTGGCTTCCACAACGCCTGCTGCCGTGGAGTCGACGGCTACGCCTAATGTGGCTGCCAGGTTCGGGGCTTAGAGCAACCTGCGGTATCTCATGAATCCTACCAACGAAATTAATGTGGACTATGTAGGGATAGGGGATTTGTGACAGTAAGGTCATTATGGTGAGATTTGATATGGGCGTGAATGAGAAATCATTGCTACAAAGCATACAACAAACAAAGAATAAAGGATTGTCAACAAACTCTTGAATGCAAAAGGGACATGAACATATTGAATCAGAAGCACAGCTGGCCCAGAACCGTCCACCCACTACTTCCTACACAACGTCATCACAATCGTCGCATTCCTCCCAGCCCTACAATCCCCCATCTCCCCCTTCTCCGGTACCGGCCATTCGCACTCCGTCCTTCCGGGCGGACACTCCAAAACCCTGCAGCCCTTCTTGCCCGCGACCTCGAGCCTTCTCCAATACAGTGTGAAAGGAGCGGCGTCGACCGTCGACAGATCGTACCAGGCCCACACCGCATCCTCCTCGCGCGTCCACGGCGTGTCGCTCTGCGAGTACTCGATTTGATACACGTTGTGCCAGGTCTCGTCCGGGAATGGCTGCACCTTGATGCACACTCCCGGCCCGTTGTTGATCGTCTTCACCTTGGCGTGGTACACGCCGCCGTTAGGCGCGACCTTGACCATCTCGTGCGAGTCGTAGCCGCCGCCGCGCGATGTCTTGGCGTAGACGGGGAACTTGCAGTTGTTGATGAAGCGGCCGGAGAAGGCGGCGGTGGCGGGGCGGTGGTGGGTGAAGAAAAAGGCCGTGAGCGGGAGGAGGATGGCTGTGAGCTTCATGGTTGTGTGTGTATGAGAAATGACTGATGTGGTGGCGTTTTGGATGGCTGGCTGGTGTTGGTTGTTGAACAATTGTGCTTAGCAAGGTTGAAGAGAGCGCCGAAAAGAAATGGTCCGGATGAGGCTGCAGGGCGGTATCTCAAAAGAAGTACATATAGCAATGAATAGGGCTCTAGGAATAGTAATGTTTAAAGAGTAATAGTCCGAAAGATTGTTAGAGATTGTAGTGCTGATTTGAGTAGGAAAAGCAAGATAGCTGAGCAAAGAAATACTCGCAGTGTTGGTTTTGATACTTGATGTTGTCTGGTGTATAGTACCTAGTGCCTATAGCCAGACCTATGCCGCTTTGTTTACTTCCTGGTCAGGATAACCATTCACGTACCGCTCAGGACCAGTCCTCTCTTGCTTTTCTAACGAATTGCTGGCGAGTCTTTGAGGAGGTGATAGTAAATTATTCGATGAGAATTTGGAAATACTGGGTTCAAAACACCAGGCGTCGACTGTCTTCTGAAAGGTAGATGGTTCAATCTGCCGCAGTGCGTTGAGGCTCGTGGGTTATATGCTGTCTCGTTAGCGACTTATGAGGACCGACATAATACATCTGGTTTGGAAACTGTCGAGTTGCTCCCACAGTAGTGACGGGTTCAATAATTCATCCCATGGTTCAAGATAAACAAGCTTTCCTTGGACCGCCTCTCGAGTCCCATCGTGACTTGCGCGCAGCTTCTCCACCCCTTTAGAATAAGGCTGTTGGAGAAACCCTGTCAGTCCACGTAGGCAACACGTAATAAGGGTTACCCCGATAATCAATTGCGGTATATGTAGCAAGCGGAAATGGCTGGCTGCAACAGTATTAGCGCAAAGTAAATTCTCGATGCAAACTCATGAAGAGAAATGAAAACAGTTATCCATTCTGTATACCCATAAACAAATATGACGACTCGAAAGAGGTATCCGCCGTGGAGCATAGGTGTCCTGCCCGTGACTTGGTATCTCCGATCCCTCCCGGTGGCGCCGATGTTGTGGTTTAGCTGATCCCAATTCCCAAAAGTGCACGTCTTCTTCCTTGCCGGATAGGGTCATAGGTGAAGAGGATGTGCAATAATCTACCGTTGTGAGGCCAATGCTCCAACAATGAGACAAGAAAAAAAGTCAAGCAAACTGCCTGGCGTCTAGCCACGTTTGCCCTTACCACCCTTCGAACCAACAGTCCTGGACTTGCTACTGGCCGTTGGTGCAGCATAAGATCGCGTGGCTCGCTTTGGTCTGGGCGGAGGTTCATCATCCGGCTCGGGTTCTGCCGCTTTACGTTTGCGGGGCCGAAGTCCGCTTGCAACCGATGTTGACGCCGCGGCTTCGGTATTTTTCTTTTTACCCTTCCCCTCAGTGCCGGATGCCTCGTTCGTGGGCGGGGTAGGAGGTAGTGCAGCTTCGCTCTTGGGTACGGGCTCAGAGACTCCATTGAGGCTCGCGCCAGATTCTTCCTCATCATCATTCTCCGGTCTGCCCTTTTGCTGTGCTGCCCATGCTGCAATGTCTTTGCCCTCTGGGTCGTCTTCCTCAGCTTGTTCGAATAGATCTTCAGCAAGCTCGCCAGCAATGTCATCAGCCTCTCCCTCGCCACTAAACATGCGCAAGGCGTATCTCAGAAGCGTGGATTGGTCAAGGCCGGCTGGGGCGGCTCCAGATTTGGCGAGGTTCTCTTGAAGGGCGCGCATGAGTGCCTCGGGATCGAGACCACTCCCGGCGATAAGGTTCCCAAGGCCATCTCCGTCTTCTTGGGTAGACTCCTCGTCATCTTCCCAGTCTTCCTCCTCTGGAGCGGCTGAAGCCATTTTCACTGCCTTAAGGATCTGATCCGCGGCATCAGGAGCGACTTCATGTTTGACATCGGCGTGATTCCCTTTCGACTGGTCTCCGTCAGCGCCAAAGCGCGTTCTCCAGTCACCCAGTAGAGAGAAGGATTGCGGCTCCTCGGTCAAGGTCCTAGGTTCCTCAAAGTCCCGCTTGATGCGCTCTCTGCTGGATTGCCACAGGACAGGCGGCACATTGTCTCCAGACTCAGGTGCCGAGTCAATAAGCTTGCGACCATGCGCGCCCTTGCGCTTCTTCTGCGACGGGCCGCTCTGTGCGACTCTCCTCCTTTTCTTCGGACCAGGTGTGCTCTTGTTGGTGACGCTGGTCTTTGCAGCGCCTTGGACATCGTTCCAGCCGTCTGAATTGTACTCAATGTCCACCCAGTACTCGAAGTAGTCGGAGTTGTAACCTGCGCCGTCGATGTCGTAGTCGCATGGAGGAGGAGATGCGATGGCGCGCTCGGCAAGGTCGTCCTGTTGGGGGAGTGTCAGAGTGGTTTCAGACAAGGAGCTTGGGGAAATAGCGTACAGCAAGGTGGTCTTCCTCGGCGATGTAAAGCCAGCCGTCATCGTAGAGATCGAAGTCGTCCGAGTCGTAGCCGTAGTCGGACATGTTGGCGAAGCGAAAGCGAGCGCGCCGCGGCTTGGGTATGCTCGTCTTTGGACGCGTCGGAGTTGGAGCGGAACGGAGCTTATGACGCGGCGGTGGTCATTCCTCGGAGCGCGACGCGCGACAACACATGCGACGGCTTGGGGCCGGCGCCGAGCGGGGCAAGGAGCGGCTCTCTCAGGGCACGGTAGCGATGGAATCGGCGAGGCGCGAGTGCGGAGGGGGAACGCGTGCGTGCGCAAGGCTCTCTTGGATCGAAGGAATTGATGTTGTCGGGGGTGCGGTTATTGGCTGACGGGTGCGGAAGGCGCGGTCATGGTGGGCATGCCAGGAAGAAGCTCGAGGTGTGCGACGAACACCCCAGGCCGCCCGCTCAGTCCATCTCCCCGTGACGCTGGGTATACGTTACCTCGCCAGACCCACGATGTTTGGAAGGATGGAGGCCCCGAGCAAACATCCATCGCACAGTCCGGCGAGTGTGCAAGCACGCGCCTCAAGTCTTCCCCGCTCGGGTAGCCGCGGCATAGCTAAGACCCCGTCTGGGGTAGCTACCGCCTGGGGAAGCTGCTCATTCTCCTCCTGCCACTCCCTCTTCTCCTCCGCAAACCCAACTTTTTTCACTCACAATGCACTCTCTTCCCAGGCTGCGCGGCGCCCGCTACACTGCCCGCGTGCTGAGCTATCACGCGGCCTCTACCCGGCGGAGCCATGCCTCAGCCGCTGCCGCAAGCAGCCCCATAACAAAGCCATTAACCTCTGTGCTCATTGCAAACAGAGGAGAAATTGCTCTCCGCGTCGGGCGTACGGCATCGGAGTACGGTGTGCGCGTTACCACCTTGTACACCGACCCAGACGCCACCTCTCAGCATGCCCTCAGTTCACCTTTCGCCGTCAACCTGAGTGAGCCCAGCGCCTACTTGGATGGTGACCGCATTATCGAAGTAGCCAAGAGGGAAGGGTGTCAAGGCATCCATCCAGGTTATGGTTTCTTGAGCGAGAACCCGGTCTTTGCAAGGAAATGCAAGGACGCCGGCCTGACCTTCATCGGCCCCCCTTGGGAAGCAATCGAGGCCATGGGCAGCAAAAGCAAGAGCAAAGAGATCATGACTGCTGCTGGCGTCCCTTGCATCCCTGGCTACCACGGCTCGAACCAGGACCCCGGCTTTTTGAAGCAAGAGGCCGAGAAGATTGGCTACCCGGTTCTTTTGAAAGCTGTAAAGGGCGGTGGTGGCAAGGGTATGCGCATAGTCAAGACTCCGGACGAGTTCCTGGATCAGCTGGAATCGGCAAAGTCTGAAGCAAGAAACTCATTCGGCGATGATGTCATGCTTGTTGAGAAATACATCACCACTCCCCGCCATATCGAAGTTCAGGTCTTTGCTGATCAGCATGGAAACTGTGTTGCATTGGGTGAGCGCGACTGCAGCATCCAACGCCGCCACCAGAAGATCTTGGAAGAGTCCCCGGCCCCGCATCTGGAAGAGTCCATCAGGCAGGATCTTTGGGAAAAGGCGCGTGCAGCAGCGCTGGCTGTCAAGTACGAAGGCGCAGGCACCGTCGAGTTCATCTTCGACAACGAAACTAATGAGTTCTTTTTCATGGAAATGAACACCCGCCTACAGGTTGAGCACCCGGTTACCGAGATGGTGACGGGCCAGGATCTTGTCCGGTGGCAGCTCATTGTGGCTGAAGGTGGCAAGCTTCCTCTTACTCAAGCTGAAATTGAGGAGCAGATTGCACAGCGTGGCCATGCCATCGAGGCCCGCATCTACGCAGAAAACCCAGACATGAACTTCATCCCAGACTCCGGCAAGCTCATCCATCTCCGCATTCCCAAAGAGTCAGCAACGGTCCGCGTAGATGCCGGCTTCGTCGAGGGTGACGAGGTTTCAAGTCACTACGACCCCATGATTGCGAAGCTCATCGTCCAAGCTCCTACCCGCACTGCCGCTCTCCAAAAGCTTCGCATGGCGCTCGAGGAATACGAGGTCGCTGGCCCCATAACGAATATTGAGTTCCTCAAGCGCTGCTGTGTGAGCCCTGCCTTCGTCTCTGGCGAAGTTGAGACTGGCTACATCCAAAAGCATCACTCTGAGCTCTTCGCCAAGCAGCCAACTCCTCCTGAAGCCTTCGCTCAGGCAGCCATCGGGCTCCTGCTCCAAGAGTCGGAAACTCGCAAGTCTACAAGTCCATTAACGGTGATTGGCTTTGGGGACGGCTTCCAGGCGCGCGAAATCAATCTCGTCGAGATAGATCCCGCGGCCGCCGCCTCAACCACCGGCCCTGCTACTCCCGAGAATGCAACACCGGTGAAGGTTCGCCAAATTGAGCCGAATTCATTCGAGGTCATTATCGACGACACAATATACCCAGTAGTGAAGGCCAAACTGGACGCTGGCTCCTCGACATTGACGTCTTACTACCCACATACACGTGTAGAAACGCGTGTGGTCCGTGCCGACGATGCCATCACGCTCTTCCAGCAAGGGAAGCAGTATCGTCTGCGTCTGGCAACACCAAAGTGGGCGGAGAAAGCACTGGGAATCAAAGAAGCGAAGAATAGCGTTGTCGCGCCGATGCCGTGTAAGGTGTTAAGAGTGGAGGTTAACGAGGGCGATGAGGTGAGCGAGGGTCAAGCGTTGGTCGTGATTGAGAGCATGAAGATGGAGACGGTGATCCGGAGTCCGCAGAAAGGCGTCGTGAAGAAGATTGTGCATGGTCAAGGGGTAAGTGTCGAGTTTCATGCTTCTGGAATCGAGATTATACTAACGTGAAATAGGATCTTTGCAAAGCTGGAACAGCACTGGTCGAATTCGAGGAGAATGCGGGGCAGTAAGAGAAGTTGAAGACAGCATCTATGAACTCATCACAGAGAGAACGATTTAATCTCACCACGGAAAAAGAATTGAAGACATAAGATTTTGTATACACTGAAAAAAAAGATTTCATCGCACGGTTTCGTTCGTCTGCAGTTTTTCAAGTTCCAAGACATCTCGCTCGCGTATTGTGTTCGTTATATGCAGCTACCCGCAACACCCTGATACCATAAAGAAGCATGAAACGCGCCTCCGGCAATTGACGGGCCAGCTGGTGATTGCCCGTTGGCTCCGGCTACGTTGCAAACTCAATTTCCCCCGCGAATTCACAACATGGCTCCTCTCAACACTACGCAAGGACAGACATTGCCGTAAGAAGAAACCGACTTTATCACATGAGAATTCCTAGGCCAGGTCTTGTTCATTGTCTCAAACCCCCTCTTCCAGCTCCGTACAGTATGCCTCCGCAAGTCTCCAAATCCAAAGTCCCTCAGGCTGCCGCCAATGACCCCGAAAGGGGCTGCGGGTTCAACTACGAGAATTCGACCTTTGACCCAAATATGTGGCTGATGGCTATGGTTATTGTGCGCAAGAAGAGACATGAGGAAATAGATGGCACCCTTACAGGCAACCCGAAACAGGTACCTGTAAGTGTAGGAGGCTGTATCCCTGCACACTACCTGATATTCCTGCCGGGCGTAGTGCGCTGCAGCCACTACTAGCTCCAAGGGCCCAATGGTAACGATATGCCGGACGACGCTTGTGGCCTGATGTAAGCTTTGGGTAAGGGGGGATGGTAGAGGTGGCTTGCTCAGAGAATGGAATCAAGTGAAGGATACATATAAAACTGCTAGAGGGGTCGATGGGTGAGATGAGTGAAATTTTTGTCAGCCAGAATTGATCCAGAAGGATTGGGGCCAGGGGTGTGAAAGTTTGTCGCTTTCGGGTACGGGTTCGTGTTTGCACTCCAGTTTGGGAGTAGCTTGTCTTGGAAAGTTCTCAAGATCATGGGGCCGGTATGTAAAACCAAAGTCTGCTAAAAGATTTCCGACTCGGATCTTTGGTCCATCATCTCCCGTTTCTTGGCTACTCCCTCAAAGAAGGCAAGCTGTAACTTCTACATTTCGTGCAAGTTTCTTGCAAACACAATACATACGTTCAAGCTTGGCGGCCGCAAGACTTATTCTTCTTACGCATTCAAATATCATACTTGATACGCACTTGACGAGGTTGCAAAGTTATCTCCGTTGCGGTGTCCCAAAACGGTAATTCTTGACCACTCGGCCAATAGGTGCGGTGGAAGACCCACCAATTTAGCGCCTTGCTTTGTAATATCGCGACTATGATGTCAACAGAAAGCAACACTGTGCTTGGCAACTTCAGTGATAAATATCTCACGTGTGGAAGCATCTCATACGACAGCATCACGCCGACTGGAATACCCCACGCACCCATTCTTCTCCCCGCGTCCAAAAAAATCCATCACTTCAACAAAAACCCCCCACCATGTCCCTCTCGGGCAAAATCATCCTCATCACCGGCGCCTCAATGGGCATCGGCGCGGCCATCGCGCGCCGCCTGGCCCAGGAATCCGCGACCCTCATCCTCCTCTCCCGCTCCGCCGACAAGCTCCACGCCCTCGCCTCCTCCCTCCGCGCCGACATCCCGCACGCCGGCCCCATCCACGTCGCAGCCGCCGACGTGCGGCAGCACGCGCAGCTCGCCGCCGCCCTCAGCACCATCCGCGCGCAGCACCTGGCGGACCGGCCGCTCGACGCGCTGATCAACAACGCCGGCCTCGCGCTCGGCGCGCCCGCGCTGTTCCCGCACCAGAGCATCGAGCACATCGCGACGATGACGGCGACGAACGTCGACGGCGTGCTCTTCGCCGCGCACGCCGCGCTCAACCAGGGCGGCATGCTAGACGCCGCGCGCGGGACCATCGTCAACGTCACGTCCGTGACAGGCCTCGAGGTGCCGCCGTTCCCCGGCGAGGCCGTGTACCATGCGACCAAGGCGGCGCAGGAGGCGTTTACGAATGCGCTGCGGAATGAGCTGCGCGAGACGAGCATTCGCGTGATTGCGATCAGGCCCGGGGTGGTGGCGACGAATTTTCACGAGCAGAGGGTCGGGTACGATAAGGGGATGTACGAGGGGTTTGTGGAGGGGTACGAGCCGTTGGTGGCGGATGATGTGGCCGAGGCGGTGGCGTGGGTGTTGGAGAGGCCGGAGAGGGTGGCGGTCAAGGCGTTGGATGTGGTGCCGACGGCGCAGAGGAGTTTGCAGGTTTTTGATCGGAAGTGGAATGAGAGGAATGGGGTTTGAGCGTTTTTTTGTTGTCAGGTAGGAGGTATCAAGGTGGTGATGAATAATTTGTTGAAACAGTTCATCGTGATCAGTAAAGAACCCTTTACGTTTTTATCTCTTCATGATTGTTTACGCGGGAAAAATGTCCTGAAACTCCTCTTTATTTGTTAGATAATAATCTAACAGGTAAGTATGATAGCCGTCTCTTTCAACCAGAAAGCCATTAAGAAGTCTTGTTAAACTAATCAAGAGATTTGAGCATAGGTCCATGAACGCTAAGATTTCTTTGATATCGGGTCAATTGGATACCTCCTGTAGCACTGAGCTCCTATAAACAAGCGAAAAGCAGCTACTTTACTCTTAAAGGCCAGGTGAGCATAGATACTCCATCAAAACAATACAGAAAGGGTTATATGAGCAAGTGTTCTCATTGAAGGCTGAACTTCGAATACATTGATACCCCTTAATCCTGCACAAATTTCCCAAAAACGCCATCCCGTCTATAAGTACCCAATTCTATATCCCTCCTCTCTCATAAAGCGCGCCTTTATATCAGAATCCCCACTGCTCCATCCAATTCTCAAACAACCTGCCATCAACAGCCTTGAGCTCGCGCAAGCACGGGCTCAGCTCCTGCGTGTGCCGCGTCTCCATCGGCGGCAGCGCACCGCCCTCCATCTTCAGCCCCTCGTAAAAGTCAATCAGCTTGACACCGGGCTTCTTGGCGACCTCGTCGGCGTCGGTCAGGGGCACGCGGCGCAGCGCGTCGAGCCACTCGTCAAACTCCACCGCCCGCACCTCCCGGCCCCGTCTGCCATACCACTCGCGAATGACAGGCACGAGGTGTTCCCAGCGCGCAGCCCGCGGGTTCTGCACGTGAAAAACGTCGAGACGCTCTTCGCTGCCGCTGACGATAGCCGCGTGCCGCCGCGCCTTCGCGAGCGAGACCTCGACGACGGTGCGGCCGGCGGCGTCCATGGGCACCCAGTCGACGAGGTCCGAGTTGCCGAGGTGGGCGGGGACGAGCCCCATGTTGACGCTGGTGCGCACGAGGCTGGGCAGCCACTCGTGGCGGTTCCACACGCCGAGGCGGCCACGGGGCCCGCCGAGTTGGCCGCAGCGCACGATGCTGGCGGGGACGCCGGCGCGGGAGGCGGCAACCGCTAAAATGCGGCCGGACACGTGCTTGCTCTCGCCGTAGCCCTGCGGCAGTGGCACGCGGTCGTCGTCGAAGAAAGCTTCGGGGACGGGGCCGGCGGATGGGTGGAGCTGCGGGTGGTTGCCGACGGAGGCGACAGAGGAGATGAAGGCGATGTGGGCGCGGTGGGTGGAGGCGAGCGAGAAGTCGACGACGCGGCGCACGCCCGAGACGTGGGTTGGCTCGTAGGATTCGAGGGCGTGGTTGAAGTCGACGGCCCAGGCGTTGTGGATGAAGAGCGTGGCGGCGGCGGCCATTTGATCGTAGTCGGGCTGGGACAGGGCGAAGAGCGGCTGGCTGAAGTCGGTCTTGAGGAAGGTGACCTTCGAGAAGTCGGCCGTCTCGCCGCGCTCGGCGAATGACTGTGCCTGGCGCGAGGCGGCCGTGGCTGGGTCGGAGCGGTTGAGGCAGTAGATGTGCTCGACCTCGGGCGACTCGATCAGCTCCTGCAGGATGAAGTTGCCCAGGGCGCCCGTCGAGCCCGTCAGCACGACCGTGTGGCGGGCGGGCATGGGCGGCAGGTCGGCGGTCGACGAGGTGGTGGGAAGTGTCTCGGTGTACTTCCTGACCATGTCGGCCATGACCGTCTCGCGCGCCAGCTTCTGGCCATCGTCGGTGGCCGACAGCTTGGAGCGCAGGGCAGCGGCCAGCTTGCTGACGGTCGGGTTGGCGTAGATGTCGCGCGGCACGACGGAAGCGTCGCGGCTGGCGGCCGACTTGATGGCCGACGAGAGGGCGCTGGCCAGGGCCATGGCCTGCAGCGAGTCGGCTCCCAGGTCGAAAATGTCGGCATCGTCGGTGGCTTGCGGGTTGTTCTTGAAGTTGGTGAGGACGAGCTGGAAGGCGGTGCGCAGGAAGGTCTTGGTGGCGTCGATGTCGGCGTCCTTGTCGAAGGCACCCAGCTGCTCGGAGAAGCCCTGGCCCTCGTTCAGGTACAGCGCGTCGATCTCGCTGTCATACGTGCCGACAGTTGCACGGCGCTGAATGGAGCCCTTGGCGGCGCGCAGGAACGGCTTGTCCCTCTTGGTGAAGGCAATCTTGTTCTTCCACACCTGGGCGTGGGCGGGGGCATCGTGGTTGGCCTTCTCGACGGCGGGCCACACTTCGTCTAGGAGGAGGGCCAGGTCCTGCTTGCCGTGCACCTCGACCTTCTCCCAGTCGGGCTCGATCAGCAGGGCGGGCTGGAAGCGGCTCTGGCCGACGACGAGGGCGCCGCGGACGAGCGCGTGGTTCTCGACCGTCTTCTCGAAGCTGACGGGGTTGAACTTCTCGCCGTTGTTCAGCACAAGCACGTCATCGCGGCGGCCCTTGTAGCGCCAGAGACCCGGCTTGGTGGGGTGGGCCTCAAACAGGTCCTTGGTGCGCCACTCGGCGATGTCAGGGAAGGTGTAGAAGACTCCGAGGTAGCGCGGCTCGGCGATGGGCTTGATGACGCACTCGCACAGGCCCTCGCCCTCGCCCGCGTCCTCCATGACCACGCCCGAGTACGCCGACCACTCAAAGTACTGCCAGTCGGCCGGATCGCGGTTGACCAGGCTCTGGATGAAGCACGCCTCGGTCGACCCGATCATCGACGTCAGCTTGGTCACCCGCGTGATGCGGTCGCCCGCCTCCTTGGCCAGCGGCGCCCCCGCGAAGAAGACGTACTCCATGGTCGCGAGCGCGTCCAGCCCCTTCTGCGTCTCCGACATGTCTTCCAGCACCGACGGCGCGAACAGCCCCGACCACGGCTTCTTCAGCTGCAGAATCTCCATGGCCATCTCGGCCGTCGGGATGCGCCCGGGCGGCGGCATGATCAGCGGGCCGCAGTAAATGGACTTGAGGATGGTGATGATGCCCATGGTGTGGAAGAATGGCAGCATCGTGAACAGCGACTTGTTGGCCGTCATGTACATGGCCAGCGTGTTGTCCCGCCCGCGCGGCGCATCCATGAACCGCTGGTGATCGAGCGTGTTCAGCCAGCCGTTGGTGATGTAGATGGGCTTGGGCAGCCCGGTACTGCCCGAAGTGTGCAGGACGAGCACCGCCTCGGATTGCGAATACGGCCGCTTCTCCACTTTGAGGTTCCGGTACGGTCCCTTGGCGCCCTCGAGGATCATCTCGTCGAAGCTTGGGATCTGGTGCCCCGAGAGCTCCGGATGGTCGTGGAACGCCTTGAGGTTCTTTTCCACGCCTTCCGAGTACAGGAAGTGCTTGCAGTCGGTGCGCTGGATCAAGTTGATTTGCCCATCGTCCGAGTTGCGCAACGACGGGAGAAGTGCCTACAGCCACCCGTCAGTTCCCGCTCATGCCTCGAGACTCGAGTCTTCTTACCTTCCGGTTGGCCTTGATCATGGCCAGAATGACGACCGTGTATCTCACATCGTTGATACTGACAAGGCGTTAGATTCTGATCCTCTCATTTGCTGCACGCTGGACCCTACCCAAGATATGCCACGGTCTCCCTTGCGGTCCCTGCGCCAATGGTTCTCTCAATCCACCTTGCCATTCCATCGACGGCTTGGGAAAGCTCGTGGAAAGTGATTTCCCGCCATTGGCCGCTGATATCGTTTGACTGAGGCACCGAGACCCAAGTACGGAAAGGTTGAGAAGCCGCCAGCTCGTCAACACGACGGGTAATGAGTCTGTCCGCGAAGGGAGAAAGACCGCCAGAGTAGCTCTGAGTGATGGAGCCCATGGTTGAAGTATTAGATAAGATCGGCTGGCTTGTGGCGTGAGAACGATGGAAGACCGGGCGTTGTCTTTGCTGGTTGATGAGGACTGAACTTCGCAGACTTCTTGTTCTTTTATACAAAGCCGCGCTGGACAGCTCCCTGGCCGTTTGTATGCTCCTCAGCCCGTGATTTCTCCGTGCGTGTAGTGCAAGCTGCAAGCGCCATCAGCTCTCCCGGTTGAGACATTTTCGTGAGTCCGCAGTGCTGGTACAATGGAGTACGGGTTCGGCGTTCGTGCTCGGGGAGGTAAAGGGGGGAGGTGCATACAATCGCACGCGTTGTTTCACGGAAGCCACCCATGGTCTGCAGCAGGGTCCTATTCGGAATGAGCTCGGGGATAGGTGGCTGATCGGGAACGGGGAGGGGATCTGTGTGGTGTTGTTCCCAGAAGGCCCTGGTTGTTGATCGGACTTCGCTTGGGTCCCCTTTTTTCGTCAAATAATTGGTCTTATCTTTCCATATCTCTTGACAACAAAGCTCCCAGATCCAGGAGTGGAGATTGTCAAGAGCACGGTCGATGGCCTCTGGAAATCCATCCCTTAAGGCCCCGACACGTCATCCGGGCCATCTAGAGCCCATCGCACTGCGGCCTGATTCGGTCGAGCCAAGCCTTCCAAGCCCGTGAGTTGAGCTTGACTGCGGAAATCATTGTAAGGGTTCCGTGCATCCCGGTGTGAGGCGCAAGGGTCGGCCCGCACCCGATCGAGGGGCCATGACGAAAAAAGACGCATGGCTGTGTAGAGCCTGTTTCAGTCTGGCCGGCCCACAATTTAGGGAGATCCGGCGAGCAGGGAAGTGGATGAGGTGCCTTGCATCACCGTCCTGGATGGACCAACGGAACAGTGGAGTAGCCTCGGTAGTCGGACTTCTCTCGCACGGAGCGGGGCATATGAATACCACAGGCTCCGCCCTGGTGGGCGCTTATGGAAGAGAAATCATGCAACAATGATGAGAACCCATACTTCGTGCTGCAGAAACCCATCGAAGCTGATAACAAAAGCGGAGGATGAAGTGACGGCAACGGGTACTGCAGCTCCCGGTCAGACGAATATGGCTCTAGACTCTGCCCATGTTTCGTTGCATCGTGTCATTCTTCCAAGATTTCTCGTAGACGGACTGCTGGGACAAGTTATCACTCTCAATCACGGTGCAGACAGAAATGTGGACTGCCTGGTGCTGACATGCGTATTCTCGCTGCGCAACGGCGCCGCGCTGCATTTCTGATTGGCTGGACCGAGAGAACATCTTGTGATGTGAACTCACTCAATATGGCGCTCTCCCGACTCTACATAATGTCTATCGACCATCATCAGCATGAGTCAATTATTCAAGTTGCACAACTTCTCGACGCCGCTATCGGAGGCAACCCAGAGAGAACCGCAACAAAAGATTTCTGCAGGGAGTGAGTGAGCACTCGTCCAGACGAACCCTACGGGCGCTGTTTGAGGAGCTACCTTCAGAACACCACCCAAGCGAAGATATTTCCCGAATCGACGGTGAACTTTGATCAACGCATGCTCCTGAATCAGGTAGATCCAATGCGTTACTTATTCGGGCACAGAAGGATTCCCATCTCATTTCGTAAGGCTTAGCGAAGGCTCGGCTCGCAGCTCCCGCCGCAGATCGTACAGATAAATACGAGCCTCTCCTGCAGCCCCTGTGAAGCCACGTGTTTTCCTTGTACAACCACAGTTTTTTACCCTTCCACGCTTCTCTCAAGCATGTTTCTCGGGAACTTCAAAACACCAAGAGAGAAAATAACCTCTGGATGACTACAGCCGAGAAGATTGGAGACATACCATGTCACAGACCGCCTACGATCCAACTACGGCCGGAATTAGGACAAAGTAGCCAAAGGAAAGTTCAAAAAATGGGTACACCGTGACTGCGCCCAGCAGCAAAGGAAGTATTTTGGTTGGCATCGTATTCAAGGTCTCAAAAGCAAAAATGCTTTACTTTACATTATCCGTGGACATCTCGAACTGGATTCATGGGCACCGACTCGTAATGCTTACCCGATGTGCGGCATTTGTCCCCTCGTAGATGAAGATTCCCTAGAATACTTCTTGGTCGGCCCGAAATATCCAATGGAGTGATTCTCCTGAGCACTGTGGCTGCTTGTCAAGGTCATCGAGCCTGTTATCGGATTTATTAAGACGCAGTCAATCACGGCAACCCTATCGCGGCTGGATGGCTCGGCCCATATCATTCCTCCATTTTCTCTACTTGCAGTTTCTCGCTCACAATATGGTAAAAATATGCCTCAAATCAAGGAGGATGGCCATAGCATACCGCTCAGCCCCAGTACAACGTGTGCTACGTAGCTTCATTCGCAGGAAGTGTTTCGGAGAGCAATTGTCGTCATTCGACAAAAGTTACTCTTTCGCAACGACTCCCACTTGCACGCCCTCGACCTCCGATTCAGATGGAGCAGCCCCATCCCTGACACTTTCTGCTTCATCCTCCCCGGGAGCCCTATCCTGCACCAGGAACGCCGCCCAAGTCGTAAAAGGGGCAGCAACATAGAAGGTGACGATGGCCACGATGAGGTTCGTCATCAAAGACGCACTTCTTACCGACCCAACCGCATACGCAAACGCCTGGCCCAGCGATTCCGCCGAGCGTAGTATACCCATCGACAGCGCGATCGTGTCAGCCTCGGTATCAAACGACCCCAGCGCCCAATACAACCAAACGCCAACAACCTCGTACGCAATCCTATCAACCCCACCTCATCAGCGACTCTCCCCGAAGCCAGTCAGAGAAACACATACCTGTAAATGATATAAATCCCCACGCCCGCGCCAAAATTCCCACTCGTCCAATCAATCACAGGGCTGTCCCTCGCCCACCTCTCCTGCACAACGACATTCCACACCCACGTGCCCGTAAACAGCGCGAGGGTAAACCCCCAACTCCACCGCGCCTGCGTCGAGCGCCGCAGCCGCTTCGTGTCCAGCCACCAGCCCGTCAACACGTTCGCCAGCGCGCCGACCACCGCGATCGCGAACCCAGCCAGCGCGCGCGCCCGCACCGTGAAGTAGGCCGCCAGGTAGTTGCCCTGGTACGTGACGCCCCATTGCGCCGTGACGAAGGCCGGGATGAGCAGCGCGACCTCCTTGCGCTTGAAGATGCGGAGGAAGGCGCGGGTTTGCGTGCGGAAGTCCTTGGCAGTGGAGGAGAAGTGGGGTTGCTTGCCGTCGGTGCGGATGAGCTTGTGCGGCGGGGAGAGGAGGAGCGCGAGGGGCAGCCCGAGGCATTGGAGCGCGATGAGGACGAGGTAGGTTTTGGGTGCGATGGCGCCGGTTGTGTCGCCCGAGGCGTTGAGCGCGAGTTGGATGGCTGTGCCGATGATGGAGCCGAGCTTGCCGAGTGCCATCCAGATGCTGACTGGAAGGGAAGCGTCAGATGTGGGTGTGCTGGTGAGAGCGGGGTAAAGGGTAGGTTTCTCTTACTGCACATTCCTCTTCGTCGTATTTCGGGGTAGCCGACGCCGATGGCTGCCTCGGCTGGCCATAGGGCTGCTGCCTGTGCTGTGTAAGTCTGCTGTTTGGATTGTAGGAAATGGATCCGGAGAGACGAACGGAGAGGCCGCAGGTGACAGCACCGAATATCAGAAACCATTGCGTTCCCCAAACCGAATTGCAATAGAGTGCTGCCGAGTACGGCACGTATCCGATGCAGCCGATGAACACCACCCAACGCATGCCAATGATGTTCCCGACAATACTGGCCAGCGGAGAGAAGAATACCATGACTCTGGTTGAGTCAATTAGCAACACCATACTCGAGACACAAATTTGGGGAGCTTACACGAAGGTAATGACATTGGCAGCATTAACGACGTATGGCTCTGCCTGTCCACCGGCACCAAGGTCTGCAGATAATCAGCGGCTGTGTCCTCTCAGTATAAACTGAGCCGCTTACTGTTGAGAGCAGTCCATATTCCGGGCTGTGTGAAACTGATGAGACCGAGAATTACCGCCTGAAAAATTGTTCCGCGGTAGAATCTGTGAAAGGCGCTCAGTTCCTTCCTTTTCCCTTCTGCCATGGTGGAGAAGAATATTCAACGTGTCTGTTACATTTTCTGCGTGTGGAACTATCCTAGATATTTTATAGGCGTAACCAGAGTGCCATTATCACTATCGATTTTAACGTTTCATCCGCAGCTCGCGCAAAAAGCAGGAAAATGGTATCAGAAGTGGGATGGACGGCAACATATCCACAATCGTCGGTAGCGGCATCAAAAGAGATAAGTATCTTCGATTTGGGCGAGGTTGAAACGCTTTTGTGTGGTCGGAATAGCGTGATTTGTCCCCAGTATCGCGTTGGTCCTCAGAGCGGGTCAACTTCGGAGTTGAAGCATAGGGGTGGGGAACGGCTGCGTGTTGCTCGTTTTGGCTAGCAACTTGGCGCCAATGCCGGCCAGAGGACGCGTATTTCTTGAAGAAGGCGATATCAGTGGGCTGGAACATCCACGGGACCTTCCGACGTGGCCTTCATGCTGAGGTTGTGGCAAAACTGCGGCATCATACAGGGGTGCTGATTCACTGAAAAGTACAGGAAAGGTAATTGAAGACCATGGCCCATGCTTTTCAGGTACGAGTATTAGCGGCTCCATTACGTCTCTACCGAGTGAATACATAACCTAATTTTGACCTGAGATGTTTTGATCGCCTACCTCTCAAACAACAGACCGGTTCAGCAGATCTCCGATCAGGTTCTGATGCCACGGAACAAAATCTCCTGTGACCTGCGAGATATACTGTGGAAATCCCTCATTGACTCCTTGAAGAGTTCCCCAAGAAAGCTCTCCACCAATATTATATGTCGTGTTCTTGAACTGCGACGCATTGAAGGAGCGGTAAACGATAGGGTGTTCATCGAAGGATACGTTTGCGGTAAGCTGAGACCAGACAGACGAAGATCCTCGTGGGAAGATAGTGCCGGTCCCGATGGAAGCTTGGACCACAATTGTGTCTCCCACGACGGCGTAGAAATGTCCGAGAGTAGTGATGACTTCAGCCGACTCGTAAGCCAAGCTGGTGTTGCCGAAGTCGGGCGTCATTCTGTTGGGCAATCAGCGGCGTATTCTCTTGCATGTTTTACCAGTAATCCTTACGGCCAGGATCCAAGATGGATGTCTTCGGTCTGTGCTTGTTGAATGAACATCGCTTCTGGCGTCGTGTGCTCGCCGCAGGAGAGCATGCCGATCCGACCGATTGGCGTGCTGACGGTGTAGAGGTGCTCGAGTTTCCCGTCTGACCAAAGCTCGCGCTCTTGAGCCGATGGTCGGAGCTTATGGCGATGTATCAAAATTTTACCGTCCGGGGCGATCAGTGACTGTGCCATGTAAAGGCGTGCGGCATCCTTCTCCGAGAAAGAAAGACCCTGGAACGAAGATAGAACGTGAGCACATACTTCCCTCGAAGAAACAGAGAGATTTATCTTACGACATAGATCTGGTTATCAACGGCTGCCTGCACAAGCTTGTTCCAGTTGCCGCTTCCAACAACAAGTGAGTTTTCGATGTAATCTTTGACGTGGTACTGGAACCAGGGATTGGGATCCTCATCGTTGATGACACCCTGATCATGATTAGAAAAATGATTTTGTCGGGAATCTGCAATGAAATCTTACTTTCGGGTATCCAGGAAACCAGACTTCTGGAAAAGTAACAACACGGGCTCCCTTTGCGGCGGCCTCTTGAATCAAAGAGACACCCAGATCGACAGTCGCGTTGATATCGAGTGTGACTCCAGTCCAGTTTTTGTTCATCATGGGCATGGGCCAATTCGCAGGAGAGCGACGAACGGCAGCAAGAGTGAGGTTCGTTAAGTCCCACTGGGACACAATGTTCTCCACGCTCTCGGTTGCGTTTTTCGTTGTCAGTGAGTTCGCCCATTGCACCAAGCTTGGCTGAGCACTTGCAGGTGCAGAAGCGGCCAGCAAAGTAGCCAATGACGCCAACGAGTAGGAGAGTCTCATGATGGAAGGAGTGATAGAGCGGCAAAACTGAAGTGGTGAGCCATCTGCAAGAAAATTGCAATGCGTCGAATAGACATCTCTGGCTGTGGCTTCTGCGTCACCCCAAAGATCCACACTTTGAACTGCTAGCAGCGAACAAATGTCTGTGTCACTGATATTGAAGTGGAAGTACGATATTGACGAACTAGCACGATAAGTCTTCCGATACTTTGCCGGTCAGATATGGCGCCAAGTCAAATGCCGCACAGTTGGCGTGCCGACAATCGGCAACTTCGGCATTTATCACTATCGCCTGGACTATTGACTACACAACAAGAGGCGTATTCATTCAGTCCGGAGTATACGGCATTCATGAGACTTCCTTTTGATTTTTCGCCGCGATGTAAGATTTCCTATTTATCATCTCATGCATCAGTATGCCGGTAGTTTAATCGAGGGCGAGTTGTTCAAAAGTCACTTCGGGCTCAATCAGTAGACTATTATTAGTGCGGAGAAACCACGAATTACATGTGGAGACGTGCCCCACGCATCGTGGGGTTATTTCTGAAGACACACTACTTTTATCTACTCTCTCCTATCGGCTGGTGACGGTAACAACATTCAGTCTGAACGCATGCTTTATCAAGGGTATAATTCTGAAAGTTAGATAAAAAAAAGAAATAGCAATTTAAGTCCGAACTAAGAGCTTGGGAAAAAGAACAAATAGAGGCATGGCCTCGGGGGAGTTGGGTAGTGTGCCACGCCCCCCTACAAACCACCAGTGCTCAGTATCTCCTCAGCGGTTACCGGCTGTAAAAGATGGAGCTAAATGGATGTTGTATGTGCTGATACCACACGAGATTGGTTTACGTCAGTAGTGTCTATATTGTTACGGGTCGGACCTCCGGCCTTGAGTGACAACCATTACCATCGAAGAGTCACGTGATCCATTGCTGGAGGTAGACCGTTCGTGGTTTGTTCTTCGCAAACTGCAACCGAGCTTCTGCTTTGGACCCTCTCAGGATTCTTTTGTTGCAGATTCACCTCCTCCAATCTCCAAAGTCTCAACTCCTCATTGCGAGTCCATTGTAGACTCAAAGCAGCGTCAGCATCCAATGCCGCCACCCCCAGCGCCAAGACCCCTTTGTACAACTTCTCCTCGAACAAATTACCCTCTCCAGCTCCTTCCCTCGCGTGGCTGAAGCGCAACCGGCCTTTGTTCTCCAGTCTCTGCCAGTCTCACTCCAGCCGACCGCCGTCAGCCCCACAACCAGCGAATATCACTCACGCGCACCCAATGAACACTTTCACGGTACCAACGCGACAACGTACAAAATCCTTCTTCATGATTCAAAAAAAGTCTACGATGATGTTACGTCTTCAACGCCATACTCACCCCTCGTTCGCCCATGGCGGACCCACGTTTCTCCATCCGTCACGCACAGGAATACAGAGACCGTAAATGGCGAAATGGCGTTCTTGAGCCAAATTCAGCAGCTCAGCTCGCTGCAACGCGATGCATGATCTATAACAACCACTTCTATGCCCCTCCTCTCTCGCGCCCTCTCTCTCTCTCTCTCTCTCTCTCTCTTTTCCCGCGTGCAAGAGCCCAAAAATCCAAACCCACCACCAGACTATACCTCCCCACATCACCATCTCCCCACACCACCACCACAATGCCCCTCCACCACCTCGCCACAACCACCCTCCTCACCCTCTCCCTCCTCTCCCTCCCCACCACCGCCCTCATCCCAATCCAATTCCCCACCTGCCCCGAAAACCTCCACATCATCGTCGTCGCCCCGCTCCTAGCCTCGACCACGACCCACACCGACGACGACATCAACCCCCCCGCGACCGCGCTCGACCCGCTCGTCAACGCCACCTTCGCGCAGCTGCCCAGCTCCAACATCAGCACCGTCGCCGTGCCCTACTACGACCCGGCCGCTGTGCGCTTTACCGACCCGTCCACCTACGTCGCCGCCGTCGACGCCGGCATCCGCGACCTGCGCGCCAAGATCAACGACTCCATCGCCATGTGCGCCGACGGCGGCGGCGGCGCGGGCATCGCGCTGTTCGGTTACGGACGACCGGGAGCGCAGGTCGTGGGCGATGCGCTGTGCGGGCGCGACGGGACGGCGGCGGGGCAGAGCGTGAATTTCGGGGAGGTGGCGCCGTTGAATCGGGCGTGGGGGGAGAAGAGTGAGTAGTATTGCTCGTAGCCTTTTGCTTTTTTTTTTTCTGTGGTCGGGCTGCGGCGGTGTGTGCTGATACGGGCGGCGCTGTTACAGTTACGGCGGTCGTTATGATGGGAGATCCGGGTCACATTGGGGGCCAGACGGCGTGGAATGTTGGAACGGCAATGCGTGATGGCGTAAGTTACTGTTCCATTTCCCTTCGAGACTTTTGATTTCCTTGGCAGCGGCAGGTTCGCATTCTCTTTGGTGGCAAATTTTGCTGACTGTGAGCAAGATCTATCCGTATAGGAACGTGGAGCAGTGTCGTTGGTATGACGGGCGGGTGCAGTCGTACTGCGACCGTGGCGACCCGATGTGCGATAGCGGCGAGAATGTTGCGGTTCATCTGGGTCTTGTCGAGAAATATCTTCAGAACGCAACGGATTTCGTGGTGAAGAAGGCGTCACAGGCGCAACCGTCGTAAGAAAGTAATTAAATCCAATTATTAGGGGTATCATAGAGCTTTTTTCAGGTCGGAACAGTGGAATTCAATCCAAGACGAGCATCGTTCTTCGGGTCCATACATTGACAATCAGTCAAATCACCTCCTCTTCTCGTGCGGCTCAGCAGCGTTGGGCACCTCCAAGCAACCTCCTCCGTCGAACACTGCATCACCACGGACCACAGCCGTTCCATGGTGTATCCGAATCGAGGAGCGTTGAGCGAATCCGGTCGGCCATTGAGCCACGGCTCTTTGTGCGCCCAGCTATCCGGGTCCGTCATCGCTGACTTTAGGTCTTCGTACAGTTCGCGTTCCACGGCACGGATACGGGCCGCCGAGGTAATGAATTGACCCTTGTACGAGAGGAGGATGTTCTTACAATCCTCTCCATCTACACGTCTGCACACGTCATTCAGCAGAGAGCTGCCCTCGTACCAGCTCCAACGGTCGCCACAGTTGGCCGTGTCGCATGTTTTGCCGCTGAAGCCGAGGCTGAGCATGCCCGTGTTCGGCGAATAGTAATCCTGGACACGGTTGAAGAATTCGCGCGGGTTGTGAACGTCGGCCTGAACAAAGAGGGTGTGCTTTGCAAGGGAATCCCAGTTAAGGAGAATGTGCTCAAGATATGTCTCGCCCTCGCGACCGACGTTTGGCAGCTTGATGACCTTGAACGCATTAGTGGCATTTCCGAGCTCAGCGATGGTGGAAGGCTCCAAATCCTCGTCCTTCGTGTAAAGAAACAGCCTCGGCGAAGACTCGGCAATGGCCGGGATAGCCGACAGTCCCTCCATGATGGATGTGACGGATTCGATAGGCTCCTTGTACATGCTGATGACGACGTCGAAACCGTGGACGGGCTCGTAAGCGAGATCGAGCTGAGGAATCGGTTCAGAAATGTCCGAACTCGATACGCCTGCGAAATTACAGGCCAGGAATCCAATCCAAGTGAGAATTATTACGGAATACGCAGCGATCGAGAGTACTGAAGGCGTCTCAAACTTCCTCATCCATCGTTCATAATCAAGGCGGTCAGTGGAATGCGCTTCTCCAAGCAACCCTTGCTCTGGGCTGCTGTCGCCATCGTCCAAGGGTTCCGAGTCCAGGGATACCAGACCGGGCTGAAAGCGCTCCAGGTCGTACAACGAGGTCCGAAACATGGTACGATCTTGGTTATCGACCGGTCGAGGTGCGTTGATGATGCATACCACAGCAAGACAAAATGCGCCCGCTTGTAATACGGTTGCGTACGACCTCATCGTCAAGTAGGAGGAAGCAAAACCGACAATGGCCGTAAACCCGAAAGAGGCTGACACCTGGGCAATCAAAACGCGACTCCTGCTCACATCGGGAGAGAAGTGGTCCTCGACGCTGATTGGTACGATGAACGAATTGCCGAAGAGAACGGCGGCCACAGTAGAACCGACATTAAGGCCAAGGACCATGGGATCAACATCGAGAATATGTTCCGCGGCCATCAACGTCTCTTCCTTCTTGACGCACCAGACGAAAGTGATAAAAAATGAGATGGCGATTGTCGTGATGAGAGAAGGAGATTTCCGACGGGAGAAGGTATCCGAGGGCGACATATGGGACATTTTACTGAATCCCATCGCTAAGCCTGTGAAAAGCATTGCCATCAATGTGCAGAAGATGCCTTGCGGCGTCAAGCGGTATTCATCATAAAGAATAACCGCACAGCATGCGGATTGTAGGATAACTTCGAGGAACTTGATCCAGAGGGAGTAGTGCTTGGTCGTGATCATGGTCCAGATGTCACAGAAAAGATAGGCGAAAGCCTAGATGGCTATCAGTTAAGCATGCAAACCACCAGGGAACCCAATCTTACCGGCATGAGGGCCAAAGTGGAAAGGTTCACCCAGTGAAGGATGGCCTGCATAAGCAATGGGAGGGCTGCAGCCGCGCAAAGCGCGGTTGGGAACCCATGATACCAACGCTCATCGGGGTTGGACTCGCCGGTGTACTCGACGGTGGCGTGGAACCAGCTCGGTGCTTGGTAACGGGCCTTGATGGCAGAAGCAAACCGGTGGCTAACCAGGATGGCCGACAAGACGAAGAGGTGCACCAGGAGCAAATGAAGTGCTGATACAGTTAGCGGGGCAGCGGACAGGCAATAGAGAGGCCGTACGGAAATCTACAGGAGCATATTAGTCACGTATCCACAACAGAAGAAAGTGGGACGCTTACGATAGTTGAGTTCTATTAGGATGAACCGGCTCGACAGTATCGACACGGACGCAGAGATGGTCCATAGGCTGGTTGTGTCAGTCAAAGAGCAGGCCCAAAGCAGAGGCATGATGGACCAACCTGACAGCCATCAGGCCGTGGGATGGACGAGTGAAGTCGGCATTCCCCCTGTGATACATCTCGTCCCTGGACACAAAGGACACAAGGTGGTTGAGGAGGAGAGCCATGTCGAAGAAGCCTCGGATCGAAGAGGTTTCGTCCTGGGCAGGTGCAGTGGAGAGAAAGCCGCACCGGGTCGGCAGGCCGAAGACAGCCAACGGCCGGCCCACATATCAAGGGGTGGAACAGCCGTCACCTGGAGCTCCGCAATCCACAGATCCTTTGACCCACCAGGATGAGAGTTGGTCATCTCAGACAGCAGGGCTGAGCAGGCGGTCAAAGCCAGCAGGCAGGTGCCGATCGGGACTCAAGCGCCATGGATGCAGATCCCCTATAGCAAGGGCACACTCCGACATTTCGACTTGTCGGCGGCCTAGCCCTTTGCCCCGGACGGGCAAGAGCGCTTAGGACCAGGGCTCGTTCCGGGATCTAGTGCGCCGTGCAATGAGGCTCCCAATTTCGAAACACAGCAGGAGGCAGAGGGGCTGTACAGAAGCAAGCTAAAATAAGCACAACCACATCCTGCGCGATGCGGCTGTGCGACATGGTCGTCAGCCATCGGCAGACAAGGCTGCTTGCGAATGCTTGTTGCGACGGCTTGTTGCGACAATGGTGAGAGGAGTTGCGCGTCGAGCGCTCGGCTGATGCAATGCGCCGTGGGCTGTCAATGGCAACATGAGCGGCACCCCTGCCCCTTTAGTCTCTATGGAGATGCATGCGGAGACGGCGCGATTCAGAGGCACGCTAAAAGCAACGACACGACGACCCAATGGCCCACGTGCTCGGGAACAGGCCGACAGCCACTGTTCGGGAAGCTGCCGAGCAGTTATTATGCATGAAGCCGATGCAGCAGCGAGATGCGGGTGCGCAGACAAGGCGGACTGGAGAGTGGCATGGGCGTACGGGTGAGTTATTTCGATGGACACAGCCCCGAAAATGGGCCGTTGTGAGGCACAGGCCCTGCTTGCTTGTACCGAATTGCGGGTCGGCGACGGGGAACCTTAGGGGCCACCGTGCTTCGGGCCGTGGGGGCTGGGTTGGTGGCCGCCCGGCTTGGGACGCCGCACGGAGGCTGATCCTGTGGTCGATGACACGGCTGAGCAGGCGCTGAACAGTTGGTACGCCAAGGGAGACGGGCGGCTGTGCGAGCTGCGCGGATCAGCGCAGGTGTTGGGTGACGAGCGAAATAGATAATCCGCCTCCGAGCCGGAAATTGTTGCCGCGCGCGTTGCTGCCCGCCTGCCGATTCCTGCTCCGAATACAGTAGCTGCTCGCTACAGCACACACCGGACATTCGACTCGCTCTCTCCTCCGCCTGTGCGCCTCGCCTTTCTCCGAGGCAACTCCACTCATCGCTCAACAGAAGCAAAAAAGCCGAGACGATCAGCGGCTTGGATGCGGTCAACCAACAATTGCTTGGCCAATCAGAAGCACCCTTCTCGCGGCGGAGTCACCCGTGCCCTATGGTAAAACTTCATCATGCATTTGCCTCTTTCAACCCCTACTAGCAGGGCCTTCGTTCTGGGGAAGCCAAGCTTCCTGTCGTCCCGTTTCTGCCTCGGAGGATTCTCGTACCGCACGAAATGAGTTGTGCCCACGTCCAGACATGAACCACGCATGCAACACTCGGGTCCCATCGTACTATGTATGCATCGTCCTCCCCACCATGCTCGTACCCCCAAAAACACGCTTTTCCCTTTGAGGGCATACTCGGCGGCACAAACATACACTGCCCCAATCCTACGGCATCCCTTTCGTTTTGCCGGATTCCGTGGAACCCTGGATTCTTTCAGTTAGAGTACTCAACTCTAGGATATTCGTTTCTAGAAGAGCCAATTGGTCGACTCTTGGATGAGGAATGTGTGGTCACGCTCCAGATCTCCAGATGTCGTACCGCTTGAAACACCGTCTCGGCTCACTGTTTAACGGCCTGAATGCGGGCATGCAACATTGAAACCTCACCAAAACGTCGACTCCCCGCCTGAAGGCCGCCCCGTTCTTTGTGTCTGTCCTCCTTCCGTCTTTAGGCGGTGCAAAACAATCGTGCACTGGTTCAGATGCACCGCTTGGGCCAACCAACACCCCTCCCGAAACCCACTCCCTCGATCCTTCGCCTTCAAACTGTCGGGCACATGCATCGTCACAGCATTTCGCATCCAATCACCTTTCTCTGACGCCTATCTGCCAAGAATCGACGCAGTTGAGCGCCTAATCAGTACTGTGCTCCAGCACCCAACCCGATGGCTGGGAAAGGCAAACTGTCCCCCAGTGCCTCACTGCGTCCGAGTCTGACGTGTTCTGGTGTGGCGACTTCCTGCAGTGCCTCAGCCGTGGCATGCCTTCTCCTCATCTGGTGGCAAGGTCACTCTCATCCTGAACCTTTGACACGCTATGAGGGGGTGCGGTATTTTGGGTCGATTTACTCACGCACCAACACACGCAGAACAAAGTCACATCAAACCTAGGGACCACTCACTGGTAGCCGAGTCTGCCAAGATGATGCTGTGCCCGCTGAGGTAGGTAATGTCGATGGGGCGGATACTGGCTTCCTGTGCCTCCAGCGCCATGAGCAGAGCCAGCCAGTCAATGGGTTCGACATGTCTCTGTACAACCTCAAGTGCTGACGGTACCACAAGACTGGCGTACGACCTACACCTGCACCCTTTGTACATACGTTGATGTGCAACAGGATTCTAGATGTAGTAGGCGCATTTGAGCTTCGAAGACCACTGTTCCCCACGGCTGATACGGCAGTGAAGAGCGTTCAGGATAACATCAGGCAACATGGCCGAATCTCCAACTGAAAATTATTGGGCAAGAGACAGATAAGAAGTTAAATTCCGTGCACATTCAAGATGAAGCTGCATTTATACTACCCCTCTCCTATTTGAAGGACCTCTCCTAAACCCACTCCAGGATGATACTGTCCCACAAGAATCCGCGCCACAGGGTGCTCGCCGTCACGTTAAAACTAACCGTGTTCAACCCCTCCTTCAACACACTGGCGCCGTTGAACGGGAACTCGAACAAATGCCACTCGCCCGCCGTAGTCGCCGACCTATACAAGCACTGGTCGCTCGGGATAACGCCGCTGGTCAGGTTGCCCACCTTGTTCGCCTCGCCGTTGACCAAAATATTCGCGCTCGTCCCCTGCGAGTATCCCGCCAGAGACACGGTCAAGATCGCCGTCCGGTTGACCGGTACCTCATCGAGCTCAAATTCGATATCCCAAGCACCCAGCGCGCTTTGCCCGAAGCACCAATCCGCATCCTCGCTCTCGCCAACCCTGAACGTCAGGTCCGCAGGGCAGTCGCTGACCAGCGCGTGCTGATACGGCGCGCCACCGTGCTTGAAGCCCAAGCTCTTGCGGTCAAAGTCACCGACTTGAAAAACACGCTCGCGCCCCACGTGCAGCGGCCACTCGAACTCGCCGAGGTCGAGCGCAGCGCCGTCCTGTCTCCGTCGCGGCGCTCCCGCGGCCGAACTCACCACCACGTCGTTCTCCAGCAGCGACGTCGACACGTCCGCCAGCGCGCCTCCGTTCGACCACGCCTGCAACCCGTACGTGCCCGCGCGCACGTCCTCAAACACAAACGCGCCCTCCTCGTCGGCGTACGCGGTATAGTACAGCCCCGTGCCCATGTCCAGCGCCGTCTTGTTCGGGCGGTTGTCGCCCAGGAACACGGCTGCGCCGGCGGCCGGGCGGCCGTCGGCCAGCACGATGCGGCCAGAAACCTTGGGGGCGCGCTCCTGGAAGCCGGCGTGCTCGAACCACGCGTAGGGCCAGGCCGCGAATTCATCGGCCGCGCGCGCGGCGGCGTCGGCCTGGTCGCCGTCGTTGAGGTACCATAGCCACGGGCCCCAGAGCTTGCCGTCGGCGAAGGCGTCGGACGACGAGGCCTGGAAGTGCGTGCCGTGGATCATGTTGAGCTGGACGGCGTCGCCGGTGAGGGACTCGCGGTGGACCATGAGCTCTTGCTTCAAGTGGTTGCCGTTGTAATACTCCTTGCCCGGATTCTGGTTTGGATGAGCAGTCAGCGCCTCAATTCGCGTGGCACATGAAAGATGGGTCGAAGGTAAGACTGGGGTAGATGTGGTGAATGCTTACGATGTACCAGCTCCCAAACTCATCGCCGTACACGCCGTAGTAGTCCTGCTCGCGGATGAAGGCGCTCCAGTCGTACTTGGTCAGATAGGTGCCGTCGGCCTTCTGCCACGTCTCGTCCTGCACCTTGGTCGCGTCGAGGTACTCGGCGTAGGCGGGCAGCGCGCCGTCGCGCTCCGTCGTGCGGCCGTTGGGGAACGACCCGTTGTCGAGGCGCCACAGCGTGCGGAACTCGCCCAGCACGGGCAGCGCACGGTTGACGAAGTACTGGTACGCGCCGACGAGGTCGGCGTAGATGACCCAGTGGAACTCGCCCTCGACGGCGTCGAACTGCACGTCGATGTAGTCGTCGGTGCGGTGGACGATGGACGCGTTGAGCCAGGCGAGGTCGTTGGCTGCGCCGTCTGTGGTTGGTGCTGTGTGTCAGGGGCTCATGTTGCGCATACGTGAGGTTGACGGAGAAGCGTACTGTAGCTAACGTAGTGGCCCACAGCATCACCGACCAGGTCCTTGCCCTTCCAGTACAGCTTCGTGCCGTACTTCGCGTTCTGCGTCAGGTTCCAGTGGTCGTTGCCGATGACCCAGGTTGTGCCATTGAGCTGCTTCAGGAACGGCCCCTCGGCGACGCACGTCTGCGCCAGCAGCGCGGCTGCGAGAATCGTGTTTCGCAGCATTGCCGCAACTTTTATGCGTTTCAGACCCCGGAATGGAAGAGGCGGAAGAGAAAGGAGGTCGAGGTGCTGCAAGTCATCGTGCGTTTGCCGGCATTTCGAAATCTTATTTGTACCTGCAGCTGGGTAAACCCGCTCGGCGCCGCATTATGCAAGACGCCATGGCCGTTTACCCATGTGGGATAGGGTCCGCGTGGGAGGGAGCACCTCTATCGTTCCCCGCAATTGCTGCCATCATGTTCGCACCGAATGGGGTGCTACCCCAGAGCTTGGCTGCGCCACAGTTCGGGTCAATTGCCAGCGAATACGCGCGCGAGCGTCACCGCTATTCGCGGAAATTCCATTTAGGGTGCTTGAGCGCAACGAACCGAGGACTTTAAGGTAAACGTTGCATTTTGAGATCTGTTTTGTTATGGACGACGGACGAATGGATCGATAATTGTTTCAACCGGGTTCTCGGGAAATTCCATTACGCGTAGATGCTAAAAGATTCTAGGTAAAGCGAGCACCAATCAAAGCCATCTTAGCAAACACCTGACGGTTTTACTGCTACTTCGGGAAATATTAAATATTCTCATTTGCACGTCATGTCATTGCAGATTGTTTCATAAGTCGTTATGCCCGCCAAACACCGGCGCCGAACCACAGAAGCAGCCTTATCATTCAATTTTGACCAAGACTCCTCCCATCTTGGAAGAAGAAAGAAAAAAGCTTCCCAATCTCATCCGGAACTCAACCAAGAACCCACCACGCCTCAGGTGGTACATCGATACACACCGTAATCTGCCCATATGCACGTTCACTAACTGCCGAGCGCCTTGGTTTTCCCTGCTCCAGGGTCACAGTTGCTACGCTCCAAGGGTGTGTGGCGACCCCGTTGCGGGGTGTTTGCTTTGAACATTGGCAATCGTAGGACTCCCCGTACGGTTGTAGGGACCTGGCGAACAGGGACGGGAGTGAGGTGTCCGCGGAAACCAGTGGAGAAAACATACACCGCAGAGGCTTTGAATTCCGGAAATGAGGTTTTGCGGGGGACTTCAGACTGCCCTGTTTACCTAAGAAAGATGGTCTCAAAGTGTGGTTTCGCCGCGACCCATTTGGTGAGCAAGACCCAACCAATTGCAATACGGTAAGCATACGGACCGCGGCGGCCGATAAGCAAGACGTTTACTACTGGAGGAGGGTAAAGCGCTGTCCCATCGCGGTCGAAGTAAGTGAGACCCAATTCCCTCTTCCTGACCAGTTCCTCCTCAAACTCTTGACAGAGTTCGCCCCGGTGCTGCATTGACTTTTCGCCTCGGATGCGCAAGAACTCTGGTATTTCTTCCTGGTACAGGCGAAAAACGCCTTGAAGGACAGCATGGCCACTGATCGACAATGCGAGGAACTCCAAAGTATCGTTGGATCCAGCTTGAGCCTGAGAAATCTCTCCTGGGGGCGCATCACCCCGAATTAGACCTATACGGGATCCGTGGCTATCCAGTATTTCATGTGATACGAAGTCCTCCATATATTTGTAGCCCATACCGTTTGTCTGGTGCACTTTCAGTCGTAAAGAAGCGACTTGTGCATTGCCGATTAGCGTCCCTTCGCTGTCGAATTCTGTAGAGTTCTCGCCAACCCGCGGTCCTTTAGGGAAGTCTTGGAGGTAGGTGAGAAATTTGGAACCTGAGTGAGGTCGGAAGCGAATCCAGTGGAAGAAGCTTTGTGGTGACGGGAAGCGAGAATTGAACAATGACGCGAGCTCCGGGAAAGTGTATTCAGTTCCAAGCCCAGGAGAGCAATCCGACTCGAAGCAGCCTGAAGCCAACGCAAGTGCCATGCAGAGCTGAGGGTATTGAGATGGCCAATGGGCGATTTTTCGCCATTCCCCCGGTTCATGCCACTCTTTTAAGTCTTCCATGGTGGAGATTTCGGACGCATCGTTGACCATTGACCATCTAACCAACGTTCCACAGCAATGAATCCCATATTCCATGATGCACCCATGCAGATTATCAATAGAACACCACGCCCATGTCGGCCAGTACTGGTCCTTTGATTCCCGCCACTTCGGGATCTTTCTGTTGTATATGTCCGGATGCCACAATAGTGCTTGGTCGAAATATGTGCGCGGTAGCCCATACAGGAAGTTTTCCCGATTCATCCAAAGTGCGTTACTCACTCCTGTAAAAGCTTTTAATATGTCTGAAGGATTGGTGAGATGACGGCAGGTGTATCTGTGCACGTGATTCGTGAAATCAATGAAAGTTTGTTCAGTATAAAGGTCCCCGTGTGACTCGTCCGAGGATCTAAGGACGCTAGACCCCGGCCAGCTGTGCATCGTTTGGGGGTCCAAGTCAACAGTCGATGGATCTTCGCTCCGTATGCTGACCTTACAAGTGTAGAAACTCTGATACGGTGTCATGTAAAGCTTTCGTTTGGCGAGCATGCCTTCCTGGTATGTCCATCCACGACGGTTCCACGGCGACAGTCCAACCTCCTCGAAATCAGGACGTTCCACCTCAAGTTTCATGTTGCAAACACTGTCTGAATCTTTCCAACATGAACGCTCCCGTGAAAGGCCAGGGATTCCAGCGTGCATATCCCCATCCGTCACTACGAGAACAAGGAATGCGGACGCGTATATGGCATCCATTGAATTGATGTACAACAGCTTATCGTCCGACTCGTCTTGAAAAATACACAAGCGATCAGCCCAGAGATATCTTTGGTCGAGGCGCTTGCATGCTTCCATTGCATCGTGAATGGTAGTCGGAAGTCGCTCGCGGTTCAGGCTACCTTCATGCTGTAGTTCCACAATATTTGACTGAAGAGCCCGTAGAAACTCTCCGCTAGGGTGTGAGCCCCACAGGTAGCTGAGTGCGATGTATGGAACATGGGGTTCCACATATGTGAGCTTCCGTTGCTGCACGTCGATTACGCGGAAATTTTGAGGGGGGGGTTTTGAGTCGTTGACGGAACATGCTTGATGATTCAACAGGCAGTGGTGTAGCACTGTTCTGATTCTTTCCCAATCAATAAAATGCCCAATTGAAGTCGTGGTTGATGGAGAGATTAGCTTTCTCGAGCTTGGGAAGCAAATACTTCCCCATGGTAATCGTCTTATCCATTGCTTTGCTTTTGATTGGAGATTAATCGCGGAATAACGGACTAGTCCAATGTTGGACTCTTCACGGCCGTAAAGGCTGCGAACTCTGAGATGTAGTTCATTTTGATATGCTGAAGTCGTCTTCTTGGGTTCAATGTGAAGTAAAATTTCACAAGATGGGAGGTCATATAAATAGCCGCGGTTAACTGTGATGAGTCGTAACGAACAGCGTGCAAGAAGCTCACATAGTGAGCACTTGGTTCGAGACCTCAGCTCGTCCCACGACCCTAAGCAAAGATTGAGCTCTGGCTCTGAGTCCGGGTCCGAGTTCCATGCCTCTTCGAACAGGTGCCGGCAGCAGATGAGCAGGTGTCTGAGTCCCATGTGCTTGCATGATGTGCAGAGGTCCTTTTGCAGTTTTGTCGATTGTATGCATGGTCGGCAACGGAAAGATGAGTGAATCATCTTCTGCACGTCCAGCTTGCGCAAGCTTATATTCGGATGGATCAGATGGTCGCATATGTCGCAAGGCTGTGTCGGATCAGGCTCGTCCATGATGGATCGCGGTGTCGGAGAAGGCGTTTCTGTGAATGCTGGATGCAGAGTAACGGCAAAAGCAGTCTTATATGGGACTGCACATGTGGAAGGAAGTTGAGGATGCAGCTCGCAAGGGCGTGCTTAGGTCTTGTCCGGCTGAGGTAGCAACTTTGACGATTGCGCGTATGCACCCCGCCTCGCTCTCGATCATGCCATAAGTCAGCAATGCGCCACCAATCAGAGTCAAGTATGTGATTAAGGCTGTGTTCTTGTCTCCATCAGTGCATTATCTGGAATAAGTCCGGATATTTTGGGTATGAGTCGTGTGTGCTACTTATATACCTTTATGAACCCTTGTCTGGTATACTGAGGTGCTTTCGCACGGGCAGGTACTGCGGTTTGTTAGTTCTTAAACCTGAGTGGCAGAAATAAAATCTTACTTGACTTTCTATGTTCGGCCAAGCTCACCATTCTTTGTGATCTGGGCCGGTGCCGTGCCATGCAGTAGCGAACTGCTCACGGCCATCCGAGGAAAATAAAGCATAAGTTTCAGCTAGTGTGGAGACTTCAGGTCAAGGAAATGTATTGGCTCATTATGAGAGATTCGATGTAAAATTCGGGTAATGGATTCAGATACAGGGTGATGCCCAAAGTTCACAAAGAGATGGGATTACAGAAGATGAGTTTTCAACGCACCATAATCTGTTATCACAAGTCTTCGGCCTCGAGAATCACTTATTCTTCTTCTTCAACGCGCCGCCATCGACCGTAATCTCCTGCCCAGTGACAAACCCCGCATTAACCAAATACTCCACCGCCTGCGCAATATCCTCAGGCATGCCCGCGCGATTCGCCGGATGCTGCTGCACATCCTTCTCCTCCAGCGTCTCCGCCCAGCTCATCCCCTTCTCATCGCCCTCCTTGCACTCATGCGCCACCTTGATGCGCCCCGGCGCGACCAGGTTCACACGTATGCCCCACGGCTCGCAGCTGACGGCCATCGAGTGCATCAGGCCGAGCTGGCCGGCCTTTGTCGCGGCGTAGCCCTCCTGGTTCGGGTCGCTCTGGTGCGCGCGGAAGGAGCCGACGTGGACGATACACGGGCCGGGCCCGGCGATGTGCCTGGCGTCGTGGCGGGCGGCGTCGGCGTTGGCGGCGGCGGCGGCGTCGCACCTCATGTACGGCAGCGCCGCCTGGCTGACGGCGAAGGGCGCCGTCAGGTTCGTGTCGACGTAGGCGCGCCACTCATCCAGCGTCGACGCGTCGAGCATGGTTTTGCCGTCTTTCCATTGCGGCGTCGCGATGCCTGTGGGTGCAGCGTAAGTTGAGGTGTTAGCTCGGGCCCTGGGGGCGCCGGGTTGGAGGGATGCGGGGATTTGAGCGTACTGGCGTTGTTGATCAGGACGTCGATGTGGCCGCCGAGGAATTTGGCGGCATCGGTGATCGTCTTGCGGATCTCGTCGGCATTGCGGAGGTCGCAGATGGAGGAGGAGAGGTTGGTGGGATGGTGTTTGGCGAGGTGGACGTGGACGGTGTGGTGCAGTTCATCAGCATCGACGTCGAGCAGGAAGACGCGATCGCCCTTGTTCAGGAAATGGCGAGCCAGGGCTCGCCCGATACCCCGCCCTCCGCCGCTGATGACAACTCCACGAGAGCTGCTTGACTCAGGCATATTGCGATTATTGATTTTGTTGGAAGTCCCTTCTCGAGCCACGGGCTATGCTCTGATTTCCTGGGGTTCCCACATCTTTTCGTGACACGCGCCATAACTACGTCACTGTATGGTCATTACGGCCATCATTTTTATCTTGCCGGGTTCACCGGCTACAGGCTGGACTCCCGCCATGGTGGGTACAAGTGAACCGATACACCAGGTATTTACCGTCTACGTATAGCCTTCAAAGCCCACTGAAATACTTAATTGTGAGTTCGCTGCACTTATGTACCTCTAACTTTAACAACCGGAAAATTCGCAGATAGACTTAAAGCGTTTGATCTCGTATATTCGTAACACAGCTTTTGGGAATGCCGACGCCATTTGTTGCAACCCCTCAATGCTATCACCAACCGCTCTCCTGCCTAGCATGTTGAGCTAGTAAGTGAATGTAGTCCTTGTGTACCATGCCAAGATCCTTCACCTTGCAATCATGGTTGATGGGGTAGTAGATTGCGAAGTCGATTCTAGAGCTCTGCTCAAGTTTCACACCATCGTTGCTTGGCACAACTGGAATTGGTGCTATACTCAGCGAGGTCTCGCCATCCACATATGTAGGGATGGTGTCCGTAGTGTACACTATGGCATGCGTGCGCGGAGTAAGACCTTCTCTGGCTGTACCACGACCCCCATAAGTGGATACTGGGCTATTCTCCGAAGTCAGCAAGGTGATCCAAAAGCGAATGACTTAGAGAAATTGGCCCTCTGAAGACAAAACAAACCAACTTCACGTACCAAGCATAACAAAACCCACGGCATTCTTTCACAACGATGAATTGTCGGATACGGGAGTTGTGCTTTTCAGCTGCCCCATTAGGAGTTGTGTTTCCTTTGTGCCTATCGAGGCTTGCTTCTGCCAGCCGATCATGAAATGGTGTAGCGAACATCTACACTGTTAGCTATATACAACCAAGACTTCCTGGATACTTACTCGACCCGGTGTGAAAAAGCTGCTTTCCTGGCGCGTATACGCTGGAGTAGGTGAGTACTCATTCTAAAATTTAAAACCATGACTTACTTTGATTCTCAAAAAGCTCTTTCGCGTACTCGAATCCTGTTTCCTCTGCTATCATGAGAGGTGTCTTGTCGTCCTTATCCGTTGCATTCACATCGACTCCTTCCTGCAACAGGAGGAATTCGACCGTGATTTCCTTCCTCCTCTTCAACTCTGGCGAACATTCCTCCTCAGGGCTAAGGAAACACGCAAGATGAAGCGGTGTTTTCATAGACTTTGTTCTTGCATTGATGTCTCCACCAGCTGCACAGAGCATTTCCAGAATCGTCCGGTATCCTTTCCATGCGGACCAGTGGAGCATAGTCGCCCCGTCTTGATGAATCCGATTGAAGATTGGATCTTGGATAGGTGCTTCGGGTATGTCGCTGGGAAAGTTGTCGAAAGTTTCGAGCACTCTTGCAACTGCTTCAGTGTTTTCGTAGTAGACTGAAAGCCACAACGAGTCTGTTTTCGATGGAAACCTGACCTCGGAAGCCCTGTGTTCCTCCCGCACACTTTTCAGTATGTCTTTCATGGGAACGATGAATATCTCTCCAAGTGTCTCGGAGCCAGCAACAACCGATCCGAGTATCTCATGCGTTTGACTGTCTAGGGCCCATGAGCCACATATACCCTTTGCTGACCACATGTTAGCGGCATAGCTGAAATTATGCATAAGGAACCCAGCCCTGGCTGCAGGTTCAGCCATAGCGTAGGATTCAAAGTTGAAAACTTACACAATGTTGTGCTACTGTTAAGCGCCCACAAAGCAATTTCGGTCCCTGAGCTCTTCAACTTTCCTGTACTCATGGCACTGATACCACCTGCCCTCAGAACTTTCTTTTGATCAATGATAATAGCGTCCACCACTGGAATTTCCTGTTTCTCTTTTTCTAAATAAACCCGTTCGTTCTGGTTGGCGTTGTCCTCAAATGACAACGCTACTTCGTTTGCCGCAAATAACCTGTCATCATCTAGTCGCATAGTCACCCAATCCATGGATAGGTTGTCTTCTGCTACTTGGAGCGACCAAGAACGATCAACAACTGAGTCTTCCGAAAAATCCCCGGGTTCTGGGCTCGGAGGTGTGGCTTCATGTACGATTGGATCTATTAGTTCAAATGCGTCAGCATACGTGAGGGAAATTACAGCTGGTAAGATTGTACCTCTCAGTGCCGGACTGTTTGAGCCATCTGAAACTACTGACCCATGTCCCGAGTCGTGGGCTGTATCTTCGTCGTCGCTCTCATCGTCACTTCCAAGCGCCCACTCCATAGTGAAAAGCTCCACTCCTGAGCCTTGATGCCTAGAAGTATCTCCGTGAGACATTTCGGAGAATGGATGGGCAACGGTAAGAGCGTGATAAGCACCGTCAATGATGATCGTTCCCCCAATTGTTGCGAGTCTTGTAGTATCGTTGACAAGTATTTGCTGTCCGCAAAGAGATATCGGGCCAGGAGAACTCTGGTCGTATGTCGGATGGGTGATATCTGCGGAACGGTCCGCAAGATTTCCTTTGGACTCTAGATCACGCACCAGAGATGCCCGAAATTCGAAACCGCTGTCTGAAAGTTCTGAAAAGCCGTCAGCCCGGGATATTACCTGCATCGATCTTTTCAAAATGCGCTTGGCTTTCTTCTCGTTGTTCCGGTTGCAGAAAAGGACGATTGTCGGATGTGCATGTGATTTGTCGCGGCCAAGCATGTAGCACCGGCGGATGATGAGGCAATCAGCGTCATTTTCACCCTTGTAGATCTCCTTCGCATTATTTTCCATAATTTCCTTGAGTCTTGGGCCATGTGCGTCGTTCCATTGTTGCAAAGCTGTCCCAGCGAGATCCCATCGCATTTGATCCTCCAAGTCTGTGAATTGCTCGCCAAATGAGTCTTGATAGATCTGCTTAGTCGGAGGTGTGCGTCGCCTTATCATCTCTGCAAGGCTAGCGAAAGATGCGGACCGTGGCACTGTGTAAGGTCCGGTGACCATGCGCGGTGAGGGCCCTTGTACGGAGTCCGCAGGGACCGTAGTCGAATCCATCTGCTCATACCATGAGTAAAACTTTCGCCAACTGAACGATGTTTTGTCGCGGCACTGCGGAGGGAGACTTGGGGCATTATCAATCAGCCTTGCCCCGCATCTGTTGAACAGCCCCAGATAATCAGCCTTGCAGCCTAATTATTACATGCGTCAGTGTCAGCTCAGCCCCATTGCAGGGATTTGGCTATTGGCTGACGTGGCGACCGGTGAGCCCGTCATGAGCTTCTGATCAGTTCAAATGGACAGGCTTTCGGCGCTCACTATTGCATTTGGGCTTCTAACCAGCCTGCCCAGCAAGTGCACGATCAGTACAGCAACCAAAGAAAGGATACTCTCAGAAAAATAAAGTACACCACAGCCATGACTGAGATGACTCAGATTGATCAAGAGTTATACCAACCTTTACTTCAATACGCAAAACTCGGGACCATGAAGGAATCGTTGCAGAAGAAGATCGCATGCCGACTCTGGAGCTGTTCTCACGGACTGCCAAATGGATATAAATCAGGAGTCATCACATATTTCGGCAATTTCCAGAAGGAGATCAACTTGTGGTCATCACCAAAAAAGCAGAATCTAGTAATCGACACGTACGCCGATTTCCTCGATCTAGTAGAACATCTTACTGCCCACAAGGACAAAAGACGCGACTCTGAGGAGATACTTAGGTTCTTTCCTGTTATCGAAACAAAGCTTCAAGCAAGCGGCAAAGTAGGCCGTATAGACACGAAAGTTCCTTTGGCGGTGCGATATAAGTCCACTACTCAGGAAGAGGTGGATAATGCCATCGAACTCACAATTGGACTTTGGCTTATGATCTACCTGGGCCCATCGGACCCTGACATCTTCCTTGGTCTGGGGAGGTCGCATGCTAAATGGCCACAAAATGCAACTTTGGAGCAATTTCTTACCACAAATTTCACGACGGCCCCAGGGCCAACTGTCTCAAAGGATGCCCAGTTTTCGAGGGACTTGACCGCTCGTAACCTGGACCGCATTGGAGGATTTCAGATTATGTGGACGAGCAGTCTCAGAAATCATCTGACCTTCGATGACGATACTATGACCGTCGTTCTCTATCATTTTGCAAGTGTTCTGAACTTGCATAAGAAAAAAGACGGGCGGCAGTGAGTTTGAGCGCAGCGCGATTAACTTCTCCAATTCGTTGACTATTATTTAGATCAATTCTACCAGATGGTCTGGCTGAGGAGACCTGTCGGACTCTTGCACTTCTGCTCCCTCAATCCGATAACCAGAGCAAACATTGGTTCAATCAGGAACTCAAGCGTATTGGCGGAGCTTTGGATCCGAAGGCTACATCGCAGTCTCTAGGTTCAGAGGGCCGCAGTATTGAATCATTCAAATTCTGGCAAGAGCGGCTCCGTATTATTGACAAGGCTTTTAATGATGCGGAGCCCCGGGGTTTCAAGGCCCGGTGGTTTGACAGGCGCAACGGACTGCAGTGGGCCAACTTTTGGATGGCTATGACTGTTCTCATACTGACTGCCTTTTTCGGATTGATCTCTGCCCTTACTGGGATTATCCAAGTGTATTATGCGGCGAGGTCTCAATGATAACAGCGACTGTCCGCCTTGGAAACAATGTATTGTAGGAAAAGTATTCGAGGAGTACTTTCTATGGATTTTGCCAGCGAAGAGTCCGTGATTCAGCCAGTGCAGCCATATCTGCTATTCACTAGAAGTCTTCTACAAGAAGAAATGATTTTTTGATACAATATTCACTGCGAATTTCTGGCAGGTAAAACGAGTGCAATGAAAGGTAAATATATGAGATACGGACAGGAAGATACAGGGATATAATATTTTCCTTTATACTAAATTCATTCCTGCCCTAGTAAAGAGACCTGTGATAAGCGCAGCACTTACATATTAAACGCAGCTACATCTTATATCTCTCATTTGGTTAC